ATCCTGCAGAAACTCCCAAACCTTTGCCATGGTCTGAGCTATGTTCTTGTGCTCTTGTTTGGCTTCGTGATATGCTTGCTGCTCTGTATCGAAGCTCATTCTTGGTTCATAGCCCTTGTTCGCAAAAAACGCACTTGTCTTGGTTGCATCTGATGGCAAACTGTTGGCAGCAAACTCCGCCATGCACAAGTATGAAACCCAATTGTCTTGAAGATAGTTCACATGAGCTCGCAAGTAGCGTTCGAGCTCTGCATTGAATCGCTCAGTCTGTCCATCTGTTTCTGGGTGGAAGGCAGTTGAAAGTTTGGCCGAAATTTTCCAAATTTTGCAGAGCAAACTCCAGACTTCTGCAATGAACTGAGGACCTCTGTCTGATATTATCGAGTTTGGTAGACCATGGTGCTTCCATACATGTCGAAGTAAGAGCTGTGCTGTAGCTTCTGCAGTAGTCCCTTCTTGCCCAGCGAAACACGGAATGAAATGTCTTTCTTTCGTCAACCTGCATGCAACAACCAAGATAGCATTGTTCCCTTCACAGAGTGGTAATCCTGTCACGAAATCTATTGATATATCTATCCATGGTTGACTGTCAATAGGGATTGGTTGTAGAAGTCCATTGTAGGAATCTCGAGATGGTTTCAATCTTCGACAACTATGGCAGTTTTTGATATATCGAATTATTGTTTTGTCCATGTTTGGCCAGTAATAGTGCTGTTTCATGACTCGCAGCATCTTTCCAGCTCCTGGATGTCCCATAGAAGGTTGTTCATGAACTTCTCTCAACAAGTCCACCTGAATGGTTTCTGGCACCCAAACTCGATTTTGATATTCTAGCATGCCGTTTTTGAGTTTGCAATAAGCCAATGCAACCTCTTTGCTTGTTCGATCACCATTCTCAAGCTTCTGTAGTGTAGCCTTGCAGAATTTGTCTTCCAGTTGAGACTTTTGGATTTTCTCAAGAATTGTCATTTCTCTGATATGAGTTTCCACTGGAGCTAGCTGAGCTGTTTGGCCTTGTTCTTTGAGTTTCTGAATGTCTGGATGTAGCCTCGAAGGTGGTAGCAATACCTGAAGCTGTTGCTTTTGTCGATCATCCTCATCATTGCCTTCTGGTCTGTCACCAGGCCTTCGAGTCAAAGCATCTGCTTTTCCATTTTGCTTCCCAGGCCTATAGATGATCTGGAAGTTGTATCAAGAGAGGAATTCAGCCCATCGAGCTTGTCTTCTTGTCAGCTTCTTGGTGGACATGAAGTATTCCAAGCTTTTGTGATCAGACAAGACTTGGACTGGAAAATCTGTCCCTTCAAGTTCTGGTCTCCATGCTTCAAAACATCTGATGATTGCAAGCAATTCCTTGTCATATATCTCGTAATTGCATTCTGCAGGTGCTAGCTTTTTCGAGAAGTATGCCACTGGATGTAGAACCCCTTGATCATCTTTTTGTGACAAGACTCCTGATGAGATGAAGTCTGAGGAATCTGCTTCAACATAGGCTGTCTTGTGTCTATCGAAATGCCTCAAGACAGGAGCTTCTGTGACTGTTTGTTTCAACAACTCGAATGCAGTTTGGCATGCATGAGTCCATTCGAATATCTGATCCTTTCTGGTAAGGTTCACCAATGGCCTCATGATGCTGGAGTAATTTTGGATGAACCTTCGATAGAAATTGCAGAATCCAATGAAAGCTTGCATATCCCTGAGCGATTTTGGAGTTTGCCATTCCAATATAGTAGAAACCTTTGCAGGGTCCATGCGAATGCCATTGACTCCCACGATGAGTCCTAGGAATTTGGTTTCTTGGACGAAAAACTCACATTTTGAGATATCTGCTTGCAGTCCAGCTTCTCGAAGCTTCTCTAGGACTTTCCTTATGTGCTCTGTATGCTCCGCTCAAGTAGCACTGTAGATAAGAATGTCATCCATGTATGCGGTGACGAATTGGTTGAGGTAATCCATGAGGGTTTCATTCATGTACCTCTGGAATGTTGCTGGACCATTTGTGAGTCCGAAGGGCATGACCTTGTATTTGTAGGATCCAAATCGAGTTCTGAATGTAGTGAGGTCTTCATCTTCTTCTGTCTGCATTCGAATTCGATTGAAGGCATGTTGAATGTCCAGTTTGGTGAGATATTTTGCTCCTATGACTTGGGCCAGCGTTTCATCAATGAGTGGTATGGGATATCGATCCTTTTTCGTTATGGCATTTAGCTTCCTGTAGTCAACACAGAATCGAAGACCACCACCTGGCTTTCTCACAAACATAATGGGTGAAGAGTATGGGGCTTTGCTTGCTTCAATGAACCCTTTTGGCAAGTGCTCGAAGACATATTCTTCGACCAAATCAAGTTCTTCCTTTGACATATTCCAGAGTGGTGCATATCCCAGCTTTGCATCACCTTCGAGTTCAATATGATGGTCTGAAGGTCGATGGGGAGGTAGCTTGTCTGCTGCCATTTTTGAAAAAAACATCCAAAAATTCATGAAATTCCTTCGGAAGGATCAGTCGAGAGTCAATTTCTTCAGTTTTTGGTCTTGTTCTTGTGCTCGATTATGTCCTTCATTGATATAGCAAAGACTTGGGCTCCTCTTTGCTTCATGAGCATTCGAAATGGTGCTGCGCCAATCATTGCTATGGTGCAAGGTTTTGGTTTTTCCACTTTCGGAGCAGGTTCCGGAGGAGGCATTTCTTTGGCTTTCTTCTTTGGCCTTTGTCTTTCGCTTTTAGATATAGGCTCTGTTTCGAGGGCTCGATCTGGTATAGAATGGTTGCAATAATCTCCAGTGAAGAGGACTTGATCATTGATCATATCGAGAACAACTCCATGTTGCTTCATCCAAGCTTTCCCGAGAATGATGGAATGTTTTCCCAGCGAAGTGATGAATAATGGACATAGGCTTTCCACATGCTCTCCCACTTGTAGTCGAGGATATATAGCATGTGTGATAGCAGGGGCAGCCTCTCCATTGAATCCTTCAACTTGTTTTGGCTTCACAAGTTCGACTGGGGCTATCCCTTCAATTTCACATATTCTTTCTGCATCAGCAGCATTAATGAAGTTTCCACCTGTGGCACCAGTATCGATCAATGCATGGACAATAGCTTTGTATTTTCCTATTCTACAAGTAGCTAAGAAAGGGGTGTCCGGATCAAAACTGGATCTCGAGGAAGAAGCTGCAATTCTGGCTGCACTGCCTCTAGTGATGACTTGTCTAGAGGCTATTCGTTTTCCGAATCGATGATAGACTCAGCTGTAGATACCTCATTCACTTGAGCTTTGAGCTCGATGTCCATTTTGTCGGCATATGAAGCATTTCCCAAGTTTCATGAGCATTTCTTTTGCTGGATCTTGATGCGGTGGTCGATACAGCTTCTGCGTCTTGTTTTGCATGTTCGAATCCATTGTAGGTTGAGGGATTGAAGTTCGAAGTGCCTGGCCCTGATTTTGAGTTTGGCCCATGTTGTTCGAAAATGACTTTGGCTTCCTTTTGTCTTCTTGTTCCTTGATCCGCTGAATGTTCTGGTCGATGAGCATGCATTTCTTTGCAAACTCGTGAAGTGTAGTAGCTCCAACTTCAGCCACTAAGGCTTTCTGCATCTGTTGGTTGACTTTGAAGCGCAAGTCATCCAGCAAAGTTTCTTCAGAGTAATCAAGCTCTGTCGTGAGCCTTTGGAACTCAGCCCAGAACACTGCAAAGGTGTTGTTTCTCTGATACAGCTTTCGATACTCAGTTTGAGCTGTGTGCTTCGATCGGGATCACTGAAGACTTTTTCCAAAACTTCAAGAATTTCTTCTGCTGTCTGCAATTTGTTTGTAGAGTTTGGTCGAAGCCTTGGATTGACATGTCGAACTGCCAGTCCTCCCAGTCGACTCTGAATGTAGCTCATTTGTAAAGTCTGTGTTGGAAAATGATCAATGTTGGCTTCGAGCTTGAGGCGAATTTTCACAACCCAGTCTTCAAATGCTGGCTCTATCCCATCTGTGAGGATTGGAGGGTCTGGAATCCGAGCTGACAGTCGACTGTGAGAGTGGTGTCCTGGTTCATTCTTCAGAGCTTGTTGGGTTTGCTTTTCAAGATATTTCTGAATTGTTTGTTGCTCTGTGATTTGTTGCTCGTTGCTCTGGATCAGTTCCTGTAACTGGAGAATGGCATCATCCTTTTCAGCCAGTATCGAATTTGAGTCCTCTGCTAGGGCCAAATAGTCCCGAAGAATGTTCTTGTGCAAAGTCCATGCCATTTTCTGGTTGGCGACAGATAGTTTCTGGAATTTGTCAAAGGTTTCAACATTCCATTCAGCCTTTTCATGTCAATTTGCAAGTATAGATTCATGTCTCTCTTGAGCTGTTTTGCCCAGAGTATGAAGGAAGGTTTCAGATTTGAAATTAGGATCATGAAGTTCATTGGTTTGGTTTGCAGAGCTTGGAATTGATGCTCCTTCTGCCAGGGATTCCTGGTCTTGTTCTGGATCATTTCGAGCTGCCATTGCAGCTTTTTCTTCAGCAGTATAAGCCATAGCGAGTTGCTATTTCAATTTCAGTTTATATCGTCAAGTCAGACACATATTGCCAAAGGCCCTATTGTGCAGTTGTTGGCCGTAGGAGCCACTCGAGAGGAGCGCACTTCCCTCACAGTTATATCCTTGTCAAGGGAGCGTTGTAAAAGGTCTGACTTGCGAAGGTGGTGTGTGTGTGTCGAGCTGACTGTCGAAAGCCAACTTTGAGGGGTTGCCTCGAGATCGTCCTGGAATCGACTTCCGGATAAGGTTTCTGGTTCTGGGGTTTTCAAAGAGTGGATTTCGATTTCGATTTCAGAAGAGGGTTCAGCTCAAAGAGCAGGAAAAGAGGTATAAGAGAGATTGAGTTTTATGTCACGGTTCACCAAGGCATAGGGCGCCAGTTGGGTATTATGAATTAAACTCAATCTAGAGAAGAAAGGAAAGAGAAGAGGAGCACTCGAGCAGTGGCTCGATCTATATACAGCTATTGTGGAGTGAATTCTCTTTAGCGAGACCAGTTCTGAGAATTCACTCCACAACTGAAAACTTCACTCCAACCCCGGAAAGCTCCCCACACCCCTGAACCCCCACTCGAGCTGCAAGGCGCACTTGATATCGTAACATCGTTGACCAACTGTTCGATGTTAGACGGATTCTCTGGATCGACTGCGAGTGGTGTTAGGTATTTCCAAGTATCGTCCTCCCATCTAATAAGGTTGATGTCTATCTCTCTCTCCAACCTCTCCCTCTCCAGCCTCTCCTTCTCCAGCCTCTCCTTCTCTAGCCTCTCCTTCTCCAGCCTCTCCTTCTCCAGCCTCTCCTTCTCCAGCCTCTCCCGCTCCAGCCGTTGCTTCTCCAGCCGCTCCTTCTCCAGCCGCTCCAGCCACGCTTCCCTTCGCTTTTTATGTTCCAGAAGCTTCCGCTTCCACCTTTCATCCTCGGCTGGCGTCGAGCGGTTCATAGGCTGCTCTGGCTGTCCACCATCACCCATTCCTTTCGCCTGGGTTTGGCTTGGGCTTGCTTCTGGGACAAAAAGGCCCCCGTCATCATCTGCAGGTTCTAGCGCACTAGGTGGCCGGTCCGTTCGGGACCCGACCGTGTGCTGTTCAGCATCAGGGCTTAGGTCTTGAGATAAATCTCCGAAGTCTGGAACAGGAGAGAGAGATGGAGAGCGGCCATGGCTACCACCCTGGGCAGTAGGCCTCCAGGTCGGCCAGCCAAAGAAGGCGAGATAAACTTGTTTTCGGACGAAGAAGTTTGTGATGCCTTTGCCTTGCTGGTCTCTCTCGTCATGGAGGTGATTGATAAACCAGAATTTCCGATCCTCGTTGAATTTCAGCCTGAGTGGGGTGCCGCATCTACGAGCTATCCCTACTCCGGATCCCGACGTAACGAGGGGAGGATGCTCCGATGGTGGGGTTTGCTTGGCGAGTGCAGCTGGATACTGCTGCAAATGCTTTATCCTGGTACTGGTAAACCCCAGCTGGTCTGCCAAGTCAGCAAAGCGGCGGAGGACGGCTCGATCTGCCATCGCTGCAGGCTGCATCATGCGGCCTTCCTTCACTGGTTCCTTTGGCATATCCGCGAAGTGCCGCATGGCATACGCAATGATCTGCCGGTACCCGAGATCGACTTGGTCTCCCCGCGTCCCCTGCCCGTACACAAAAGCATTCTCGGCGACCTGAATCTTAGCCTGGCCATCCATGATCCGAACGCGGCCGTCCTCTTGATCAACAGGGGAGAATAGTTGCTTGAAGGCATGAGAGATCTGAACATTGTTGCCCGTTAGCTGCTTGACGCAGTTGGTGAGGCGCTCCAAGTACCCGATGTCTTTGAAGAAGGTCGCGAGAGATGGAATTAGGCCCTCAACGCACTTTAGCCAGCTCCAGATATCGTCGCGCTCGCTGTCATCGAAAGTGCTGAATACCTCCCCCCCACGCACTCGAATGCGGAGGAACTCCGCGTCCGCTGTTGACGCTCGTGGTGCCTTCAGCTCTAAAGCCTTCACTGTCGCTTGATCAATCTTCCCCATAGCAGCCTTATTGCCACGTACAAGATCAGACCAGACCTGCTTGATGCGGCGGAGGTAGTGTAAAAGTTCCTGTACCGTGCGAAATCAGCCAAAATCAATCATCCATGCCAGCCCTCTGCCTACCGTATCACACTTTAGAGCCATCACTTTGTGCAGCGTAGCGATCTTCATCCCGCCCCAGAGACCTGGGATGTCCAGCAAGTTATCGAATGCTGCCGTCAGTGCTTCATTACGGGTGAGCGTCAGCAGGTACTCCTTCCGCTTGCCTCGCAGGCGTGCCTTCCACCGCATTTCAAAGCTGAAATTCCGCTGGAAATGGTAGCACCGCATCTTGTAGTAAATCTCGCCATCGGAGGGCTTCTCCTCGTTGGCATATTCTTCAACGAGGCATGTCTTTAGGTCGACGTTCAGGTCTAGGTAGTCACACGTTAGCACGACCCATATGTCAGAAGGCCTCAATCTTACCTGAGAGGTACAGATCAGCCGTCCACCAATCGTCCCCAGGATGGAGAAATTCGCGCCCAGCTTCGATCCTGTGCCGGCCGTGGAGACACTCAAGATGGAAGCCGGTCGGAAATTCTAGCAGGGGATAGTCAGGCACCTCATCATTAGTCAGCAAGTCGTCTGCCGTCCTCCCCAATCGCTGCATTGCGGCATCGAGGCTTTCCTGGTCGATGATCGCAGGTACGTGATTGCAGAGAGGCAGTCGATGACATCCTTCCTTCTGAAAACAATCCACGAGGAAGTCCGCTTGTCTCTTGCTGGATTCACGTGGCTGATCTTGGCGGAAAAAGAGCACGTCGAGACTGATGCGTGCAGTACCCCTATACTTCAGTCACCGCTCTTCCTCGAGCACGGAATCCTCGTTCTGGGCTCGAGACTGCTGCATATCGAGGGCTGAAGGCAGTGGACTAGAATGGAGGGCAGGAGGGAGGAGGAGGATGGTGGGAATGAATGTGCCCTGGGTTGTGTGGTACTTATACCATCGGGTGTCTGCTCCTAAGTAGGTACACCCCCCATTTGCTGCTGGTGGGAATGAATGTGCCCTGGGTTGTGTGGTACTTATACCATCGGGTGTCTGCTCCTAAGTAGGTACACCCCCCATTTGCTGCTGGTGGTCAAAGGCCTGTCCGCTTCTTTTCGACTCTAACATGTTCCAGGTCCTTTGTTTTTCTGACATAAATACCCCGTCTGACCACCTGCTGCATACCAGTCACAGCTGCCCTCAGTTAAACTGTCCTACGAATAATGGAGTCTATCTCTGCCAACGACCGACTACAGTCTGCTTTAACCACTGCCGACGACCTTGGGCACAATGTTTCCATCAAGAACAATCGTATAACGAGGATCACCTTTGGCGACGTGCTTGACCTCGACACCAACGAACGAGTCGACACGCCAGAGGAGAGCATTCCTCCTGGCTTTGCTTCGCTGATCTCGAAGAAGAGAAAGATTATAGCATCGCAGGACCGCGAGCCTGAGCAACGCCGCCATATAAAAGCTTCTCTGGGCAGCCGTGAGTCAGCCACTAAGCCCGGTCTCAGGGAGCTACAGATCGTGAAAGCTGCCCAGAGCGGTGCCAGCGTGCTGGATCGCACAGTCCAGTTCGAATCGCCATGGGCCCGCTTCTGTGAGAAGTTCGAACTGAACCTCGGCGGATATGTTCCCATCGTAGCTGATCTATCTCCCCCATACGATCTTCTCATGGTGAAGCGCCTTGAGGGACCTGATGCCGCCCAGAGGGTTTGCATGCTACGGAGAGTGCGGCACCAGAACTTCCACAATATGGTTGAGTGCTTTAGCTTTGAAGGCTCTCACTATGCCGTCTTTCAGCACCTTCCTGTCACACTTGACAATATCGTGTACTCGCCTCCCTACCCTACCGAGCTTGAACTGGTGGCGGCACTGGCACAGGTGCGTCCTACAACTATGATGGGTCGACTTGCTGACTGGTACAGATTGTCAACGGGCTCAAGTATCTCACCTCGTGCCAGCTCGAGCATGGCTCTCTTAGCTGCTCTAGCATTCTCGTAGGCACAGAAGGAGATATAAGGATTGGTGAGCTAGCTGCCTGCCCCAAGTTCCCAATCTAACACAGCCATCAGCCGGTCAGGAATGCTGCAGGGAACTGGCACTTTCGGGTGGGGGAAGTTCGCGAGATATGGTGTCTCTAATGAGTATTACCATGAAGCTGATGCAGAAGAGCGCCTACGAGAATGGAGCCGGCGGTGCCCACGCATGGAGCGATGGCCAGCCGACTGCAAAGCTGTTGACTTCCTGGCCAAGATCCAGGTAGCCAGATCATTTGACGAGCTATTAGATGTAAGCAAGTCCCACTACAAGTTGTGCTACATCTAACTCTATCAGCATCCGCTTTTACAGCTCGATTGGAAAAAAGAAGACCTCAAGTGGATGGTAGCTCTGGCGGCAGTCAGTTCTCACCGAGGCTTCCGGTACCATGAACAGGTGCGAGATGTTGTGGGAGCATAAGTTAATACACTTCTCTGATTTGCTCTCCTTTCTAGTATGCATTTGTGTCAGTGTTAGTTTGTTTTACAGCTGTATTTGAAATGTTTGATACGTGAATAAAAGTCGGCGGATTGTGTAGCAATGGAATCACATGAGCTTGGCACGTCTTGGTAGATAAGTGACAATTAATCATATATCAAAATAACTGTTCCATATAACCACGTCTCTGCAGATCATTGCTATAACATACGCCTGTGAAATCCATTCCTTGTAAATTTGTCTTTGCAGACTCCCAGTATAACCTGACGCAACCATATGACCTGTTCTACAGGACCTCTATAAACGGCTTTGATATTCCTTGATTTGGTGAAAAGTAAGGGCGTTTGTAATAAGAGTAATGTAATGAAATAGAAGACATTTCTGGTGGCAGTGTTTCAGCAAATGTAAGAGTTTGGCGTATGATCAGCTGGCCAGCAGCTTCCGCAAGACTTGCGACAGACGCGCTGCATCGGATCTCCGGCGTTGATCTACGACTGGTATTATATTATGGGATAAAAGCCGATCGAATCGAAATGACATCAGTATTGCCAGACAGTAGAGGAAAAGTCATAGTTTGGGTCCCTAGAAGTCATTACTTGATTGTGGTAGTGCTCAAACTCGCCTTCAAAGGTACTGTATCCTGCTGGAGAAGAGCCGGGAGTATCTACTGCTATGTCAAAGATACCCGAGAGAGAATCTATCCTAGAATCTACATCCATTCTTGGAGTGAGAGGCTCATCGACGTCTCGTAGTGATGACGATGAAGATGCGGGCCGTGATAGGTCCGGAGGCGGGGGGGCATCAACAGATACCTTTTCTGTCACGGTGCAGTCGCCTTCTATGTGCAATCCCTCACTCGTCGACGGGCCTTCGCAGGGAGCGTTTGCTGCAGGCGGCTCGAGGGGTTTGAACATATCACCTAGCGACAAGCTTTTGAAACACTCTGACTCTAGCTCGCTGCGGGATAGTTCTTCAAACCGTAATTTCTGTGTTGGAAGTCTGCCTTTGTCAATATAATACGAGAGATGGTCAGAAAGCCCTTGGAGGTCTTGTTTCAATCTCGGGTGTCGCTCATCGATGCGGTCTAGAAGGAGGTCAAGATTGGATTCTCTTAGTCGTCAAACACTATAATACAATGTTATCTCTAAAGTCCTCGCGCATCTGCATAAAGGCACTTACTGATCTTCCTGCAAGGTCGGGTTGAGCAGCAGGAACACGGCTATACCGTAGCGCTTTTGCATCTCCCCCCATAGCTTCTTTTTTTGTACTTCGTTTTGAAAATGCCTCTTTGCTTGGGCACGGGCAGTCTTGGCCTGTTTAGATGGAAGCTCACCATCCGGGATAATAGTCTCGGGGGAGCACACGTCCACGTACATTTCACTCGGATGTGGCAGGTTCCCCTTTTTCTTCCACTTATCGAATGCGTCCCTCTCATCAGCATACTGGCCATAAAAAAGTCCAGCAAAGACTCGCTGAAAGCATTTCTCCCATCTTTCACCGTTCTTGTGGGCGCCAAGGCCATCCCACCACTTCTTCAGACCTGGCTGGCGGTTCGGGTCCTGCTGCTGCGGCTCGTCCTGGTCCGTATGATCAGCGTGGTCTCTGGTAGCAATAGAATCCCGCTGTAGTGCGAATCGCTCAAGGACAAAAATTATGTCGTGGACAGTCACGGAGTCATCCATCAACTTATTAGCCTTCGCCAGCAGCTCTTCTTGTTCTTGATCTACCTGATCTGCCGTAGACCTCTTCTTGAGCCTTTTGGGTTTTCGTTTAGGAGTAGAGGGGTCCGGCATTCGTTTTTGACCACGAGTGTGGTGCGATTTGGCAGAAGGTTGGAAATCCGCGTTGGGGTTTGGAGGTGATGAAACATCTTCCCGAGTCCGGGGCGGCTCTTCAGCGTGGATCTCCTGGGCGACGTCGAGGTCTGTGTCAGTCGGGTGCTGAACGACGCCGTCGCCTGTCTCTGCTGTGACAGCCGTCTCCTCCATGACAGTCTCGTGTAGACGACCATCATGCCCCAGCCCGCCCTCTTGAACATGACTGGGGTTCGCAACGGAGCCCTCGTTGGCGTCCGTGGAGTTTGGAGTCCCTGGGACAGAGGCATCTGGCGATGCCCTCTCTTGTGAGGAGACATGGGTATGCGGTTCATCGGTTGGCAGGGTGTCGTGCTCATACCCGTCCGTTGCGAGACTGTCAATGCTGGGTGATGGTGCTTGCGGAATCTGGTCGGTCGAAATGGGGGTTGCGGCAGGACTGGGCGGGGCGTCGACAACGGCGAGCTTTCCCAGAGCCACCAACTGCGAGCGGGCAGAGGGTTGACGATCTAAGAACGGAAGAATGGCAGCTTGGCTTCGCTGTAGGTGTGTAAAGATGTAGTAAAAAACCTGTGCAGCACTTAGTACCAAGACGACAGCGAAAGTGTCTTTTGAGGACCTTTTCAACAGGAAGATTTTTGAGCAAGTGTTCGAGGGCCTGCTCATCGTGCACAGTTGTTAGTACATTACCTTCATGCTCTTTGTATAAGCCTTCACTCCCATTACTTGATGCCTGTGGGCTATTCAAGTCATCAGTGGGAGTGGTGAATGCCATGGCTGAGTAAAGGCATGGAGGAGAGGAGAAGAGTGGGTGGGCGGGATAGGCTCTCCTCTTATCGATAGCACCAACGCTTGGCGTACCAATACCCTCCCCACCCGGGTTTCTGGACGGGACGGGATTGTCCACATCCGCGCTCCATAGTTCTGACAGTGGCACAGGTTGCGGAGATTGGACGCCTTATCGATATTGCGTGGAGCTATATAATGTACTGCTCTGCCCAAATCATCTCGGATCAAATTCATACAGTAAGGCTCTCCGGGCTTGATGCAGTATTGGTTCATCGCATCGCGGTACTGTAACTGAATACTATACCTCCCGCTTGCCACACCAAGAGGCCCTGGCCACGCAGGCCGCAGGGGACGATGAAGCCAAGAGGCCCTGTCGATCAGGGACCACGCTCTCCAGGGACGGTATATAAAGGCACAACATAGCAACTAGAAGTAAGCGAAATCCATGGTAGAGAGAGTCCTCTCGTGCTTAGGTCTAAGCACACTATCGCACTAAGCACAGTTATTCCACAGCTTTCCAACCAGTCGCCTATGGAACTGGCTCAGATCTCGGCCATTTATTTACCTCACCCTGTCCACTCTCTCAACTCCACCAACTCAACATATTCACTCGTTTCTCGCGATCTCTTCGCACTTCCGATCGTTATGGATGCTATTCAAATCTATGCTATCGCCGCAGGTGGCACCCTTTGTATCTTTGCTTTCGTTAACTTGCTTCCCCTCCTAATTCCACTCGTTACCCGAGTCTCCATCTTTGTCTCGAAGCATTTTAGGTATCCATACATACTTCACCGACACCGAATCCTAGGGCCGTGGACTCGGGCAGGCGTCATTATACAGCTGGCCTACCTCGCAATCAACCTGTTCTGCGTCCTCGCCGTACTGTCGTGGGACGACATTAAAGCTGCCAACTTCTCGGGCGCTGGTCGGCGAGCTGGCACTCTCGCAGAGGTCAACATGATCCCCCTCCTCGCAGGGCCTCATTTTGCCTTCCTCGCCGACCTGATTGGGCTCTCGCTCAAGACCATCCGTGGCATCCACCGGTCGGCTGGATGGATGACGGCCGCACTCGTTTTCCTCCATGCCATGGCCGCGGCGTCCGATGGGCCTCTCCCAATCGACGTTTCCCAGAATCTATTTGCAGTTATTGTACGTTTCATCCATCACTCCCCTCGTTGTCTGACCTAAATTTCGATAGGGAGCGTCACTGCTTTGCCTGCTCCTCGTCCTCTTGTTTCCTCTCTTCCGCAAGCTCTCGTACGAGCTCTTCCTACGGTCACACCAAGCCCTCGCCTGGGGCTCCATCTACGCGGTGTGGCGACACGTTCCTTCCGACAAGTCTTCCCCGCACGCCTATATCTACATCACCATGGGGATATTCGCAGCAACCTCCTGCAAACTGGCGCCGTCATCGTCCGAAACGGGGTCTTTCGCCACCAACTGTCACGCGCCACTATCACGCACGATGCAGGTGCGGTCAAGATGCAGCTACATCTCTCCAAGCCTCTGGCGATGGATGCTGGGCAGTATATAAACCTGTGGATCCCTTCTGTCAGCTTCTGGTCTTTCCTCCAAACTCACCCGTTCACGGTCATCTCGTGGGACGCAAAGGACCAGGCCAGGCTTGATCTCCTGATCGAGCCTCGGAGAGGGCTCACGCAAGAGCTGTTGTACCACGCGAAGAAGGGCTACACCATCAACCCTCTCGTCATGTTCAGTGGCCCTCACAGAGCCAGCCTGTCGATGGGTGAGTACGAGAGCGTCCTAATGGTGGCGAGCGGCTTCGGCATCGCTGCCTTCGTACCACACCTGAAGAAGCTAATCTACAGCTATAACACTCGCGCGGTCCGAACTCGCTGCATTCATCTGGTGTGGCAGATAAAGAATGAAGGTGGGATTGCTGTATGCAATATGCAAATCCGTATCAAAGCTAACAGGTGTAGCCGACGGTCTTGCAGTTCAGGAAGTACTTAACAGTGCGCTGAAGGAGGACAAATTGGACGATGGCTGTGTACGTTCAGTGGTATATAACACCCTCCAAAATTGCAGCTAATGAATACCCGGACTAGATCCTCTCGATTTCAGTGTATGTTGAATCTAAGAACTCGCCTAAAACGCCATTTGGGGAACGAGCTAGTATGTATCCGGGGCCCTCTCCCTTGCCAGAGTGTCATACTGACATTCGTTGCACTCAGTTTGCTATCAAACTCAAGAGCAAACTTGGAAATCTCCTCCTCAAACCTACAAGTCACTATACATATTTTGGCTTAACGTACATGTATAGCGAAAGCGCCAAACAAGCGAAAGCACCAAAATGATGCGGTGACCAAACCCCCCAACTAAATGTTAAATTCCTCAACAACAAAACATGCCCCATAAAAACGATGAAAGCCAATTAGTGCTAGCTATCCAGGCTATGCAAAGCGACCCAAAGTTACGCCTTCGAGTTGCTGCTAGGATCTATTCTGTGGACCACCGCAAGCTAGGTCGTCGTCTAGAAGGTGTACCTTCACGACGCGATATCCAAGCCAACTCACGGAAATTAACTAACCTAGAGGAGTCCGTCCTTGTTCAGTATATACTCGACCTAGCTGCCAAAGGGTTTCCTCCTCGGCTGTCTGTTGTTGAAGATATGGCAAGTCGACTACTTGCAACACGCGACGCGTCACGCGTTGGGTCGCGTTGGGCTTCAAACTTTGTTAAGCGGCGTGTAGAGCTCCAGACACGCTTTCAGCGCAAATACGACTACCAGAGGGCTAAGTGCGAAGATCCAGAAGTTATTAATGGCTGGTTTGAGCTTGTGCGTAACACAATTGCGAAATATGGTATCGATGAAGCAGATATCTACAACTTTGATGAGACTGGGTTTATGATGGGCGTTATCTCAACTGCTATGGTTGTAACAAGCTCAGACGGGCGGGCAAAAGCAAAGAAGGTACAGCCTGGTAATTGGGAATGGGTTACAGTAATCCAAGGCATTAGTTCTCAAGGTTGGGCAGTACCACCATTTATCATTGTTGCAGGCAAAAACCACCTTACATCTTGGTATGAGAATAGTGGATTTTCAAGTGATTGGGTGATTTCTGTTACTGAAAATGGCTGGACTACAAACGAGAGAGGCATGGATTGGATTCAGCACTTTGAGAAGCATACAAAGGCCCGGAGTGTTGGTGGTTATCGCTTGTTAGTCCTTGATGGTCATGAGAGCCACCACTCAGATGAGTTTGAGGAGTACTGCAAGGAACACAACATTATTACGCTTTGTATGCCTGCTCACTCTTCTCATCTACTCCAGCCACTTGATGTTGGCTGTTTCGGCCCGTTAAAGCAGGCCTATGGTCGGCAAATTGAAGATATGATGCAGGCTCATATTTCTCATATTACAAAGGATGACTTCTTTCCTGCCTTCCACGCTGCATTTAACACTACAATGACGGAAAGTAACATTCGAGGCGGGTTCCGAGGGGCAGGGCTTCTTCCATTTGACCCTGAGAGAGTGATATCTACACTTGATCTTAAGTTAAGGACACCAACGCCTCCAAGCTCCCGCCCAGGTACTGCTCAACCTTGGGTTTCTCAGACACCAAACAACCCAATTGAAGCTATGTCACAGTCTACATTTATTAAAACTCGGATTTCACGCCATCAAAATAGCTCTCCAACCTCAATCTATGCAGCTGTTGACCAGTTTACAAAGGGTGCATCGCAAATAATGCATCAATTAGCACTGCTAAAGGCAGAGAACCAAAACCTACGACAGGCAAATGAAGTACTAAGCAAGCGCCGGAGAGCTAGGAAAACACGACTACAGCAAGGAGGATCACTTAGTCAACAAGGGGCGCAAGAGCTACAGGATGAGAGGGATGTTGTGCAGCAGGTAGAGCAGGAAATAAGGGCAAGCCGTGGTCGGAAGCCAAGGGAAGAAACCCGTGCCCGTCGCTGTGGCAAGTGTGGTGAGACTGGGCACAATGCGCGCACGTGTCAGATTGTAATAGACACCTCTGAGGAAGAGGACTCCGAGTAGTTTCAATTGATTTCTAATGTTGTGGTAGATTTATCGCAATGTTTGTCGTGAGGGTAGATAATTTTGGCGCTTTCGCTTGTTTGGCGCTTTCGCTATACATGTACGTTATGTAAGTGTAAGTAATACTCGATCTTTTTGATACGGGTGAGGGCCCCGTCAGCAAGTTATACCATACCATATTCAGTTTAATAAAGATCATATTCTCATAAATATACTGGTGCTATCACCGCTTATCAGTAACTACCACGAGCCGTTTTAGGGGACCAGAAATGCTTATCTAACCCCGCCTTGACACTAGCGGCCGCACTTGGCGGGATGACGATAACTGTGTGTATTTCGAAAACTTTTAAAAAAGTAGATAAAGTCAACAGCACATACATCTGCCCACTAATATATCACGTACGGCCTGACTTTCTTCCAGACAACACCTACTCCCACACAAGAATCCACCTCTACCCCTCCAGAATGGCCGCCTCAAACCCCGCCATCCCGGCCTACAAAACCGCCTTCCTCGAGTCCTGCCTCTCCGCCAACGTCCTGACATTCGGCACCTACACCCTCAAATCCGGACGTCGTTCGTGCCACCCCTCCCCCTCCACGCAAACTCCCAACTAACCCCCTCACCACAGAATCCCCCTACTTCTTCAACGCCGGCTCGTTCCATTCCGCCCCACTCCTCTCGGCCATCGCCCAGGCCTACGCCCACACCATCGTCTCCTTCCTGGCCACCAACCCCTCCGTCCCCAAGCCCGACGTCATCTTCGGCCCCGCATACAAAGGCATCCCCCTCGCCTGCGCCGCGCTCCTCGAGCTGCACCGTCTCGATCCCGAAACCTGGGCGAACGTGTCCTACAGCTTCGATCGCAAGGAAGTCAAAGACCACGGCGAGGGCGGGTCAATCGTCGGCGCCGCTTTGAAGGGAAAGAACGTCCTTGTCATCGACGATGTGATCACCGCCGGTACTGCTATGCGTGATACCCTCGTCAAGGTCGCCAGGGAGGGCGGAACGGTGGTGGGGTTCGCGGTTGCGCTTGATAGGGAGGAGAAGATGCCCGGGCCGAGGGAGAAGGAGGGGATTGATGATGGGGAGGCGAGGGGGAGCGCGATGGGGCAGATTAGGGGGGAGTTCGAGGTGAGGACGGCGAGTATTGCGACGTTGGGGGATTTGATTGAGTTGTTGAGGGGGAAGGGGAGTGAGGAGGATGTGAAGAGGATGGAGGCGTATAGGGCGAGGTATAAGGCTAGTGATTGATTGAGGTGCTCTGCAGTGTTGAAAGGGCTTTAGCAATAAGAAATAAGAAAGAGTGTTTATGATGTGGTAATGCCTTTTGGGCTTGCCAATGCACCTGCTTCTTTCCAAGCTCTCATGAATGATATTCTAAGACCTTACTTGGATATCTTTGTTGTTGTCTACTTAGACGACATTCTTATATACTCTTTAGACACTCAAGAGCATGTTCTACATGTTAGACAAGTCTTAGAGAAGCTATCTCAAGCACAACTCTTTTGCAAACTTGAGAAATGTCTTTTCCATATGTCTCAAGTTGATTTCTTGGGACATAGAATTTCAACAGAAGCATTCAGATGGATCCTGAAAAGACAAAAGCAGTACAAACGTGGCCTATTCCTTCCAGCATTAAAGAGGTTCAGTCTTTCCTTGGTTTGCCAACTATTACAGGAGGTTTATACCAAGATATACATTGATGCTTTTAAAGGAGAATTCAAAGAAGGGAAAATGTTACTACACTTTAACCCCTTGAAACCTGCCACTCTTGAGACAGATGCCTCGGATTTTGCCATTTCTGGAATCTTATACCAAGCTCCAAAAGACAAACAAGAAGAGCTACAGCCTGTGGCATTTTACTCAAGAAAGCTGTCTCAGGGGCCAAGAATCAAAGAGCAGATCTCCTCTCAAGAAGACATGACTACCAAGATTCTGCTAAAGCTAGCAATACAAAGGCTCTGCTAGACTCTACAAATCTTATAGCAGCATCTTTAAGCAACCCTCATACTACAGAGGACTTAGGGGTAAACTTATCCCTCAAGACCAAGTTGCCCCCTGTAATGGTGGGTGCACCAGATGTGAGAATTGTAATGGTGGGTGCACTAGATGTGAGAATCTAGCCACCCAAGGAAGGGATGAATTTACTAAGACAACACACTGTCTTAGAAAACAGAGCCAAAGGGTTGTAGCTTAGACTATTCCACAACGCAGCAATCAGGTGTGTGATGTAGTGAAGTGGTTCAGACAAGTTGCAACAAATGTTGAGTCTGGGAACTCAGGGGTAAGTCAGAGGTTAACACCTCACTGACTTTTCAGAAACAAGGAGTAACAAGATGAATGCTTGGAAGCTTGGAAAAGACGTGGAAGTATGTGATAGTCGATTTACTGTATTGTCTGCTTGCCCTTTCTTAAGGAAAGGGCAATCCTATTTATGCTAAAGGAGTGTAGTTCTCTCATTTTCCAAGACTTTCCATGACTTACCAGGCTTGGTAACTGTAGTCGACGTAAGAGAATCCCATAGAACCAGCTCTTAGGTTCGTAGCCTATAGGAAGTAAAAGGAGGTCCAAGGTCAGAGTACCCCTATAGACAAATTATGTCATAGACAAATTATGTCATAGACAAATTATGTCATAACTTAACCAATCTTGGTGGTAACTAAAGAGCGATGACATGTAATGAATCATAGAGGTTTGTAGGAGCTTTTAGAGCTATCGTTCATGCTCCTAGGCCTCTAGTTGGTAGAGATATGTCATGTGGTAGTATGAGTGATGTCATGTAATGAATCATAGAGAGTTGTAGAGATATGCTATGTGGTAATATCGGCCCAGTAACTAAGGAGCGATGACGTGTAATGAATCATAGATGGTTGTAGCAATCGTTGAGTATTATTGCTCTTGTTGTTGGTGTGATAAGCCAAAATATGTATAGTGACTTGTAGGTTTGAGGAGGAGATTTCCAAGTTTGCTCTTGAGTTTGATAGCAAACTGAGTGCAACGAATGTCAGTATGACATCGGAATCCCTTAGCAGCCGATTTATCAACCTTGATGATCCGATTAATACACCAACAATAGGGAAGAGGAACGATATGAATATACGTCGACGGGAAGTGGCTTGGCCAGATATTGAGGCTATTCTTTTTGAGTGGCAAGAACGAATCGATTCAAAAGGAGGTTTTACAACTGCGGAGATCTTACAAGAGAAGGCAAAGTGAATTTGGTCACAACTACCACAATATCAAGGGAAGCCTTCGCCAGAGTTTAGCATTGCTTGGATACAGAAATTTCGACTACGTCACAACATCCGGAATAGAAAGAGGCAAGGAGAAGGGGCATCAGTCAGTGAGACAGCAGAGGACGAGATGAGGGCTATTTGGATGTGGCTGGGGAGTATTTAAAGGACAACATTTATAACATGGATGAGACGGGTTTATACTGGAAGATGATGCCATCTCGTGGGCTTTCTACAATGGAGGCTCAAGTAGGAAGGAAGATGGACAAGGCAAGGATGTCTGTCGTATTCTGTTGTAACGCTGCTGGTACTGATCGATGTCCTCCTTGGTTTATTGGCAAGGCGAAAACGCCTCGAGCTTTACGAAACATCGACGTCATAGCAATGGGAGGGGTTTGGAGGTGGAATAAGAAGGCTTGGATGAATCAGTTTATTATGGCAGAATGGTTAAGGGCTTTTTATGCTCGTATTGGTACAACACGGGAGGTTCTTCTCACCATGGACAACTTTTCAGCACATATCAAGGCCCTCGAATCGACACCACCCCCTGCGAATATCCGAGTTATCTGGCTTCCTCCAAATGCAACAAGTCGATTTCAAGCCCTAGATCAAGGTATCATTGCCTCTGTCAAAGCTCATTACCGTCGACAATGGCTCCTTTACATCCTTGACACTTTTGAAAGGAATGAAGATCCTGTCCAAACGATGAATATACGACTTGCTATTCGATAGCTTCTTCGATCCTGGAATCACGACCTTACAAACTCGACAATCTATAACTGTTTTCGAAAGAGTACGATTGTTCAAAAGCCAGTTCAACTACCCTCACAACCTCTTCCTGATATTACCAATCTCTATCAACAAGTACAACAAGCTGGGAATGTACACGACTCTATAAATCCAGTCGATGAGGATATACAATAGTTAGAGGGGTGGGAGGATTTTCAGGGGGGGGATGCTATTCTTGAGGATATCCTCAAGAATAGCATCCCCCCCCTGAAAATCCTCCCACCCCTCTAACTATTGTATATCCTCATCGACTGGATTTATAGAGTCGTGTACATTCCCAGCTTGTTGTACTTGTTGATAGAGATTGGTAATATCAGGAAGAGCTCCTGTCTCGGAACAGTATCTCAGCTGGTGTGCACCTAATAGTAGAGTGGATTTGAGTGTTTATTGCAAGCGTAACCTTAAGTAGCCCATCTTTCCACTCTGTAGACCCATGATCCATTTTCCATGCTCGTAGCTTATTCTTAACAACTCCATTTGCCTGCTTAACTAGGCCTTGCGTCTATGGTGACTGTGGTGCTCCATTTACTACTTGAATTTCATACTTCTGTAGTAATATAAGTAGAGCCCCTTTGCCATTATCTACTTGCATAATGTTAAAGAGGTAAGAAAGCTGTAATAAAGAGAGCAAAGCAGTCTGTAATTAGCTCTACATGCTTGCTCTTTAATGAATATAGCTAACGTATTTCACAGGCGAAGCGATCACCTAGGCGAAGTGATCACTGAACTTCCCACCTAAAATTGAGAAATTTACAGATAATAACTCAACAACAACTTCATATATATTCTAAAAATGTGTGTATTCATAAAGGGCTTCATTCATGAGCCTTTGCATGGATGCTAGTGCATTTGTTAGTCCAAAGGGCATAACTTGATACTTGAATAAACCATAGCAGGTGCAGAATGCTGTTTTCCACTCATCTCCTGTAAGGACACAGGGCACCCAGCTCACAGTAATAGCATATGAGAGTGCGAGTCGGAGGCTAAACGGATGCTATCCTATAGGTCTACTACGAAGGATACAAAAAAGATGAAGGGGGAACCCCGCTGAGTCTGTTTCCTTGAGTACCCGAAACGGGCCCGACTCGGTTATCCCAACCCTAGCCCTGATCCTTCCACCGCAACAGGTCAGCATCGACCCTGAACCCTACACCCTTACCGTCCCCCACTATAGTGTAACTGGCTTCTACTGGTTCGAAACCACACCGAGTCGGATTTCATGCTTGTAGTGACCGTAACAGTTCTGAGACAGGTTCTTCGAGTATCTAGGTAAGGAGGCATCCTTACAGGCCTTACGTGGTAGCTGTCACGGTTCACCAAGGCATAGGGCGCCAGTTGGGTATTATGAATTAAACTCAATCTAGAGAAGAAAGGAAAGAGAAGAGGAGCACTCGAGCAGTGGCTCGATCTATATACAGCTATTGTGGAGTGAATTCTCTTTAGCGAGACCAGTTCTGAGAATTCACTCCACAACTGAAAACTTCACTCCAACCCCGGAAAGCTCCCCACACCCCTGAACCCCCACTCGAGCTGCAAGGCGCACTTGATATCGTAACAGTAGCACGTGATAGCCTTCCTTACAATTACCTCCCCCTTTAGGTGTAAGGATGCCTTCTCGTCTCTCATTCTAGGGAGTAGACTCCAGGTAGCCGCGGGGTCACGTGTGATCATTTGGGTGGCCTAACCGAGTCGGAACCGAGTCGGATGGGTTTCGGATACTTGAGAAAATCGACTGACGGGGTTCCCCATCATCTTTTTCGTATCCTTCGTAGTAGACCTATAGGATAGCATCCGTTTAGCCTCCGACTCGCACTCTCATATGCTATTACTGTGAGCTGGGTGCCCTGTGTCCATACATTAGGGGAATTGCCCGTAATTCTGAGCAGAGAGGCTGATTTCCAGATCATAGGCTTTATGTAATTGTTTAGGCTGTTTGCTCTGTGTAGGGGGGGGTTGTCCAGGCACGCTCTAAACTAGGTGGTCTTATGACTCCCTTATTGTCGTTAGTTGCCATAGCCACTCCTTGTTTTAGGGCCCCCCTATTCCTACCTCCTACCCCTTAACCTTCTTCCTAAAACCTTCACCTCACCACTTCGCTTCACCACCTCATTCCACCCTAACTTTCAAAGCTTAATCATCCAACCTTTAAGGTATTTTGTTCCCCTTTCCTCTAGCTTATAGAGGCTTATTAACAGTAATAGATCTTCCCATTCCAACTCCATTATGATGCCTTGTAAGAAGGTCCCTACGGTTCCTGTTCCTATAGCCACCCCTTATAAGAGAACGGCAGCCTAGATGTTAGGCTCCCCTAGGTCCAAGGCACTAGTTACGCCTACTCCTTCTAGGTCTATGTCGTCCTAACGTCCACGTACCGTTCGACCCTACCATTCGCCTACTGTTAAGGATGGCCTAGAGGAACTAGACAACCCTAGATTTTCTAACAACGTTCCTAAGGAGATGCACACCATGCTTAGGTAGAAGGTTGCCGCCTACTACGTGGTCCCTAAATCTATAGGGTGCCTTTGCGCTAGCCCTCACCCTTGCTATGTGAAGTGCGCTCATACCTATTTCAACCCCTAGACAGATGTGTTAGACCCTGATATAGGGAAGTGCGGTGATTGCCTTTAGGGCAACCACTAATGCATCTAGGTAGGGCGTCTCCTTCTTCCCTCTTCGCCTAGTTGTACTAACAGTAGGTAGGCTAATACCTAATTCAGTGTCGAACTAGAGGCCCTCTAGCTTGCTACTAACGCTTTCTTAGATAGCTAGGCTGATGACAACGATGCTAGGCTTAAGGCCGACTCTAGCACCACCTCCTAGGCCCTTGCTGTCCTCCACGAGGCCTAGCGCATATACTCTAACGCCTTCTAAGCCTAGGAGGCCCCTACCCCTAAGGGCAAGGGTGTTTCTAGACTAGCTAAGGGTAGAGGAGTCGCTAGACCTTCCTCTAAGGATAAGGGTCCCTCTAGGGTCGCCGTACGCAATATAGACGACCCTTAGTAGGCTTAGGTGTTCTACGCCTCCGTTAACGCAGTCCTTAATGCCCACTAGTCTGGGCTCGAAGCCTACGCCAACTCCATGAAGTTCCTTGTAGGTCTGCGGCTTCCCTTCTTCTTAGGTGTTGGCTAACCCCATAGGCAGTTGGAGCCCCGCACCAAGTGATGTCTGCTCCTTCCGTCACGCCCTCGCCCGTTGATCTAGAGCGTGCTCTCTTAGAGCGCCAGCTTGTAAAGCCCAGCAAGTGGAGGTACAACGCCCTACCACCTACGCCCCTAGGGCCTCCTTCGGTCCACTCCTCGTCATCGTCCTTGTCTGATGGCCAAGGCTCTTCGTCGGAGTCCGACTTTTTTGATTGTTTCCGTCGCCTATAGGACTAATACTACTCCGTTGTCCTATCCTTGTTTTCTTGCGCATGCTTCCTGTGATATGCCGCAATTAACGGTAATCCTACATCATGTTTTGGCACCCACTGGTCGTCTGCAGCTGTGTAGTCAGCCCATCTAATTAGGTATTCTTCCCTGCTTCCTGTGCCTTTTGTTCTGTGGTCTAGGACCGCTTCTACTTCCAACAACCTTCGAATCGCCCAGTAAAGGAGAACGAGACGGTTTTCGGCGGTTAGTGACAAAGTGAGTCCACAAATTTAAAAGGCTAGCCTTACATATGCTAATATAATATAACCTAGCGAGCATAATGGAGACGAAATATTGCGTCTTACTCGCCTCGGGGTTATACCAGTTAATGGAAGATTGTCCTTGGACCCAACGTTCCGTGAGCGCGTCCCATTTCTGCGAGCTTGTCCACGTTGCCAACAAGCCGTGAAGGAAATCATTTCATCAGCGGATATGTCAAGGTTGGAGCAAGCAGAGCAGGAGGGAGCGATGACAATAGTCCAATAGTCTCCACGAAGTAGCATTGTAATCTATTCAGGTAGACGCAGGGGATTTGGGTTTCAATTTCACTGTAACCTGCGGTTTTTTTGCTTGAGCATTATTTACCTTCATAAGAAAATGGATACCGAACGTGGGTTTCTCTTGTGGTTGTTCTGATTCAGCCATCTTGACGAAGAATGCTTTAGTGACGAGACGTGTGGACAGACGATGTTACCGTTTGCATCCCCCAGAAACAACAAATGAACCGACCACCAGCTTCGCAGCACAGTTGCCAGGACGCGAGAATTACCCCCAAGATCTCAAACTCCCTACTCGTCAGCTACATCCCACCCATCCTCCCTCTCCTCTCAGCCCCAGCTTCCCCGTCCATATCGTTAAGTACGCGGACTCAAACATGGTGCCTTCACGTTCTTATCATCGGCGCAACCCAAAATTGGTATCTGCCCTCCGCCCATGATCTTAACCGCGCTGATGCGGACTAAAGTGCATGCAGTAGCATCTATCGATCCTGGGAAGTTGCGTTTGCGGGCGGAAGGAGCAGCCGCGAGGTCGGTCGCTACTTTCTTCAGCTGATATCAGGTTTGCGCGAAATGTCAGCGTTGACGGTTCGAGTCATCATATCGTGGGTTATACCGTGTTTCTATTTTGTTTCGAATTCTTATTTCCTTCCTTTTGTGTGTCCACGGTGTCCAATTCTGTATAGTCGTGCAGACTCCTGCGTGGCAGTGGGGTGGTCGTACAGAGACGGCTGGTGGGAATGAGTTTGTAGGCACCACTCCTCGTTGTCGGGTCACACAGCCACAGCCGTCTTCGCCCCGTCTCTCAGCCGCTGTACGATGCGAAGACGGGGTTCGTTCCTGTTTGGAAATAGGAAGCGAGAAAAAAATCCCCTTGTTCAGTTCTAGGCGCAAGGCAGCAAGGACACATGGCATCGGACGGGATGGGATGATTACCCGGGAATTACAGGTTACGCATCATTCCGCAGCCCAGGTTCAGGGGCATCTAATCCGGACACCACGATATCTTGGGACACGTCGTATCAGATCGGAGAAATGCCGCGTGGGAACCACGGTGGCTTGGCCCCTGGTTCCTGTCTTGCTTGGGGGTGGGGCAGACGAGGGTTGCCCAGCTCACGCTGAATATGTTGATTATCTGCATGTTTCATGATGGGGGCTGTGGCTGAGGCTGGAGGATGGGGGCCGGAGGAGGCGAGGAGGAGGAGGATTACTGGGACGGAGGAGGTAAATGGCGTCGATTATTGGATGGCAGCCACTGCGCCTCGACTTGGAAGGGAGGGTTGCCTTGCATCGTGTTGGCTTGACTCGTCTACAACGTTAGGGGGGGATGCGAGAGTAGTTGGGGGTAGGACGAGGAGAGTGAGTACATAGAGCCTGCGTTTCGCTGTCATGGGGAAGAGATCATCAAGCAAGTGATTTCGTTGACTTCATCTTCATTCTCTTATCCCCATTGTCTTTTTCTTTCTCCTTCATCGTTTGGGTTAGTTCGCCCCTTTTCCAATACCCACCCAAGGCGAGTCGCCACCATTCATCAACAATGAAGCATATCACCACTACCACTCTCCTCTCCTCCCTCCCACTCATACTCCCCGTCTTCTCTACCCCCGTCTCCACTCCACACTACACAAACCACAAACCACCAGGCCACCTTCTCGGTTCCTCCTTCGGCGTTCCGGGGCCCCAAACGTTCGACTATGTGGTCATTGGCGGCGGCACCGCCGGCCTCGCCCTCGCAAGCCGCCTAAGCGAGAACCCCAACTGGACCGTCGCTGTCGTCGAGGCAGGCGGCTTCTATGAGACGGATAACGGCAACGTGAGCCAGGTTCCGTTATTTGCGAGCATAGGCTCGGATAAGACGGCCGCGAATTATAACCCGTTGGTTGATTGGGGGTTCATGACTGAGCCACAGACGGTGGGTTACCCCTTTTGGCTATCCGTTTGTCTTTCGGATTTTCGTCCTTGTGCGCCACTTGGGTGCAAAGGAACGTCGTCAGTGGAATTATATGCTGATGTTATGCTGGAACAGGGTGCTAACAACACCTCTGTGCATTATGCGCGAGGTAAGTGTCTGGGGGGCAGCTCGGCTCGGAACTATATGGCCTACCAGCGCGGGACAGTCGAGTCGTTCGACCTCTGGGCGACGCTTGTGGGCGACAAATCGTACTCGTGGCGCTCTTTCCTGCCATACCTTCAGAAGAGCGTTCACTTCACTCCACCCCCTGCCGGCAAACGAGCCGCCAACGCAACAGCAGCGGTTGATCTCAAGACCATCGGCCCGAACAACGGGCCTGTTTCGCTGACCTTCTCCAACTATGCCATGGGCATTAGCAGCTATGTGCAGAAAGGCTTTGCAGAGATTGGGATCCGTCCCACGAACGGATTTGCTAGTGGCACACTGAATGGGTCGAGCTACGTGCTCGAAACGATCGATGAAAGCACACAGATTCGAGAGAGCTCCGAGACGGCATTCCTGACGCCGGCGCTGGGAAGAGATAATTTAATTGTATTTGCGCATACCCTGGCGAAAAAAGTGTTGTTTGATAGCCAGAAAAGGGCCACCGGTGTGAGTGTTGAGACTGGCGGGAAGGTGTATAAGCTCAGTGCGAAGAATGAGGTTGTGCTTTCGGCGGGTGCGTTTCAAAGTCCGCAACTGCTGATGGTATCGGGCGTTGGGCCAAAGGCAACGCTGGATAAATTCAATATCCCCCTGGTGAAGAACTTGCCAGGCGTGGGGCAGAATATGTGGGTGAGTTTTTTCATGCCCGGAGAAGCAAAGTGCAAGATACTGATTATGGCAGGACCATGTGTTCTTCGGCCCCAGCTATAAGGTCAACGTTATCACAGGGTCAGCACTCGCGAGACCTGGATTCGCGAAGAAAGCCGTGACAGACCTTCTCGAAAAGCAATCCGGCATCCTTACCAACTCCGGTGGGGATTTCTTCGGTGCGTCCCCCATTATCAATTCTGATACCCCAACTGACTCTCACAGCATGGGAGAAGCTTCCACCCACCAGCCGCGCCGCCCTCCCAGACTCCGACCGTAAAGCCCTCGCCTCCTTCCCCGCGGACTGGCCCGAGCTCGAATACCTTACTGTCGGCGGCTACATGGGAGATAATGTGGATTACACCACCGGCCCCTCTGACGGCTTCAACTATGCCACCGTGGTCGCCGCTCTCGTCGCGCCCCTTTCCCGCGGCACCGTCTCCATCCGCTCCAACGACACTTCTGACGCTCCCGTGATCGACCCGCAGTGGCTGACGCACCCTACGGACCGTGCTGTTGCAATAGCTGCACAGAAGCGGTTGAGGGAGCTGTTTGCAACGAAGGCGATGAAGGGGGTTGTGCTGGGGGATAGGGTGTATCCTCCTGCGACGAAGGGGGGTGAGACCGATGCGCAGTTATTGGCGGAGGTGGGGGCGGGCTTTAATACGGTGTGGCATGCGGCGTGTACGTGTAAGATGGGGAAGAAGGAAGATGAGATGGCGGTGGTGGATGGGAAGGCGAGGGTGTTTGGAGTGAGGGGATTGAGGGTGGTGGATGCGAGTTCGTTTGCGCTGTTGCCGCCGGGGCATCCGGTAAGCGCTATTTGTGAGTATCATTCTTTGCTGTGTGTTGGAAAGTTGGTTGGCTAATGGCGGGTGTGTAGATGCGTTGGCAGAGAAGATTGCGGATGATATTAAGAAGGATCCGGTGGTTGTGTAGATGGAGTGGGTAATATCGAAGGAGAGCTGCCTGTGTTGTCGAATAGGAGATATTAGAGACGAGGTCCTAGAGATGAGCTGTTCGAAAATGTCTGTGGGTAAGGAGCTATGGGTGAGGGGATGCGAAAAGGATGAGGGGTTTCTTTGGATTTCGGCGCTGATGAATAATGTTATTTCATTCTTTGGTTCATATTCTTATGTATAGTTAGGCACATACAGGTATCCACAGAACAAAGGGAGAGAGATGCATGGATGAAGATCCCGTAAGCAATCGAAAGGTTGTCTTAGAAATATAGCAATATCACCGCGTTGGATGTTGGTATTCAAAATGATATGCAGGTTATACTGTATCCCATGCATAGAGTGAAAAGGAAGAGCGCCAAGAAACTGTGAAAATGCATCACATACCTGTATAATTCGTCATGAACGCAACCATAGAGATGTAAAGGCATAAATTCGAGTTGTATAACTTGCAACGTATACTGTGCGCTGTAGGATCTATAACATTTTTGCGTGCTGTGCCCTGTGAGACATGCATATTCGGCACCCGATAGAGTAGTCTTGCATCCGCCCCAGAACAGGAAAGTCGACGCGGCCGCCTCGGCGCAGTAGATCGGTTTACCAATCGTCGATCCAAGGGATGATCGCCGGCGCGGTACCCTTTAACTTCAGCTACGGTTACATCTGACAGGTGACAGCTGTCAGCTTACTACAGCATACAGCAGTCGAATAATGGGGCGGGTGGCGGCTTTTGCCGGGAGGAACGTGCAACTTCAATTTCTTACCAATCCGTCATTTTTGTGTGCGTGGTGAGTAATTCAAATGTGACCACCATATTCCACTAGATATCAAAGAAACACGGGAAGGAGAAGCTCAAAGAAAGACAGAATAGATGTCATCAATGACGACGCCAGGCTGGTTGGGCTGCTTAGTAAATGCGAAATACCGACCGACTGGAGAGGCTAGAGGTTGTGATTAGAAATCTTGGGCAACGACGTCGATTGTTACTTCCGTTTTAGATATCGTCGTTCCTGTCGTTCTCGTCGTCGGTAACCACCTGAATATGCTGTGTCATTGATGTTTGCTCCTGAGGGAAAGGTATAAAGTATCCTCCAATTTCCACGGTTGCTCTCTCTTCTTTCTTACAACTTCACTCTCGCAACACACATTCACTCTACAACCTCTTTCCTCCACTTCAGTCTCCAAACTTCAATCAACCAGCACAGCTCCAATCTAACCACTTCAAAGTCATACATTCAACCTTCAAAATGGTTCAACCAATCAAGCTCTACACTGTCGCCGCGGTAAGCCATTTCCCATCCCCGTCAACACCAAATAGCACACAGCTGAACACAAACACAGGGCCCAAACCCATGGAAGGTCGCCATCTTCCTTGAGGAGCTTGGTATTCCTTACACCAACGAGCTCCGAACCTTCGCCGAGCTCAAGGAGGAGCCATACCTCGACATTAACCCCAACGGCCGCGTTCCAGCCATCCAGGACCCAAACACTGGCATCACTGTCTCTGAGGTGAGTTTAACTTCCCATGACAAACCTTCCCCAACATTACCTCCATACTCCACAACCAATTTTCGCCAACCTCAACCTAATACTTACAATCCTCCCAGTCCGGCGCCATCCTCCAATACCTCGCCGAGACCTACGACACCACCTACAAGTTCCACCACGCCAGCGGCCAAGAGAAGTACTCCGAGTACCAGTGGCTCCACTTCCAGACCTCCGGCCAAGGCCCCTACTTCGGCCAGAAAGCCTGGTTCTCCAACTACCACGCCGAGAAGCTTCCCTCGGCCGAGACCCGCTACGAGGGCGAGATCCGCCGCGTCCTCGGCGTCGTCGAGCTCCACCTCAGCAAGACCAAGACCGACTACCTCGTTGGCAACAGCTACTCCTACGCCGATCTGGCCTGGACTACCTGGAACCAGCTGATTGGCTGGTTGGCTGCTGACATTGATGTCAAGAAGGACTTCCCGCTCTTTGCGGCCTGGAATGAGAGAATCCAGAATCGTTCTTCGGTCATCAAGGTTGCGGCGGACAAGGCTACGCTTCAGTAGATTGGGATGGATGATGTCTTGATCCCTACTTTCTGAGGTGGAAGGAGGTTAGACTGGGATATGTGGTGTGGATGCGATGGGAAACCCAATGACTTTATGGCTTTGAGAAAATGATGATGATTTCATACATGTGTTCCATGATGCTTCCCAACGTGATTTTGAATCGAATGATGTGAGATGATTGCGGGTATTTTGGCTTGAAACCCTCCAACTCCTCTCCTCCATCTTCTCCTTTCCCTCCACATCAACGAGCTCCTCCACATCAAAGAGCTCCTCCACATCAACGAGCTCCTCCGTCACGGCGCGATATTATCAACCAGCTATATGCACGTAGGCGTAAATACCGACTATCGTCTTATGATAAAACTGTATTACATAAAACGCATAACGTAGTTCACAAGTGAGTCGCCTACACAAGCTCACCGCCGGTTTTTTCTTGGCATCGTACGAAATTATAACTCGCTACATACGAAATTTAGCTGACACAACTAATCTTAAGCGATTAAGCGACTTAACACTCGTGATATAATCTGCTAACGCAAACAGACAACCTTCGTACGATTGCTAAAGCTCATACGGAGCGTTAAAAAGGGAAAGGAGCAGCTTTAAAGGGACATTTCCACATTTCGACTAAGGAATTACGCGATAAGTTGTAGAGGCTAAGAAAGAGACAATAGGGAAGCGAAAGAAAGAGAAGCAAATAAGGCAAAAGGAAGCTTCGTACGAACCTGAAAGTGAGAGTGAGATTGGAGAAGATTCATCATGGGGATATCCAATATAAGAAATATTGAAGACAATGAATAGCTAATACAATTTTGTTTTTCTAGAGGCTGGAAACTCCTTCGTTACTCGTGGCAAGCATGATGTGCCGTTTCGATATAGGCTTTATACACGAGCGAATACCAGGCGAGAAGCGCCTTTTTGCCATCGTCACCGAGCTGGAAGATTGCGGGGAAGAGGACAAGATGGTTATGTTGCCGCTGATGAAGATCAAGGGCTCGACTCAGATCATCATCGGCCTCCCAGGGATTGGTAGCAAGCCGCTCTACATTGTCGACACAGACTCGACAAGAAGAAATGAGCCAGCACCATTTGGGAAGGGCAGCCTGAGATTGAATAGCACGGCGAGCTATTCCGAGTCGTTTGTCTCAACTCTGCCAAGTGATCCAGCAGTACTGATTTACTGCTGGTGGGATATTGGGTTGATGTGATCAATGGCGGGCACAGGGAAACTGGAAGGATGGCAGCGCTTTTACCAGTTAGAAGTGAAGCCGTAGATATAATAAATGAACTCAATTCCTATATCTATCTACCTATTCATATTGCTCTATGTGATGTCGATTTCGATGCTTTGAATACGACTTTATGAAAATAGGCGACACGTGCCTTCCGTATTTGGTGGTTTCTTCGCCCACCGTAAACTTCACTCCAAATTCGAATTCTGTCTCCGAATCGACCCCTATGTAAAGGTTGGATATGCCATCAGAATTTGCACTGTGAAGGTAAATTCAATCTCATTTGAACGAGTATTCAAACTCTTCACTTGTCATGTCAACCGCTCGCTCTCGAGCTTCGTTCTGAGCTGTCGCGCTCTATTCTTCTTGGCTCTCCAAGCCTGCCAAAACAGTGGCTGACCTCGCCACAACTTGCCCAATGTGGTTGGGGCTCTGTTTGGAATTGTCGAGGCCTCTTTGAGCCTCTCTGAACCTTCCTCGATTATTTTCGAAGCTCGCATTCAATGCTGTCCGGAGTACTGTCCAGGATAGTCTCCCCGCTCCAGCCCAAACCGACAGCTGGCTAACCTTGTCACAGATTCAAGTCCGCCACTATTGACAGCTCAATTGAGCCATATCCATCGGGCATGCCTTTCGAAGGCAAATATCTCTGGCTTCTCGCTCTTCGACGCAATGGCCACCCTCGCTGGCATGCTCGCCGAGCTGCCTGCAAACGCAAATATCTCTGACCTCCTCGCCATCGAAACCCCTCCCCCCAAACATGAGCATACCCCGCCTGGCGCGCCACTGCCAGGATATTAAAGTCAGCGATGAATGGCTCCCAGCCATCGCCTTGTATTGCCGAACGGTCCCCGATTGTCATAGGCATTATCCAAAGCTCCCCCACCCTCATCGCAATCCACCAGCCAGCTCGACCATAGAGCGCTCCTCTTCGACATTGCTGCTCCTGGGTAAGTCCTCTATCCTCTCACCGAATTGCCTAAATTCTACTGACCCAAAACACAAAACTCTAGTCACCTTTCGACGCCGGGCATGAGCGCTCCCCGGGCGTTTTGGGTCGCGCTGCCATACTCCCTAGCCATTCCCAGGATGTCTGGAATGCACACCATCTTGCGCACCTCAATTTGAGGTATGTCAAATCGTGCGCAGACTCTGGATTTGTATGGGGTTTTCGGAGTCCAAAGGGGGGAGCCTTTGGATTTTTGAAAAAACAAAACGTGCATTTCCCCAGCCTGATTTTGGCCCTGTTTTGGGCACTTTGCTATGAGCACTCCGTGGAGCTGTCTTCGGGTGACCATCATAGGTGGCACATACTTATGTATCGCATCACCAGTAAGTTTGACTATGTTTCCATTCTGCAAGCTTCAGTGTCCCTGGTCATGGCCACTTGTGGCCGACTACACACGACAGTAGGTTGAAACTTCACATTTGGAATGCCTCAATTCTTTTCCTTTTTATTTCCTTTTTATTCGTTTAGTGGATTAATATGTTTAGAGGTATGTTGAAGCTGATTTCCTCCAGCTTGGGCATGCGTTTCTACATGTCGATACTCAGTTAAGTCAGGTAAGTGTTTCAATTTTTATTTTCTCCATGTCCTTTCGGTTTTGGGTATATTCTAGCCCGGTAAGTGTCTATTTTCTCGATCTCTGTTCGTTTTTGGGTATATTACAGCCAGTAAGTGTTTTTATTTCTCTATGTCCTTTTTTATTTCTCTATGTCCTTTCGCTTTACCTCTCTTCTTTCCTTTCCTTTTCTTTCATTGATACTGTCTCAGTGTTCGGCAGATACTACCCAGGTAGTATCTGGGTCCTCGCCAGGTAAGGTAAGTATCTGAGCGACTTTGCTCAGGTAAGGTAGGTATTTACAGATACTTTAGCAGGTAGTTGAGCCTCAATTCCGTATACAAAAATGACGCTTTTGATATTTGAAATAGATAATGATATGTAACTAGAATATGTAACTAGAAAAGTGAAACTCGTGACAAATATAATAATAAAATAGACAGCCCCTATTCCTATTCTTCTGCCTCATCATCTGCATCATCACCGTCGCTGTCGGCATCTGGTAAATAACCCCAATTCCGTAAGCAAAGCAGATATCTAATTGTCGATGGCGACAATCTATTCCTTTTCTTAGTAATGATATCGCTACCATTGCTAAATACCCGTTCTGATGGTGCTGATGTCGCAGGAATTGCAAGATGGTCTCGAGCAACTTGAGCAATTATTGGATATTGATATTGCTTTGCAGACCAATATTTGAGAATATCAGTATGCTCACCAGGCCGTGGTTCAAGCATCCATCGTTTCCATTCTGGTTCTTCAAATGATATACCCTCTGATGCAAATAAATCTTCATCAGAATCTGGTTCTTGCACTCTAGTATTTGCATTTCCTAATGCATCTGCAAGAGCTGTTTCACGTTCAATACGCTCTGTATCAAGATGATATTGCCGTGTCTTATATGTTCTACAAACATCTTCAAACTGTGCTCTTGCCCGTGTGATTCGTACATGATCTGTACTATCTGGATATATCTTTTTAAACACTGTATGGTTCATCCGTGGATCGCAAATTGTAGCTACAGCTGAGTGCTTACATTGCTGATTTGTTGCAAGAGTATAATACGCGTGAAGCTTTTGATAAGCTACTGTGCATGCAATACCAATTGCTGAGTGCTCGCCAACTTCTTGTTGCATCTTCTTAACTTTATTTATCATTTTAAGATAAAGTGGAATAGCAAAGTTAAGTGACGGATATGTATCACTTTGTAGCCGTCTTGATGGTTTGAGAAATATTAAGAACAGTCGTTCAAGATCTTTAATAACAGCCCAATCTCCTGTAGTTAATGCAATATCTTTCATACTAATATCAAGCTGTTGTGTTATGCATACTGCTGTGATTGGTATTTGGAGTTTTAATGCTGTATCAAGCATACGATGTGTTGAATTCCATCGTACTGGCATATCAAGTGATAGTTGCTGTGGTTTTAAACCTATAGCTTTGACTTGTCGTTGTAAAGCATCCTTCCATGCTCGTCGATTACGAAAGATATAGATATGTCTTCGTAGCTTTGCAAGAGCATTCATGACTTCCACATGACTATCTCTACTAAATGGAATCCGAGCTGCACCTTGCTCACACCGGTATGTCTCTGTCTCTACATCTGGTTCTGCTTTTAAACTCGTAAGAGCGGCTTGAACTGCGAGATTTATGATATGTGCAATACATTGGACATCGCCTTCTTTGACAGTAAATGTCCAAGGTTGTTGAGTTGATGTTTGGGTGTTGCTAGCCAATTTCTCATATTCTGAGAGCATCACAGTATTTGATGATGCGTTGTCTCGGGTGCATGTAAAGATAGCGCCTGTAATAGCTATACTATCTGTTACAGCTGCTAATTGCTGAGCTAAGTATTCACCGCTATGAATAGGCTCTTGAAGATGTATCACATCAAGCAATTTTGATTTCTGCTGCCATTTATCATTAATCCAATGAGCGGTAACAGCAGCATACTCTGTATAGTTCCGTGCAGACCATGCATCTGTCGTTATGGATATCCGGCCTCCATGTATAATATGAGAATGGAGTTCAAGCTGTAGTATGCCTCGGTGATATGAGAATTGGCGTTGTAGTTCTCGGTGCAATGTTCTTGACGAAAGTGATAACACAGATGGACTTAAGAACCGTACTAATTGACGATATGAATAGCTTTCGATAATGCGTAAAGACAGGTTATTAGATACTATAAACGATAGCACTAACTCTCTATATTTGGCTGGATTGTTTGTTGGTCTTGATTCATGGGTCGCTGGTCTCTGAGGCTCAAAAAATGATGATGTGCTGCTAGATTGACTTGAAGGCGCTGTATTCTTGTGTTTAAGAGCATCATAGATTCCTTTATGCTTAAGACTATAGTGTTTCCAAAGATTGCCAGTTGAAGCAGCAGCTTGAGCATGGGTTTGAGCTGCGGGCGAGTATCCGCAATTAGGCTGCATACAGCATACTTTGATAGTTGGCGGGTTGCTCTCAAGTAGTATTCTTGAATATAGTTCCTTCGTGAACAGCAGCGACTGCGTTGGCGGTAGCATTTGGCTAGGCGGGTGTAGACGGACAGGAATTGGATTTGATTGCTGAAAAGGGGTAAAAAGCCCTGGTAGGGCTGGCTCATCGTGAGGATTATAGCCATCAAGGTCCGTCGGCACGTCTGACAACGGAGAGTCACTCATTTTCACGGCAATTATCACCATATCAAGCATGAAGACGAGTATTTCAACGTTAGCATTTGTGCGGCTTGGCTACACTTGGCAATACTTGGCATGTATCTGGGTAAGTATCTGAAAATACCGGGATACTCAGGTATTTTGAGAATGAGCCCAGGTAGGTAATTACCCAGGTAATTACCTGAACACCACAGGTAATCAGGTATCTGTGCCGCACACTGTACTGTCTGGACAACCGCCGACTGAGCTAGCTCCGGCAAGCCCAGTTTTTAAATCGGCCAAGTCCAGCGCCTTTCTCTTTCTTTTTGCTTTGCTCAGTTCAACCATTAAAGCGGATCTGCCCGCTCCAACCTGCACCAAACTGTGAGTCTCCCAACCTCCCCTCATCTATTACATGACTACCAGCTATCTAATTTGATATAGATACTCGAGAACCACATGTCGAAGTGGCAGAGCGCTACCACAAAGCCTGACATCGACCTACGAATTCGACACTTGGTAGCTGGCTACCCATTTCGACATATAAACGACACTTGGCGGCTGGCCGATGCACGGAAGGAAGGACAGGAAAGGATAAGACCTGGCGATGGTCTGAACGAACTTGAAATAAACAGCCTGGGGTAGGCGCGGGGTTGGAATTCGGCGCGAGAGCTATGATGCGAGCTTTCGGTGGCCGCTTGATGCCACAGCTCAAATGTGGCATCAGAACTTGAGTAAGGAGTGGCAGAAGAGTGGAGGATACTGGCTAGATATATCTATGTAGTAAATATAATGGTTTCTGTGCTTATTAACTGTTTCCTGGCCGGTGAACAGTGATCTTGCTGTCACCGATACCGCCCAACTACCATTATGCCACCGCTATGGCCAGTTTTGCCGTACCTGGGCCAAATTAAGGTGGTGATACCGGCGAATGCTCATTCACTGGCCATATATATCTACAGTAAATCACCAGTTTCACCGAATCCATATATTTACTGTATATGACTAACGTACATGTATAGCGAAAGCGCCAAACAAGCGAAAGCGCCAAAATGATGCGGTGACCAAACCCCCCAACTAAATGTTAAATTCCTCAACAACAAAACATGCCCCATAAAAACGATGAAAGCCAATTAGTGCTAGCTATCCAGGCTATGCAAAGCGACCCAAAGTTACGCCTTCGAGTTGCTGCTAGAATCTATTCTGTGGACCACCGCAAGCTAGGTCGTCGTCTAGAAGGTGTACCTTCACGACGCGATATCCAAGCCAACTCACGGAAATTAACTAACCTAGAGGAGTCCGTCCTTGTTCAGTATATACTCGACCTAGCTGCCAAAGGGTTTCCTCCTCGGCTGTCTGTTGTTGAAGATATGGCAAGTCGACTACTTGCAACACGCGACGCGTCACGCGTTGGGTCGCGTTGGGCTTCAAACTTTGTTAAGCGGCGTGTAGAGCTCCAGACACGCTTTCAGCGCAAATACGACTACCAGAGGGCTAAGTGCGAAGATCCAGAAGTTATTAATGGCTGGTTTGAGCTTGTGCGTAACACAATTGCGAAATATGGTATCGATGAAGCAGATATCTACAACTTTGATGAGACTGGGTTTATGATGGGCGTTATCTCAACTGCTATGGTTGTAACAAGCTCAAACGGGCGGGCAAAAGCAAAGAAGGTACAGCCTGGTAATTGGGAATGGGTTACAGTAATCCAAGGCGTTAGTTCTCAAGGTTGGGCAGTACCACCATTTATCATTGTTGCAGGCAAAAACCACCTTACATCTTGGTATGAGAATAGTGGATTTTCAAGCGATTGGGTGATTTCTGTTACTGAAAATGGCTGGACTACAAACGAGAGAGGCATGGATTGGATTCAGCACTTTGAGAAGCATACAAAGGCCCGGAGTGTTGGTGGTTATCGCTTGTTAGTCCTTGATGGTCATGAGAGCCACCACTCAGATGAGTTTGAGGAGTACTGCAAGGAACACAACATTATTACGCTTTGTATGCCTCACTCTTCTTATCTACTCCAGCCACTTGATGTTGGCTGTTTCGGCCCGTTAAAGCAGGCCTATGGTCGGCAAATTGAAGATATGATGCAGGCTCATATTTCTCATATTACAAAGGATGACTTCTTTCCTGCCTTCCACGCTGCATTTAACACTACAATGACGGAAAGTAACATTCGAGGCGGGTTCCGAGGGGCAGGGCTTCTTCCATTTGACCCTGAGAGAGTGATATCTACACTTGATCTTAAGTTAAGGACACCAACGCCTCCAAGCTCCCGCCCAGGTACTGCTCAACCTTGGGTTTCTCAGACACCAAACAACCCAATTGAAGCTATGTCACAGTCTACATTTATTAAAACTCGGATTTCACGCCATCAAAATAGCTCTCCAACCTCAATCTATGCAGCTGTTGACCAGTTTACAAAGGGTGCATCGCAAATAATGCATCAATTAGCACTGCTAAAGGCAGAGAACCAAAACCTACGACAGGCAAATGAAGTACTAAGCAAGCGCCGGAGAGCTAGGAAAACACGACTACAGCAAGGAGGATCACTTAGTCAACAAGGGGCGCAAGAGCTACAGGATGAGAGGGATGTTGTGCAGCAGGTAGAGCAGGAAATAAGGGCAAGCCGTGGTCGGAAGCCAAGGGAAGAAACCCGTGCCCGTCGCTGTGGCAAGTGTGGTGAGACTGGGCACAATGCGCGCACATGTCAGATTGTAATAGACACCTCTGAGGAAGAGGACTCCGAGTAGTTTCAATTGATTTCTAATGTTGTGGTAGATTTATCGCAATGTTTGTCGTGAGGGTAGATAATTTTGGCGCTTTCGCTTGTTTGGCGCTTTCGCTATACATGTACGTTACGTAACCGCAATTATAACGTATCCGTACAAGGCGCATAAACCGTCCACTTTAAATACGGGTGGCTCTGGGCACCCGTAGCTCACCGGTCGCCCACCCCTACTTTCGCCGTAACCGCCGTTAAGTCCAAAAAGCCATGGGAAAACCGTTCTGCTACCCTTATTTAATTACGTGGATCCCCGGTAAGGTACTCCTCCAAAGGGTGCTTCAGCTCACAGCACTTTAAAGCTTGAGGTAACAAGGGTCAACAGTTGAGCTATAATTGCTAAAACCAGCCACCTGCTCCACTTCATCGACCATCGTCTTTCTGTCGCGCGTTCCAGACTTGTACTAACAGGAGCACTTTCACATCTATAGTGCCGGAGACGCAAGCGATTATTAGTTCAACTTGGCATCGAGTATATTGGTGGTTGGCCACATCATACGACAACCGCGGCGGCGGTTGTCGTATGGTGTGGCCGGAACAAAAGGTCGGCCAGATAGCCGCCACTTGGCAGAGCTGAAGTAGCCTCATTCGCGGCTTTTGGTAGTGAAGCCACTCTTACCTCGTGTTTCATACCCAACTGCGGTGCTCCAAATTTCCGTTATAGAAGAGAGGGACAATCAACAATTTAGGCTAAATCCAAATTCGTTTAAACGAAGGTACCTACTTCGTTTAAACGGCCTAGGTAGGCTGTTCCCGTCAGCTATGACCGAAGTGCCATGATAATAGCGGGATAGGCGTAAGCTAAAACCCCGCTATAACCCCAGACTTCCGATGCCAAACTTCCGATGGGTCAATAACCCTGGCAGTGTCACGACGCCCCGCGCTAATATTGCGTGCGGGGAAGATCCAACACAACGTGGAGATGTCAAGTTCACGCCGAAGACTACGCCCGAAGCTCTGGGAATTGAGGAATTGAGGCAGAGGTTGGGAAAAATTCGGCATAAATATAGGTTCTGCTTCCTTCATCGAGCGAAAGGGGACGATGGAACAAGATGCTACGTTACCCCGCCTCCCTAGGGTACTAGTTCTGCTAATTATCCAGCTATAGTGGATAATACCCCAGGATGCAGTTACGTTACCCCGACATGTGGGAGGTGGCAGTGAGAAATATAAGACTTCTACGGGCCTTTCCGTCCCCTTGGCCGCATTTCCCACTCCTAAGTGGATCTCTAAACCGGAAAGTGGGAAAGGACGAAAAGCATAGATAGTGGCAGCCTTCCCCATCTCTTCGTTCCTGTCTCTCTTTCCTCGTCCTCTTCTCCTACACCACACGTTATTCATCGGGGCAAATACTAGCCAACATGAGTGACCCAGTCGTCGATTCTAAAGCGCCTACCGGCCCTAATGTCGAGCTCGAGGACGGCTTGACACAGGTCGAAAATGTCTACAACCTTGATGAGAAGGCGAATGTCGCCGATTACAAGGCGGATGCCGTGGAGGCAGAGAATGCGGAGCACAACATGACGGTGATTGAGGCTGTTAAGGCGTACCCTATGGCTTCCTTTTGGGCGTTTGTCATGTCCTGCACTATTGTAAGCTGCCTTTCCCCTTTTCACCTAATACAGGAATTAAAGTTAACACATCTTTAGGTTATGGAGTCCTACGATGTCTTCCTGATCGGCAATTTCGTCGCCTTGCCTGCGTTCAAGATGAAGTACGGTGTAGACCATGGCCCAGAACTCGGGCATGTGATCGAGACCAAGTGGCAGTCTGCGCTTCAAGTGTCTGGACAGCTCGGTGCCCTTATTGGGGTCTTCCTAGCTGGTCCCCTCACCAGCCGTATCGGATACCGTTACGCGACCTTGACCGGCCTCATGCTCCTAAACGTCTTCATCTTCGCTTTCTACTTCGCCAACTCGCTTCCAGTTATTTTCGTGTCCCAACTTCTCGAGGGTATTCCATGGGGTATCTTCATTGCCAACGCCCCCGCATACTGCAGTGAGATCGTACCGATCAAGCTGCGTGCCCCTGCCACCCAGATGCTGCAGATGTTCTGGGCCATTGGCAGTATTATCGTTGGCGCCGTCACCTACCGTTACGCCAACAACAAGAACCCAGTCGCCTACCAGTATGTGCTCATCCCCTTTGTAAGCAAGTTTTTCGCTAACGAAGGAAACTAGAGTTCCCATTGCGCTCCAATGGATGTTCCCCACCCCGCTCGCTATCCTCATCTATTGCGCACCTGAGTCGCCCTGGTGGCTTGTTCGCAAGGGACGCCTGGAAGAGGCAGCACACTCAGTCGGGCGTCTTGGACGCAGGTCGAGACTGAACCCCAATGAGACTGTTGCCATGATGCGTCGTGTCATTGATCTCGAGAAATCCGAGAAGGAGCCCAACCACTTGGAGCTGTTCAAGGGCACTGATCTCTACCGTACCTTAATTGTGTGCGGTGTGTACGCCGCACAGAATCTTACGGGTAACCTTATCGCTAACCAGGCCGTCTACTTCTTCCAACGTAAGTTATCATCGTTGCTGTTTTAAGTTAATGTATGTGCTAACACAAGTGCAGAGGCCGGCATGAGTGACCAAACTGCGTTTGCCATGGGTCTTATCACCTCGGCACTTCAGATGATCTTCGTTGCTCTTTCCTGGGTCCTCACCACATACTTTGGCCGTCGTTCTATCTACCTCTGGGGTTCGGCCAGTAACACTATCCTGCTGGTTTGTCTCGGTATTGCAGCCTCGTGTGGCAAGTCGAACGCAGCTACGTTGGCGCAGGCATCCTTGGGTCTCATTATCTCCGTCCTGTTCACCCTGGGACCCGCGCCCGCCTCGTGGGTCATTATTGGAGAGACCTCGGCCATCCGCCTCAGGCCTCTTACGACCGGTATTGGACGTGCTTCATACTACATCGTTGAGATTCCTTGCATCTTCCTCGGAAGTTACATGCTCAACCCCACGGTAAGACCATTCTCCCTCCGAGTCTTGAGGTGCCGTTACTAACATACTATAGGGCGGAAACCTTGGCGGCAAGTGCGGTTATGTCTGGGGTTTCACCGGCTTTGTCTGCTTGGTCACGGCATTCTTCTATCTGCCTGAGATGAAGGGTCTCTCCTACCGTGAGATTGACATCTTGTTCAACCGTAAGATCCCAGCCCGCAAATGGAAGGAGACAGTTGTCGATGTGCAGGACGACGAGTAGGTGGCTGTTATCCCCAGTCCCTCCTATAGTTTTCTGCATGAGTAGTCCAGCTTAGGGCTGTTATTCACAGTCCCTTCTTTAGTTTTAGCAAAGTAGTATGGCTTTAAAGGATAGTCTTGGATATATACGGCTACATAGCCTATTTTACAATTCATCGCTGTGTAATATTTTTGGGCTTCTTAAGACAATAGCGGCGTCCTTTCAGTCCGTCCCCCATTCTCGACGACGGTATTTCCCTCGTCATCGGTTTCCAAAAATTCATTTTGAAGGCTAAGTGTGTTATCGGCGGCCAGAAGACTCGTCGTTGTCTGCGAACGAGTTAGTATCAAGCATCAACAATGATCCAAATGCTGGTTTGAAGAGCTGTATAACTTACCTCTGGCTCTAAGTTGGTTCCTGTTTTCCTTGCCTGCAGTTCAAAGTATATCCCCATCACCAACAAACAACCTTGCAAGCATCCGGTTACGAGATACACTCCCCAAATGCCCCAGCCCTCAGTCCCGAGTCTTACTGCAAGGCTGCCTGCCCATACAAAGCTACCAGGAGTCTGAATGACCATCATCGGAATGCTTAAGCTCCCTACATGGCCCAGTTGATATGTTGTCCAAATCTGTGGAAAGTATTGCACACAGGCCAACCCAGCAGCCATGAGGCCCAAAACATTGGCCAACGTTCCCATAGAACCCGGCAGCGAGAATCCAAACCACACACTAACCAATATAACCAATAGGCCATGGGCCAGACATAAGAATGCGACGCCAAGAGCGGTGCGCCAAGTTGGCTGCTTGACGGCCGTGCTTTGTGGAAGGGCTGGGTTTCCCGGGAAGAATATGAGGAAGAGAAGTAATCTAGCATATAATTTTAGCTGGTTTCCGAGAAGCACGGTTACGTAGATAGACTTACATAATAGCAAAACAAAACCACTGAACGCCAACCTGGAAGATGCCGAGCAATCCCGCGAAGCACTCAAACGAGCTAATGGTCTTGCAGCATGCAACATCTGCTCTCGATGCTGGCAAGACGAGGATACTGGCAAACGCACTTGTTCCCGATGTTGTTCCGAGAAGGATGAAATATGGCGATATGCCTTCAGAGGTACCTCGCGCGATGATACGGTAGTGTTGGGGGATATAGGAGACAAGGATGCCGACGAGTATAAGACTATCATCTCCAACATTAGCATTTACTCATCAAAAGGCCGTAGATATCATTCAAAGCTCAACGCCTCGATTTGAGTGGCGTAGGAGTAACTTACATCGATAGCGACAGGTTTAGGTAGCTTGGCGCCTGGAGCTGCTCGCATCGGCTTGCGATAAAGGTGCCTAGCTCCATCATGGAGCTTATGGGCCGGGCCCCGGTTTGTGACAAGAAGGTAATTAGTTAATTAGTTGGTGGTTTGCATGTATCTGGATGGCCACCTCTTGATGTGTATGTTCGAGGATGCGGAGGTCAAGAGGAGGATGACCTTGGCCGCCCAGCCTCGCTCCGTTGCGCCCCCCATTGCCCGCATTACGCTACCCGCTAAGTGGGACTGCGGGGTACGGTGAAAAGCGGCAGTATGCAGGATCTCCAATCCGATTATGTGCACTCGAACCATCCTGTTCTAGAACCTTAAACGTACAAAATATGAGGTACATGCAATAGAAGAGGATTAAACCATTTATAGTGGTCATACAACTGAATAAATATGGACGCTGAATTATACCCTCCGCAATTGGTAGCGACAACGAGTGGCGCATATTCATGCTCAATTGAAGAATCAAGACGACGTGAAGCTGAAGAACGTGAAGGTTCTTCCGTCTTTTCCTCAGCAACAACTGCACAAGACAGTCGCGAGTCTAATTATTTTAAAAGCATACAATGGTCTGAAATGCCATTCTATCGAGTCCTTCTTCTAAGTACTTACTAACAAAGATCCAGGTCTCCTGATGGCACATCGCTGATAGCAGCTTCTGCTGACAACAAGCTCCGTTTCTACGTCGCACCCCCTGACCTTCTATCCCCCTCGTCCACGCCTCACATATTAACACCATACACTACCTACGCTGCCCCGGAACCAACCTACACGCAATCCTTCTACCCCCATTTTGATCTCCAAAATTCTTCAACAACCCTCCTCCTTTCATCACCACGAGATCATCCAATCCAGCTCATCAACGTCCTCTCCCCCGAGCCATCACCAGTGTCCACCTACTCACTAGTATGTCGCACCACGGAGGCTTATCTGACTCCGTCTTCCTTGCTCTGGCACCCGTCTGGTCACGAGTTCTACGCCGGAACCGACTGCCTAATCAGCATATTCGATGTCTCCCGCTCAGGCGAGGGCCCAACCACGCGCCTCCCAACTATTCCTTCAAAGCGCCATAAAATGAAAGGTGGTGGCGTGGGGATGCGTGGTATCGTCTCTTGTTTAAGTTTGCAGCCAGACGCGCCTGACAGTCCCGTGGGGAATGTCATGCTAGCTGCTGGAACGTGGACACGATGGGTTAGCCTCTATGATGCCGAGGGGCTAGGGGGCACTGTTGCGAACTGGACTATTGCATCCGCAGCGGATGACGAGGCTCAGATTGGCGGGGCTGGGGTTAGTCAAGTTCTTTGGAGCTCTTGTGGTCGGTATCTTTTTGTCGTTGAGCGCAAGAGTCGAGGGGTACTGGTCTACGATGTAAGAGTTACTGGAAAGCTTGTGGGATGGTTAGAGGGACGGGAAGCGGAAACAAATCAGAGAATGAGCGTCGACGCCGCTTCTATCGGTGGCAAGAGCGAAGTTTGGGCAGGAGGAACGGATGGCAGGGTCAGGGTTTGGAGAGATGTCGGAAGCACAGCTGGTGGTGCGAAACCAGACATGGATTGGCTTGCGCATGAAGAAGGGACGACAATTGGAGGCTTGGCATTGCACAGCTGTGGCTCCGTCGTTGCGACTGCTTCTGGAATGAGGCGAGAGAAGGTTTTTGTTCGCGAGACAGAAAGTAGCTCAGAGACGGAAAGCGACTCAGAAACCGAAAGCGAAGACGAATCTTCCGACGATTCAGACGTCAGTGATGAAGCTATCAAGACGCTTTCCGAAACCTCGACAAACTGTTCCTCGCACCAGGAGTTGACCGAGGATAATACTATCAAGTTATGGAGCATACTATGAAATCTATCTGATATAGCTAGGTGTGCCTTACATCTCATGGCCAATTGCTATCGGCACCGATACTTGCTACCAAATGGTTTCACTCAAGGCGATGGAGCTAAATTCACCAATCTTTCTCTCGAACCAAAAGCTATCAGGGCGTGTCATGTCTCCATCGAGAATCAATGACACTAGACACCCTGCGAAGGACCCTCTCGCCAGCAAGGACGGGGCCAAACATGCGTATTCTCTCGTTATGTTCCATCCCAACAAACGCACTGATCCCGAACATGCCGCGCCTACTCGAGTGCACACCCTCTAGTGCTTTCAAAGCCGAGACCACCGCTTGCGCGGCATATGGATTCATGCCACAACGCCTTAGGAACACTTCCCATTGCGTTTCGTCCTCAAGCAAATCAAGGGTATTGGAGCCAGCTGTGCCGTATCGAACCATGCTTGCAACTACCCAGTTTGCCAGCGTCTTGTGCGCGCCAGGCACGAAAGATACGATCACTGTACATGGTAACGAAGCGCAGAATCCCGTAAACTCGGCCATCGCCATACATTCTTGGCCGCCTAGGACAGCAACCGAGCTCTCATCGGGCGACGCTTCACTGATAAAAACCAGGAGCCTCTCATACCTCATGCAAACCCCCTCAACCTTGCTCTTGATCTCAGACTTCTCTTTTTGGCCAGGCAGCGGCTTCTGCTTGATTTTCATGAGAGTCGTGAGCACCACACCCGTCGATGGAGAGAGAATAAGATCTGCTTCAGCTGCTAGGGGGCTTCTGACTGGAGACCGTGAGATGGTGCCTTGTCTGAGCCACGCGGTTGTGTTGTATCTGTTGAAATCCCTCTCGATGAAATGAGCTGTTGGGATTAAAGATTTTATGGCGCTGAATAAGGGACGTTGCTTCAGAAGATCTGTTGAGATTATATATTGGGTTGTCTCTGTAGGTACAGTGATGTTTGACAATGGCAGCGGGATGTCTGCTTTTGTGAGACGGGAGTTGACGATTGGCGGTGGAATAGGCATAGCTACGGGATTGTCCGTATGAACTGCCTTGGCCTTAGGGGAGGATAAATAGGAACTGGTGCTGTCTGTGGGCTTGTGCCTCTTCGTTCCTCTCATCTCTATAAAATTGTCTACAGCCGTTGTTGCTGAGAATACGCCACCAATAAGTGTCTCTCCATATCCACTGTTTCCATACCCCTCGTTGGCCGTATCGGAATCAGCTACGATTCCTGGAGTCAGTTTCCAGGAATGTTTCTTTGCTGCAGCATGAACCGTAGAGTTTCCCGATTCTTGGATGTTTTCTTGGGTTCCATTTTCCCCCATCTCTCCAAGTTCCAGCTTTCTTTTTTTGATCAGTGAAGCCATATCCAGCTCTTCGTGCAAAAACACGCCGGGTTCCAAGTCCTCGTCATCCTCATCGTCAACGTCAACGTCTCTCAAGATTCTTATTCCTGGTGCTTTGTATGTAAGGCTTACGCTAGTAGTAATATCGGTCTCCATCTCCGAATTAGTGTACCGCAAAAGAGCGTCTTCGTTTCCGAATTCCTCGATTAAAGCAAATTCGGCAAGACTTGTTGGAAACACTGTCCAATCGACAGTGTGATTTAGCTTCCGCAAGGCTTTTGGGCGATCTGAAAGCTTGATCTCTTTCAGTATTGATTTCACTATCTCTCGGGGCTGAGATAGGGTTTTCTTGAAGCCGCTGAGCTTTGAGACATTCCAAGGTGGATTCGGTGCAGTGAAGTCCATGATGGGCACTTCAACCCTGCCTGTCGTCGCTGCTTCTTGCAGCTGCTCTTTTTCAAGTCTGCTGTTTTCTGTGTTATAGGCTTCTCTGAAAGTGTCATGCAATGTGTGATTCATGAAAAACGAGTCTGCATCTCCCGAGTCATTGGCGGACGAAGTGAAGCCTGGGCAGTCCTTATCAAACAGCATTTCCTCCACGGTGTCACTGAATGTGACATTTTTTACCAATGGCAATGGTGGCGTTAACGGGGTTTCAACTTTGAGGTCATGGGAGGTGTGGTGTTCGTGAGCCGGGAAGAGCTCATCGGAAGGGAGAGATGAGGTTTCGAAATATATATTTCTCAGATTATGGCGCCGCTCCTGGTGATGTTCAATTGGGTCGTTGTAGTCGCTCGACTCTTCTTTAACTGAGAGAAGTTCATCATCTTCAAAAATGGCTCTTTCGGCGGCTTCCAAGTCCGCTCCAAGCTGTGACGGGGGATCGGAAAGTAACGGGAGATGGCAGGTTGGTGAAGATGGTTCGAACGGCTCAGGTGTGGCCCAGCACAGGGTGGACAATGGAGGTGTGATAGGATCCAAAGCCGGGTTCTGCCCAGTGTCATTAGCTGCACGGTCGAAGGAAATTTGAAGAAGAACGTAGATTGAAACATACACGTTTGTAATAAGGCTGAGAAGCAAGGAAATCCTTTGTGTCCTCCTTGGACCAGTTGTCTTTCAAAGCTGCCTGCAAGTAAACCATAGTGTCTCTCGTCACGGTAATTTTCTCCATGCTGCAATCTTTCGTAAGAGAATTTGGCAAGTCGGCAAATCTAGAAGGCCATTGGATGCCTTCATCTTTCTCAATGTCATGCGGTTCATATATGAAGCTTTCATCACTGATGCATGGGTTCTGTCGTTGCCTGAAATCCTCAAGATCCGCATCAGGATCCGTCCTTAACAGAGGTAGTTCCAGCTTGGGTTTCTGCCGCCTGGGTCTGACTGAAGCTGCAGTGGTGATCTTATCGATGGTGCCTTGATCAAGAAACACCCCATTTGCGCCGGCAAGTAGTATTTCTGCGCCTTTATCAATAGTGAGAGGCTCGTCCGATGGAAGGATAGGTTGATAATTGATTTGTGGAAGGTGAGAATCTTCTGATACATCTTTCTCATAGATGTAAAAGAGACTCTCAATGAGTGAAAGTGGCGATGGATCTCGAAGAGGGTCGATGGAGAGCCCGTAGAAACGAGCGTATTCAACGATGGGCTCCTCTTCATCCTCCTGAGAACTCATGGGGACAGTATCAAAGCTTATTTTAAGAGGAGGCAGAAATGTTCTATAATCATACTAATACAAAGTTATTCTGATCGTATAGGAATGTTCTTTTCGGGAAGGGACCTCTCAGGTTGACAAGAAATACTTGTCGGGAGTGTTTGGACAGTTGCTGCCACAAGTTGCCTCGTTTACAACTACACCCGAATAAGAACGAGGAGCATTATACATCTCCGAACTACACCGTCTTTTCCCTGGTAATACAGCATTGTAGGAGCATATTGCAACTGTCCCTCATTGGCAGGAATTGACCATATTTAAAACTGACGCCCATATATCATTTTTGTCCTGTTACCATGACAGTTTATTCTTGCTTCCATACCCACCATATCCAGCCATCCATACTTAAGTACAAAATGCCCATTCATGAGAGGCATTCAACACCAGACTCCATCCCGATCATAACATACTAATACACGCCCCTGCGCTTTCCATTCCCATTCACAGATACAAGGTCAACAAAATGTCCCAATTGCAGGCTCTGCACGCCCTCTCGTACGCCCCCAACCTTCCCAGCAACCTCCAAGATACCCATCTCAAAGTCCCTAAGCACGCCTACGAGATTCTCCACCTCGTTCTTATCCTGGCCACTGCGTCCAATATTACTACCCGCTTGCATGAGCGACCTCTCCACGCCACGTAGATGGAGCTCGATCTCGCTAATGTTATCCTTGTACGTCGATATCGTCTGGCCCATCTCATCGGACGTCTGCGAGAAAAACGTAACGAGATCCCCCGCTGCCTCTCCCGGCTTCGAAGCCGATGGTGACGGCTTCGACGGGTTCCAGATGTCGGTGTGGAACTGCTGTGGCAGCTTCAGGTTATCTACGACGGTGAAACTGAGCTTGGCATTTTCACCATCCACGTAGACCTGTTTGCTTGTCTGCGAGACGGCTTGCACGTCTCCGTCAAGGTTGGCTTGCACGCCAATCACCTTTCGCTGCAGGAAGTCAACGTTATCTGGGACAAGCTCGAGCTGCTCGCCATGCGCTGGGAGAATGGCGGTGCACTGGTCGCCCTTGGCCATGAGGCTGAGAACCCCTGCGTCAAATTCTTCGATCTTCTTCTGAAGCTCCTCATTGAGGTCGTTGAAACGGGTGGTGTTGCGCAAATTCGTTAGGTCTATGCGAACGCCGGGAACGGTTGCTTGTGTAGGTTGGCCTTGCGACTGGCCCATCGTCAAGCCGCCGGCGAAGCTGCTGCCAAAGGCGCCAGTTGATTGTTGTGGCCTAGCAGAGGACGAGAATAACGAGCTCTGTGGCTGTTGCTGTTGTTGCTGAGGCAGCTGTGTCGATGCGCCTCCACTGGGTAGATTAGTTTACTGTATGCTATTTGGTCTGGAGAAGTATAGTACATACAAGAAAGAAGGCTTTGCCTGGGTCTGGGTGTTTGCACCGCCAAAGAGCCCACCGCCAGTTTGCTGGGGCTGCTGAGCCTGTGCTGATCCAAACATCCCTCCCGTAGAAGCAGGTGTCTGGGCCGCGCCACCAAACAATCCTGAGCTCTGCGGTTGTGTTGAGGCTGGAGCACCGCCAAATAGTCCGCCAGATTGTGGTTGTGAAGCAGGTGCAGCGCCGAAGAGTCCTCCAGTTTGCGCTGGTTGCGTCGCAGTTGTTGACGCCCCAAAGAGACCCGACGTCTGAGGTTGCGTCGTTTGCGCCTGTCCAAACAAGCCGCCGGTTGGTTGCAACATTGTTGCTTTGCCGAACAATCCGCCAGCTGCAGGAGCCTGACTTGACGTATTCGTTGATCCACTATTTTGCACAAAGGACGTTAGTAACTCAACGGTCAATGGCCACGCAGAGGGATTGGGAGCAAGGGGGTAGCTCACAACGAATTCGCAGAGCCGATGTTGATACTTAAGGCTCCAGGACCGCTTGCTGAGCGTGCAAGTGCCATATTTTATCAACAGTTAGGCTCGCGCTTGTGGTAGCCTCAGATTGCAGCTTAGTTCGTGAGACGCGCCGCAACCCAAAAATGAGGCTAAGCGAATGAGCTTGTACCTTACCTACCCTTGCTCGTCTAGCCTCGTTCAACTACATGAGCACGACGTCACTTGCAGCCTTCGAAGCTCCCATACACATTTATAGTCAAGATGGATATCGACGACGACGACGATTTTTACGCGCCCGAGGAGAGCGTGCCCGCCACCAATGAACCAAAGGAGGAGCCGCGACAGCCCCCCGCGCAGGAAGTAAAGTCTGAACAATCAGAGGACGGACCAGAAGACGGCGAAGAAGAAGGCGAGGAGGTAGAGGAAGATGACGACTCGGACATTGATATTATCACTGAGCGAAAAGATGGAACGAAAGCTGCTCCGCCGTCGTAAGTAGCATTGACATGGTGGTTTAGCCTCATATTGACAATCCCCCAGAAACGCACGGTACAACGACATCCGCAACATCGCCCAGCGCACCACCTCAAACGACGTAACCCAAAAAGCCAGCGCCCCCAAAAAGTCGGAAAGCGGAAAGCCCATCCTCCCAGCCTCCGGCGCCAACCTTCCCGTCGCCACCTCCAAGATCGACATTGACGCGAAGCCCATGTACGACCCAGCGTGCAAGCCTATCACACAGGTGAACATTGACGAGGACCTACCTGATAACGACAAGCCGTGGCGACGCCCCGGAACAGACATTAGTGACTACTTCAACTACGGGTTCGACGAGTTTACGTGGGCGCTGTATGCGGCGAAGCAGGAGAGCCTGCGCTCGGAGTACGACCAGAGCAAGCTGGCGGACAACCAGAAGAAGATGATGGAGGACATGAATATGATGATGAGCATGGGCTCGATGCCGGGGATGTCTGGCGGCACGGGCGCAGGTATGGGTATGGGCGCTATGCCAGGAATGGAGGGGATGCCACCGGGAATGGAGGCGATGATGCAGCAGATGATGTCGTCGGGAATGGATCCGAGTCAAATGGATCCATCAGCAATGTTTGCAGGTATGGCCGGACAAGGAGGAGCCGCGGCGGGACAAGCGGCTGGCCAGAATGCTGGGTTTGGTGGACAAGCATTTGGGCAGGGTAACCAGCAGCAGCAGATGGGGGGTTATGGTGGCTTCGATCAGGGGATAGGAAATGCTGGGGGCGCGGCGAACAGAGGAAATTTTAGGGGTAGGGGAAGGGGACACCGGAATTGGTAAAGCCAGCGAGTGCTGTGATGACATTCTGGGTGTATTTGTAGCCTGGCGTTTGGTGGTGAAAAGGCGGATATATCTTAGGGATGCAACTGTTGATTTTAGTGGTGGGTGCCATCAGTTCCAGCTCGATGAGGGCCAAGGCTGTGTCTAGATATGTGAATGAGCGGCTACTCTCCGTCTCTGTACATACTCGGACTCGAAGATCTAGTCTTTGTTCTGCTCGGAGCTGTCCTCGTACAGTGCCTCCTTTCGCCCCGACCAAGCCGGGATGACCAATGGAAAGTCGAATACATGCATTCACGAAGTGCCACCGAAGTAGACCATATCACGTAGATCAGTCCATCCTCGCCGACGCCGTCTCTGCCGCTTACCAATAAGCATCGTAACACTGACAGCATGCACCCACCCCCAACCATCTAAATCCACATGGGGTGCATGATTGAACTGCACGTACGGCCATGTACGGCCATATACGGGAACGGACGCCTTGTAGTGTACGACACATATCATCTGATACTGTCCAGTCCTCAAAGGCGTGAGAATAGCCAGCCTCGCCCGTCTCTGGTGGTTGCATGTCATCCCACATCATCCCACGCCGATCTGGCCGCTCGAGCCACTCCCAGGCCGTCGCTAAGGCACGGCCGCCTGGGACAGGCCGCCCTTTGCGCGTCCCACCCGTTCCCTTCCTTGTCTGACCTTGCCGCTTCGGGTAAGTGGGGTGTTTATGGCTTCTTCGCCGTTCTTCGCATACATTCGCACTTACGCCGTACACAACTTGTACAGAGTCTACTGTTTATATCTTACTGTACTGTGGTGTACTGTGAACTGAATGTCTGTCCAACGCCCGCACATGTGATGCGCCGGCGTTGGACAGACGTCATGTTGGCTAAAGTGGGGGGAGGACGGGGGGAGGACGGGGGGAGGACGGGGGGTCCATTTGCCTTTGGGCTAAGGAACTCTAAGTCTAGCTACTAAGAACGCCGTTTATTTATATTCGGTCTATTTTCTACACCAAGTTAATTCGACTTCGAGCTGCTTTACTATTGAACTGCCGACTGCCTATAAGTCAGCTCCCCAACCATTATGTATATCGCCGTCTCAGCATATCCGGCCTACATATTCCAACCATATTCGATCTGCTGCCCAACCTGCACCTGCCTATACAACGGCTTGCCTGAGGCGTGGGGGGCTCAAGACAACACCAGAAACAACACCAAACGTCTCATATATCGCTCATCCCAAGAACCTTCCTCCTCAAAACTCCCAGCTTCTTGAAACACAGACCACCCAAAACAGCAACAATGCAGTCATTCACACCCCTCACCACCGAAAACAAACCCTCCACCTCCCTCCACCAAAGAAGCAAATACCCCCCCGCCAGCACCTCCACCTCCTCCCCGCTCAGCAACACCGCAAGCCCAATGTCCGTCCTCCAGCCCTCCCACAACACCACCGCCTCCCCAGCAGACTGTCGAACCTCCTTCCTCTCCATCATCACCCCCGCCCTCCGATTCTCCTTCGACCTCGCCTACACCACCCAACTCCTCTTCACCATCGCCCTCTCCTTCCTCCTCGCCCACGGCCTGTATGCCACAAAGGTCCTCGCCGTGAATGCCTACCACGCCTCGCGGATCTTCCTCATCAACGCCTGGCATACCCTCGTCTTCGTGGCTATCAACCTCTTCTTCGCCTCGAGGGTGGTGGGGATCAAGACGCTGCAGGCGCTGGGCGTGGCGACGGTGTTTAGCTTGCGGAGTGGGAGTGCGGTGTCGGGGCATGGGTGGGTGGCTGCGAGTACGGCGCTGAAGATGGCGTGGAAGAAGACGGAGAGGGCGAGGGCGAGGATGTTTTTTGAGTTTATGGTTTGGTTGCTGCATCCGTCACCGTTGGTGTTGTTTATTTTTTGGCCGGGGTGGATTTTTGTGTTTATGGGGATGGGGTATTATTATTACTGCTGAGAGGACGATGGGAATGGAGCATATGTGGTGCATGAAGGTGTGCTGCTCATGGAGAGTCAATATGTTGATCTCTTCCAGACTACGAGAAGCTCTCACACGGTGATGAAGACTCTCACAAGATGATGGGAACACTCTCACAAGTCGAAGACACTCTCACAAATCCAAGACACCCTCGCAAACCTACGACACTATCACAAGCCAAGGACACTCTCACAGGTCGAAGGCTCGTGGGACTCTAGCAAGGCAAAAGTGAAACTGGGTGTGAAAAAGACGCCTACAAGGGTCAAAGAAATTGACAGCTGAACGTCAGAGAAGGGCTACTGTGGGAAGTAGATGTGTCGGAGAAGGGTTCATGTCGGCAGTGGAAGGGCTAGGGAAGGATTACTGTTTAGTCAGAGAAGGGTTACTATTACCAGTTGAAGTATAGAAGAGTTACTCATAAACAAATTAAAACTATCACAACCCATCCAACTCCCATACTACTCTCCGTACATTATGCTTCGTGAACATCTCGTATTCAATCTCTATTCGGGTATCCATCTCGAAACGAGAACGCCAGCCTATACAATGCTCTTCTTTCCCCTACCCCCAACTATACTCAATTCAATCATCCCCCCCACAACCTACGAGAAGAAAAACGCATTCCCCCCCACATCCCTCTTAACCTCCGTCTGATAATCCTTCTGCGGATCAAACTCCTGCCACACGCTCGCGGGATAAATATGTTTATTCCGCTCATACCATCGGCGATCCACCACCTTGGTGAAAGTCGGGTCGTCATTCGCGCCGTCGAGGTCCGCGATGGGGATCGCAGCAGTGGCGACAGATTTGTTGTTCGACGGCCGCGAGAGGGGGTTGTAGTTCTCTGGGATCTCGTCACTACTTATCGGGTCGGGTGTGGTGTCGGGAGGTGCTTCGGCGCCGTAGTCGAAGAGGAGGCGTTTGTTGGGACCGAGGGTTTTGTTGATGATGAAGTAGTAGAAATCGTAATGCTATCTCATGTCAGTTCCTGCTGCAATCTTGCCCCCCTTTCCAATTAAAACTCACCGGCGGAATAATAATCTCCCCCCTAACCATCATCAAATCATCCACCCCCACCTTCGCCCACTCCCTCCTCGCCTTCGCATCCCCCTTCCCCGCCTCCCCGCCCACCCCGGCCCCTACCTCCGCCCCAACCTTGCGACTCCCATCAAGGAATTTCCACACGAAATCGCCCTTCGCCACCCTGCACACTCCGCCGGGGACATTACCCCCATCGTAGAAGACGAAGGGTATCGCGATCGGCGCGGCCTTGACACGTTCTTGTAGCCCCAGAAACTCTCTTCTTAGCGCCTCGCGCGCTTGCGACTCTTGGAGGAGCGAGCGCTTCGTTAGCGCTTTGGGTAAGGCGCCGATTGAGGCATTGGGTGCGAATTTGCGTTTTGGTGCTGAGGGTGCGGGTGACCCGCTTTGTGAGCGCGACTCTGCGCTGGGGGTTGGCTTATTTGAGGTTGTGAAATCGCCTTCTTCTTCTTCGTCGTCGACGCCAAAGCTCAACTTTGGGGTGCCAGCTTTGCGCTTCGATTTCTTCTTAGGAGACTCAGAGGAGGTAGAGCCACTGTACTGAGGAATCAGCTTTGGCTCTTGCTGCATCAATTGCGCGATGGTGGAGGGGGAGGATTGGATGCGACTCACCCCGAGCCTGCAACGGGCGTGGCGGCACCAGAGCCAGCGCGGCTACTACCTAGTAGCGACTCCTGGGCATCGCGCTCTTTCTGCTCGATAGCCTCGGCGCGGCGCTTGCGGAAGTCGGAGAGGTTGACGAGGCCGACGGTCTGGTTGGAGAGGATGTCCTCGGCTGTTCTGGCTTGCGGCTTGAAGCGCGGGTTGGGGGTGGAGGAGCCGGAGGAGGGGGTAGACATGGCGGTGGCGAGTGGGAGCGCCGGTCGAGGGTAGGTTGGTGATAGAGTGGGAGTGTTGGGGAGTGTATTGTCAAGAGAATCGGTAGAGAGCGTAGTTGGCAGCTTGGATCCAAATTAATTTGGACGAAGGTGCTGCAAGGCTGAGATGTGGCGGGAGGCTGTCGGCGCTAGTAACTGGTGTGGATGACAACTGAGAATCCGAATCCGATCAGATCGTCGAAAGTGCATGCGTGTTATTATCGCCTTATCAGCTACTGGAGGAGGGGGTTGAAACGAAGGATCCGGTCACTCTTCGTATGGTCCGGGAAAGCCAGATCTCTAAAATTGAGAAACATTTATATCTGCGAGTTAGTTCTTTTAAATAGCCCGAATCATTTACAAGACCGAGCTGGCTACAGCCAACTCATCCTTCTATGTATGGGTGGGAGACACCCCTTGGTATCTAAATGTAATAACCCAATGTTTATCGCATGCATCTAGTTCTCAACCACAATCCCGTACTTCCCATAGGGGAAGTTCTCCAGCGTGAGAAGATACTGGGCATAGTCATCACCAACCTCTCCCGCGCCCTCTCCAATGACACCCTGGGCATCAGGAATTCTGCCTGCCAAGACGAGGTCTTCTCTGCCAATAAACTCGTTCTTGAGACCTGAGTGAGGGCACCAGATAGCTCTCATGCCTGCTCTCCTTCCAGCCTCAACACCTGGCACAGAGTCCTCAAATACGAGGCACTCTTCTGGTTTGATTGGCGCCTCCCCTTCTGCTAGAGTCGCGTTCACCATATCCAAAGCGAGCAAGTAGATATCTGGTGCTGGCTTACCCCTTCCCTTTGCGATCCTCGGGTCATCTCCCAGCACACGCCTCGCATCCTCGAACACCGAGAACAAGTGTCCTAGGTGATCGGTCTTCAGCTTGAAGTTCCCAGTATGCGAACTCGTAGCCAGAGCCAGGTGGAGCTTCTCCCCCTCCTTCGCGCCCTTCGGCTTCGCGGAATTCAGGTTCTTCAGAAGCTCGACAACACCGGGTAACGGCGCCGCTGATGGGAAAATCCTGCGCTGGATCTCGGCTTGCTCAAGAGTAAACTGCTCTTGCGGGATTGGTAGTTGCGCCCACTCGTGGAAAATGGCCGCAGCGGCGGGGCCGGGGCGGCCTTGGAGCTGTGCCTTGACGGACCAAGGCATTGGAGAGCGGCCGTAGCGCTCGAGCATCGTGTTAACGCTCTCGGAGTATTTATCCTCGGTATCGAGGAGGAGGCCATCCATGTCAAAGAGACATGCTCTGATGGGAGGGAACCTGGGCTGAAGTTAGATTCCGCAGTGGGCGGTATAAACATCGCGATTCGGTACTAACTCTTTAGTATCTTGAGCCATTTTGAGGGTCTGCACCGCGCAATAGTCTTGGGGTAATATTACGGGAGTAGTTGATAGTAAAGAGTCACAGTGGCAGAGGTGTAGCTGTTCAGGTTACAGGGCGAAAAATGATAGAGGGGTACGGTCCTTCCCGTCGAGTTTCCCCACATCAGCGCGACACATCAGCGCGGGAATCGTTCCGCCCAGGTCTCATGAAGGTCGGTGCGGTTCTCCTTTGACATCCAACATCCGCGCCATGGCATCCCGAACAGAACGCTTCGAGCGGAAAGCAAATCCCAAGCCTGCCGTGCCATCGCCGACCGAAGAAACAGAAACTGTGCGGTTTGAACCCGAAGAAGAAGCTGTACGTACGGAATCCTTGCCGAACTAAATCCACCTCCTAACTCCAACCTAGGAACTCCTCAGGCAATCGAACGAGCGCAAGGCTGCGGCAAACGAAAGGTTCGCGGCTGGAGAGTATGGCGCGGCGATAAAAATTTACGCGGAGGCCATTTCGTCATGTCCGAATTATCTATACTATGAGCGCGCAGTGCTGAACAGCAATGTCGCGGCTTGCCACTTGAAGCTGGAAGAGTGGAAGGAGACGGTCAAAGCTGCGAGTGAATCTGTCGACGACCTCGACCGTTTAGATCCCACGAAATTAAAGGAGAATAAGAAGGGTGGCACTCCCAAAGGCGAGGATGGGAAGGAGATTGTTGAAGAGCAGGAAGAGGAAGCAGATGAGGAGATAGTCAGTGTTGGGGCAGCCAAGGCCGCGAACACTTCAGAGGCAGCGCGGCGGAAAACAGATATAGAACGGATACGATCGAAGGCCTTACTGAGGAGGGCAAGAGCAAGGAGTGAGTTGGGGGGGTGGTCGGCACTTGGAGGGGCTGAAGAAGGTATGTTATACCGTCATCTGTGCGACGTCGGGTTGCTAATGCGAGATAGATTACAAGGAGCTCTCGAAGATGTCGAACCTATCACCAGCAGACCGCAAGGTAGTACAAAGGCAGCTGATCCTGCTACCACCACGGACAAAAGCAGCACAAGAAAAGGAAATGGGCGATATGATGGGGCAACTCAAGCAGCTTGGGAATGGCATTCTGAGGCCGTTCGGCTTGTCCACAGATAATTTCCAGATGGTCAAGGATGAGAAGTCAGGTGGATATAGCATGAACTTTAACCAAGGGAATAAATAATATATATTCTTAAACAGCCAAATATGTACGAAAAACATGGTAAATGACAAGGTATCATCGTACAGTACAATTAATTACAAATGCGCAGGCACCACAATAGCCCTTCCTCTCCTCTTCTTTTTCCCCGACGCATCTGCTTCCTTTGTTGCATCCGCTGAAGCTGCTGCCGAAAACAGAGACTGGCCTACTGTGTCTGCAAGCGTGAGCACCCTCGTGCTGACAGTCGCGCCATCACGTCTATTCTTGCCCTCGCGTCTAGACTGCGCTATCATTTCGGTGAAATCCCATAATTTGCCTCGCGGGGCTATCTTGCCCGTCAAGGGGTCGCGTTGTGGCGTCCAGGCCGGAGCGAGCTTCATCTGGGGCGGCGAGTTCGACAGCTTGTCTTTTGCTACCACAATAATTCCCTCTTCTTCAAAGCGCTGGTATGCATTTTTAAGAGTCTCCTTGTTAACCGCTTCGAAATACGAGAGATCGCCTTGGTGATATAGTGTCTTCCCGAGCTGCAACATTGTTAGCTACTATCTATCCAGTTTTTCTTCAAGTTAGAAGGCTTACCAGTTGTGCACTGTTTTGTGCACTCGTTACGTCTACCCAAGCTTCGTCTGGCCGCTCGAATGATGGCGTTAAGCCCATCAGAGACACTGCACCGAGCCAGCTTGCCTCGATGAAGGGCCATATCATAAAGCAGTAGAAATCGTAGTTCTCGCGTCCAGCAGCACGCTCTTCCTCGGAAAGGCCAACTTCTTTGATGTTTCCATCGGAGTCACGTATTTGCTCGATGACCTTGTCTTCCTCGAGGCCATGGAGAGTATTTTCGAGATTTTGGGCAAGCCCATCCGTTGGGTAAATAAACTCGCCCCTGAAAAGTTGTGACAGGAACAGGACCTGGTCCCGAAGTTCAGTGAACGAGATTCGCTGGTCTGACCTTAAGCCTCCGCGTTTGATTCTTGTATACATGCTGGCGCTTACAAGCGCTTCTGTAATGAAAAGATGGATTGTCATATTGCGATAGAAGGACAGCTGGAATCGGTCGACAGCATAATACGTTGGTGTTGGAAGCCCTTCGACTACGCCAACCAAATCTTTTCCTAGCACGTCCAGGCCTCTGTCGATGACGGAAGAGGTTGTGGCACCGCCAAAATGAGCAACTCGGCCCCCCTTGGCTCGAACGCGATCGCTCAGCCATTCAATTCTTCGGATCAGCTCTGGCTTTCCTACACCGCGTCCACGAAGCGTAAGAATAACGGTACCAATCAACGCAGTTGGCATCACCACAGAAATTGCATTGATGTCCGATAATACTTTATAGCCCAATGTCCGCAGGATTCTTTGGCGAACGGTGGGGTCGTTGGCAGCCTCTAAGTTCAATTGCTGAGGAATTGTGGTGCTTCGAGACATTTGTTCCTGAATAAACCCTCTTAGACTCCATGGCTCGTGGAATCTGACATCGACTCTGCCAAGCTTCAACGATAGTACTGAAGATGCCGACAGGAAATCTGCCAGGTTCTCTTTCTTCTTGGGAACTCCAAGTAACTCGCCCACATAACCTTCGGTTTCGATCACTTTATCGTATTGCGTACTAACTGGGCAGATAATTGTATCTTCAACGCGCCCTGACAGTATACTATCCAGGATGAAACTGAGAATGCCAAATTTTGGCGGAAGGAGTTTTCCTGTCCGTGAACGGCCGCCTTCAATAAAACATTCGAAATTGAAGCCTCCTTGAAGAAGCGTATCGATATATGCCTGGACGAGAGTGGTATACAGGACGTCATCGCCAAAACTGCGGCGGATAAACATAGCACCTAAAGGAGTCAGTCTTGTTTATCTCAATCAACCGGCGGAGCATATACCCGCGTGCTGTAAGAAAGAGCCAACCACCGGGAAGTTCAAATTGTCTCCCGCGACCACGGTCGGTAAGGCCATCCCAAGGCGGTAGCTAATAAGTTGTAAAGATACGTAGTCCACATGCGATCTATGGCATGGTAAGAATATGATACTCTGTCGTTTCTTCTCTGCCTCCTTAGCAACATTCCGCAGCCGCAGAACTTCTTCACTTGACACGTGGATTCCTATTATTATAAAGCACATCGTCAGTTCAGCTTGTAAAATGGGCCATCCATCTCAACGCACCTTGGTGGTATGCTCTAGTCAACAACTCCGTGCAGAAATAATATGCGCTCCTGATAAATGTTTTGTTCTCCATCTTGCAGATCATGCCGTCTGTCATTTGTTCTGCCAACTGCAGTAGGCTCTGCTCTATCGCAATCTTTCGTGCTGCTTTATGTGTCTCGAACATGCTATCATCTCGGTTTAAAAGGCCCTGCTCTTCTTCCGCCGCAACGCGCTTCGAAGCCAACTCGGAGATTTTGTTTTGCAGGATTGGTGTCGACACTACTGCAGCTTTCATATTCTCGCTGAAGCCGGAGTAGTAGACCGGTTGGCCTATGGGTTTGTCGTACGAACGCCATCCTGTCCCAGATATGTGGAGGGATATTTCGCGGAGGAACCTAAGACTCGGCGTCAGACACTTGCGACAGTGAGTGCATATATCAATAACTTACTCAAGCGGGGCTGTTCTGAACCTGCCAGCATGTTGCATGAGAGCTTGCTCGTTGTCGGCCGCTTTCTGAGGGGGGGCAATATATCCACTCGGGTGTAGGGTGACCTTGTCGCCAAAGATCTCAAGATCTGGGGCCGAGTCCCCTCGAGGCCCAGAGCCTCCCGATTTTGCCATTGTTGCAGAGATTCCGATCTCACTTCATCGAATTCTAGTCATAGTCGCATTGCAGTTGATCTCGACAGTCTAGGTTGAGGAGGGCAAGTTGGCCTAGCTTGCTTCCCCGGACTTCACAATACATACTCCAAGTGCATTACTTCGTTCGTCCACGGGCCAACCCCACTCCACTGTCTGGCACGAGCCGAATTGCCGAGTGATTGGCCCGTGGGACGAACGTCAAAAAAGGCCTTGCTCACACATAATAAAGTACCTACCTAGGTAATTTATTATGTGTGAGCAGGGAGGGCCTTTTGTTGAGGTGGGGTTAATGCACAATAAGTTAAGTTACTCCAAATGGATTACCTAATCCGTAATCCACTTCGAGTATTGTGCATAACCCCACCTCAACATTTTTGTGTCCACGGCTCGCGACTGGACTACAATCGACCAGACTGCAAGTCCTCGGCATTTCGACGGAACTCGAAGCTGTAATCACAATGGCAAACACCTCGGCGTCACCAGGTACGCATGTCGCAGCTCACCTCTTGTCCCTTGCCCATCCTCCAACAACTGTCTCCCGCATCTTCACTGAGAAAGTCAAGCTCCGACCCTTGCATCTCAAGCCGGGTGAAAACCCCACGCCCTCTGGTCGCGCCTATCGACGCACACTACGCCTACAAGCTGCATCGAAGCTTAAGAAGAAGCGCAAGCCACAGCCATTGAGTGCGGCCGAGAAGCGCGCAACAGCACTACACTCGATTCCCAGCGACCAACAGAAATATGCGATCTTCGAACCGCTCCACCAGCTATGGACTGGATACATTAATGAAATATTGGGATCGGGCAGGCCAATTTCTGGACCAGTAGCTGCCAAGCTTGCCAGTGCTGATTATCATGGCGCACTTGTCCAGGTATCACGAAGCCGTTGCACAAGCCGTGTCGGTGTGAAAGGTATCGTCGTCAAGGATACCAAGTTTACATTCGAAATTATCACCGAAGGAGACGAGTTGAAGGTTCTGCCAAAAGAGCACACAGTTTTCAGGTTCGAGGTTCGAGACGACGCAGAAGCGGAAGAATCAAAAGATACGCAACTGGATCAGGCAGCAAAAAAGAGCTTGGTCTTCGAGTTACATGGGGATCAGTTCCAACATCGCGCCGTAGACAGGGCGAACAAGAAGTTTAAGCAACACTTCTTACCAGATCTTTGAGAATATTGTTTTGTTGAATAGGGATATTAAACAATACCTCCGGGCATCCAGAATACCAGCCGTATATATCGAGCGGTAGCTCTATAAACTGGCGGGGCCATTGGGAGCGATGGAGCGAATCCACAAGGCGGTTACTCTCAGTAGTGTAAAAATGAAGACATCGTGGAGGTCAGTGTCTGAAGCAAGGCCGTATGTATGCGGTTCTGCCAAGCTGAACACCATGTGGCTAAGAAGATGGTGGCAGGCGGTCGCATCACCCGGGGATTGGGTTTGATATTTATACATGTCGATGACCTCCTACATTCGCGGTATCTAAAAGTTACCCAGCGGTTGGGATTCATAGGTCTATCCTATTGTAGAGAACAAGAGAAGCGCTCAGCCGGATAGTAAGAAGCTCGGTGTATATTCTGGACCTGGTCTCATGCCTCCAAATCTCCCCATAATGCAAGGCATTGGAGCGCAATAAATAAATGCTTAAATATTTGGGGGGTAATGAAGAATATATTTGCTGCAGTTCTATATGTGTCAGCTTTGGAAATATTGTGATGTAGAATGTAAATTTTAAATAGGACTGTTTATGTTAATTTTAAGCCTAGGCCATAAGCCGGGCCATAATATTGCTCACAAGTCAATAAATGCAATTAAATTCGACAGACAACACTTGAAACCCGTGCTTAAGCCGTTACCCTTAAACACTATGGCTACAGCTTCGAGAATATCGAAAAATTGACCAGCATCAAGAAGAAACAGCTCCAGTACATAATCAGCGAGGCTAAGAAACGCGGGTACAACCCAGAAGTCAGCCCGACACTCAAAGACGAGTATTTCCACGACGGCGGCTAACGAAGCTTTCAAAGGAGCAAATAGAGCCTTTAGTCGCTGTATCAAAACCGATTGAAGGGGTGCCGAGGAAGACGAATGCGATAACTGGCCCAGGAATTTAGGGTCTCAACTCGAACTATCCGTTGGTTTAAAGTGATGAAAGGAGAGTATAAGAAACCTATATACCGACCACAGCGAACAGATTCCCTTGCGACTGATTCTGAAGCCCAGAGTGAAGAGGAAGGTGATGTTGACAACGTCAAGCACACACAGCTGACCAAACCACCTTCGGCAACTCACTGTTGGATCAGTTGCAGGCGGCGACTGGTGAAGAATACGCAACACCAAATTCACCCCCAGCTACTTCAAATTAGCCGTCGCTACAGCCGTAGCTGCACATAATTGAATGTCATCCCTGCTGATGAGCTGTATTTAACCAAGTGGATGCCTAGTTCTCGGCAAAGGGCCTACGCTGACCAGGAGCATACGGCGTTCCTGGTTTTGGATTTAATACGATCAAGTCGGTCTTAGGGTGAATCGGGGCTATTTTGGCACCCACGGACGTTCAAATGACGAGGAAACTTCCATGGCTCCAAACAGACACCAATCAAGATAGCTCAAGCTCCCGGAATACTACTTCATCACGCCCCAGAAGGCCGAGACCCATATTGGATAGTTCAGACATAGAACAGCCGCCAGGGAGACAGAATCGCAGGGGGGCGGGGTCAAGAGCTGCAGGTAAGCATTATTATAGAATCCTACTGAACAAAATGCTAATAAGCATAGCACGTGAAGTATCTGCTACACCAAATGAACCGCCCGAAGAAAGGTATGTCGTATCATGTGGCTACATTTATCTTACAACTGGTCTAAAATTCATTACAGTTTCATGATCGATGGATTTAACAATGATGACCGGTATCGTATGGTCGAAGACGAATTCCTGGACGTAGCAAAGGAGTTTACCCAGCATCTCCATGCCGCAGAGTACCAGCGTATGAAAAATAGCGCAAAGGCCCAGGATGCAGCTACTATCAATGCAATTTCTAGGCCGGTAACTACGAAGATGGGAGGCGAAACACGTCGAAAAGTCGAAAGCATAGCTAGGGCGAAGAAGCAAGCTGATGCCATCAAAGATATCCATGGAGATCAACCTCGGGATGAGGACGATTCAGATGAAAGCCAGGGGCCTTGGCTTGGTACAGCCCTTCATGGGCTCATGGAAAAACCGAGGGCATCCGCCGTTCCACTGACTGAGATTTCGGGATTCCACAGCACTACGAAGGCAGCTGCGGGCTACAAAGGGTCTACGGTTGGGCGAATGGAAACCTACGATATGCCAGATCCAGGGGAGTCTGAATTGGCGAAGCCTGCCTCAGTAAAATCTACTGAAGAGGAAGGGGAAACAGAAACCGAAGATGATGACGATGACCTTGCTGCTGCCCCTGTGGCTACTAATACAAGTTCTTATATCAAAAATGAGTCGATTGAAAGGAGAAATACAATCTCCGAGCCTGGGGAAGCAGGAGAATCAGAATTACTAAAGAGCGAAACGTTTGAACCGTCGTCATATAATCAAGGGGAGCCCACTTCTGACGGCCGCACAATGTCATCAGAAAGCATGGCCCGTATTGCTCGAAGTAGAGAACAGGCCAGAATAAGACGAATGCAAGAAGAGAAGGATACCAAGGACGCCAAGTATATGCCCAAGTTCCTATAATACATCACTTTTAAAAGTCATCCATGCGTTTGCTCACGTGGCGTTGACAGGATCTGGGCAGAGTCATTTCTGAAGTGAATTCTCCAAATATCATCAGCCAAGAGACCCAAGACCAAATATCATGAGTCTTAAAACCAACAGAAATATTTGGCGACATAGTGTACAAATCGACAGAGATTTGAATAGGGTTGGTTGATAAGCTATTGCCACCTTGGTGCCCCTCGGCTACCGTGCATAATCAACAATCGCGGGGCAAACTCTTGACTGGAACTTTTTGTTATCCTTTAACAAACACCACCACACTCGAAACTCTCGAGAAATACAAATCAACATCACAAGCAAATTCACCTGGGCCTTTCAAGATGGCGTCCATGGATTTAGATGCGCCGATTTCTATCGCGCCCTCCGCGCGTGCCCTCCAGACAGCCGCAACGTAAGTCCCTGAACTTTTCCTCACCATGTGAATAATTTATACCGACGCAACTAGTATTTTGTGCTGTAACTGTGGTGCACCCATCGACGGAGCAGCGTCGGCGAATGCATTATGTTACGACTGTGTCAAACTTACTATGGATGTCTCCGGAGGCATCCAAAGAGAGGCCACCCTTCATTTCTGCAGAGATTGCGAGAGATGGTTACTTCCTCCCACCAGTTATATTGTGGCCGCGCCTGAATCGAGAGAATTATTGGCTCTGTGCCTGAAAAAGCTTCGAGGTCTTCACAAGGTCCGAATTATAGATGCAAGCTTTATCTGGACGGAACCCCATTCTCGCAGAATCAAGATCAAGCTCACTATTCAAGACTCCGTCTCCGAGGGCGTTGTCCTACAACAGTCATTCGAGATCGAATATGTGGTGGCATACCAACAGTGCCCCGACTGTGCCAAGTCATACACAGCAAATACTTGGAGAGCATGTGTACAGGTTAGACAGAAGGTGCCGCACAAGCGTACTTTCCTCTACCTAGAGCAACTTATCCTCAAGCACGGAGCCCACAAAGATTCCATCAATATCAAAGAAGTCAAGGATGGTCTGGATTTCTACTTTGCGGCAAGAAACCAGGCAACTGCCTTTGTCGACTTCCTCACATCCGTCGCCCCAGTTAAGAGCAAGAAGTCTCAAGAACTCATTTCCATGGATATCCATACGTCAACAAAGTCATATAAGTTCTCGTATTCCATCGAATTAGTTCCCATCTGCAAAGATGACTTGGTAGCACTGCCTATCAAGCTGGCACATCAAATCGGAAACATGAACCCGATAGCACTATGTTACCGTGTTGGAACCGCCATCAACCTCCTCGACCCAAGCACTCTCCAGACTCATGATGTCAGCACCCCTATCTACTGGCGTGCACCATTTTCGTGCCTTGCGGACGTAAAGGAGCTTGTCGAGTTTGTTGTCCTGGATATCGATTTGGTAGGCGTGGAGAAGGGTCGCTGGGCGCTTGCAGAGGCAACCATTGCCAGAGCGTCGGACCTGGGCCACAATGACAAGACGTTTTTCGCAAGAACACATCTTGGTAACGTCCTTCACCCCGGTGATTCAGTTATGGGATATGTCCTCAGCGAGTCGAATTTCAACAACCCTCAATACGATGCGTTGGAGAACTCGTCTACATATTCATCATACATCCCAGATGTCATGTTAGTGAAGAAGTTCTACGCCAGAAAGAAGAAGCCAAAGAACCGTAACTGGCGTCTCAAGCGCATGAATAAGGAGGAGGGTGACTTGTTGCCCAAGAAGGGTGACCAGGAGAAGATGGATAAGGATTACGAGATGTTCTTGCGTGATGTTGAGGAAGATACTGAGCTCAGACAAACTCTTGCTCTTTACAAGGCCCAGCAAGCACAGAAGGAGGTAGATGCTATGAGCATGACGGAGACAAGTGATGGAGAGGAGGATAACACGCCGCAAATAGACATGGATGAGCTTCTCGACGAGTTCGATGACCTGAAGGTTAACGATGCCGGTGGGAGTTAGATTCGAGGTCTTAGGTTCGGAATCTGGGCATATATCTCCTGACACATGAGATCATGCGTAGTAGCAGTTTGTGTCCCGACACATCCTGTCTACTCCTCTTCCATTGTCAATGTGGAGTGAAACAACACGACGCATCCGCCTGGCATTGCTTCGCTTTCAACCAAACTACGAACCTTCCATCAGCCAGGTGATGGTTCGAATAGCGTGCCAGGGCCGGAAGAGCACTCGGGGGAACGGGAGTTTGGGCGTTTTGAGCATTGCGAGAGTGGGTTAACGTGACATGACAAGGAAAAGTGTTGTTTTAGTTAGTCGCCAATAACAGTGACTTCAATACGTCCTACTTCAAAGATTGGTCCCAGTGAAATGCCTCGCACGCACATGCCTAGTGATTAAGTATATGTTCAATAAATCGTTAACTGTAAGCTACCTGCCTGCTTCTTAGAAAATCTTGCTCAACACCTGCTTCACGCTCTCCGACTGATCAGTCGCCTTCCTCTTCGTCACAGCCTGCGTCTGCTTAAACTGCCTCGCCCTCTCCCCCCCCTTCCTCACCTTCTCCACCTTCGCACTCTCTCCAGCGAGTATACCCTCCCCCTCCTTCGCCCTCCTTGCCGCCTTCTTCGCCTCCATCCCCTCCAACATCTTCGCCCTCTCCACATTCTGCACAAACTCCTTATTCTCCTTCGTCGTCTTACTAATCTCCGCCCTCATCCTACTCGCCCTCTCCGCATTCTCCGCCGCGATCTGCTGCGTCAGGTTGTTCCACTTGAAGCCCCTCAGGTACAGCAAATTCCACACATCATCGTGGTAGTACGTCCCCTTCTTCCCGCCGATAATCTGCGTATTGAGCAGTTCGCACGCCTTCTTCGCGTCGGACTTGCTGACGAACTCTACCCAACCGTCGGTGAATGAGCGTTTCTTGTTCCCCCCATTCCGCACGCGACGGGTGTGCGACGTCGGGTCCTCGGGCGTCATGAAGATGCGGTTTATGTCGCCGAAGGGCTCGAGGAGGGAGCGAAGTTTCTGTGGCTTCATGAAGGGCGGGATACGGGAGAGGTAGACGACGCCGGAGCGCTTGACGGCTGCTTCGGTCGCGACGAGGTTCTTTTTGCTGAGGAGTTTGGGGGTGCCGGGTAGATCTCCGGACTTTCGTAGGCGCTTTGATTTTTCCTCCGGTTTGTCGTCTGGTGTGGTAGTAGCATCGTCGTATTCTTCGTTTAGGATGCTGGGTTTGGTAGTCTCGTCGGCGGAGGCATCGTCGAAGTCGTCTTCGTCGTCGCTGGCGTCGCTGTCGACTTTGAATCTCTTCTGCCCTCTCTCTCCTTTCCTCAAATCTTCCGCTTCGGAATTATATCCCTCACTCCCCCTATCATCATCGCTCTCACCCGCCTCGAGGAATTCGTTGTGCTTCCTTGTTGTCATTATCGCTGTGCTTTCTTAAACGGATTGAAGTCGCATTAATTCTCGCCCATTAATTCTTGTCCTTCATGGAAATTTACTGATAGTCGGAACATCTATCGGCCCGATACACCGATAACAGTAGCAACGCCACCGCCTCCGATAAGCCCCTCATTTATGGGGACAAGCTTACACCCAAGTACGTAAACTGCAACACCCTCGTCACCATTGACTCTTCCCCTTTGTAAATACTCTTCTACCCGTAAAAAACGTAAGAGTTTACACACATCCCCACCTCCAAAATGTCCGCAGAAACCCTCACCACCATCTCACCCACCACAAACAAGGGCATCCTCACCCGGACTGGTGCAACCCCCGCCGACCTCGAGAAGATCGTCGATGTATCCGCTGAGCGCTTCAAGACGTGGAGCAAAACTCCCTTCTCGGAGCGCCAGGCAATCGTCAAGAAGGCGCTAGAGATCCTGGTTTCGAAGAAAGATGAATACGCCAAAGAACTCACGGAGCAAATGGGCCGTCCCATCGCCTATACGGGTGTCGAAGTGACGACAGCAGCGAAGCGGGGGGATTACCTCCTCAAGATCTCGGAATCAGCACTCGAAGACACACCGGGGGAGGCGGAGAAGGGGTTTACTAGATATATCAAGAAAGTCCCCATCGGTCCAGTTCTCATACTCTTCGCTTGGAACGTACGTCACCCCCCTCCCCACCCCCCCCCCCATCCATCCATCTCCAGGCAAGAAGCTAACCCGGGAAACCAACAGTACCCCTACCTAATCCTCATCAACTCCCTCATCCCCGCCCTCCTCGCCGGGAACACCGTGATCCTCAAGCCCAGCCCCCAAACCCCCACCATCGTCGAGAACCTGTCCTCCATCTTCACCCTCGCCGGGCTCCCCGAGGGCGTAATCCAATTCTTCCACTCCGGCACCCCCCTCACCATCGACACCATCGTCAAGAACCCCAAGGTCGCCTTAATAGCCTTCACCGGCTCCGTAGCAGGCGGTTTGGCAGTCCAGAAAGCTGCTGCGGACCGCGTGGTACCCGTCGGCCTCGAGCTTGGGGGGAAAGACGCGGCGTATGTGCGTTCCGACGTGGACGTGGCGTGGGCGGCGGAGGAGATTGTGGATGGTGCAGTGTTTAACTCCGGGCAGAGCTGTTGTAGTATCGAGCGGGTGTATGTCGATTCTTCGATCCATGATAAGTTTGTGGAGGAAGTGCAGAGGGTACTTGGGGGATACAAGTTGGGTGATCCGTTTGATCCCTCTACGCATGTTGGGCCGGTGATTTCGAAGCGCTCGAAGATTGCGATTGAGGGACATATTAGCGATGCTGTGGCAGCGGGGGCGAGGAATGTTACACCCGCCAATGCGTCGTTCACTTCTCCGCCCGCAGATGGGAATTTCGTCGCTCCTACGCTGTTAGTTGACGTGGATCACAGCATGGCCGTTATGACGGAAGAGACATTCGGCCCCGTCATCCCCGTCATGTCCGTCTCCTCCGACGCCGAAGCAGTGAAGTTGATGAACGACAGTGAGTTCGGGCTCACCGCCTCTATCTGGACGGCCGATACGAAGAAAGGTGCTGAGTTGGCGGAGTTGGTAGAGGCGGGGACGGTGTTTGTGAATCGCTGCGACTTTCCGAGTCCGGATCTGGCGTGGACGGGGTGGAAGAATAGTGGGAGGGGGGTGACGCTTAGTAAGTATGGGTTTGAGCAGTTTGTGAGGCTGAAGAGCTTGCATTTGAAGGATTATCCGAAATAGATGGATGATGTGTGTAGGTGGGTGGTAGATTTAGGGTTGGGGGGCGGGAACAATTGAGATTATTGTGAATGGATATGGATTTTTTGCTATGCTTTCTAGGCTAACATGAGACGCCTATACACCCACTCTCAAGCCTCTTCAAGCCACTTCCCATACTCGAACCCGCCCTCAACCCTCACCCCCTCCATCTCCCCTTTAACACCCAATAACTTCACCTTCCCCTCCCCCCTCGCACTCCACTCCTCCAACACCGCCTTCACCCTCTCCAACGTCTCATCACCCTCCCTAATCAACAACGCTACAGCATCATGACCACCGGCTCCTGGGACTACACCGCCTACTACGCCCTCCACCTCCCCGAGCTTATCCAACAAGGCCGTTTGCGCAGCGGGCTCGATGGGGACCCCTGATTTCTCGCCCATTTCCCGGATCAGGGCCCGGATCGCAGTGAACGCTGCACTGATCTCGTCCTCCTTCCCCGCTGACAAGGCGCGCGCGAGTTTCTCGTTGGAGGATTGGAGAGAGGTCCAGATGGGCGTAGCGTCGTCGACTTCCTTCGCCCGCCACGCAAGGACGGATTTCACCATCCCTACGGTTTGGGAGCCGCAATCGACGTCGCACATCACTAATGCGTAACCCTTTGGGATTGCAACGCTGACCTTCTCGATTTGGGTATCCCATTTCTTTTCTTCATCCTCCACCACGCTCTTCAACCTCTCCGCAAACCCAGAGGATCCTGGCCCACTCGCATCGCTGATGGTGGACAAAAGGGAAGGAGAGAAGCGGCGGTATAGACACGTCCCGTACACAGCAGCTGCAACGTCGAAACCAGACCCGATCTTCCCTTGCGCGGCGCAGTGGCAGGCTTGGCTGAGGTTGTGTTGCAGGATCTGGCTGGGGGGAGAGGGGAGGAGCTGGTGCAGGAGGGAGGAGGTTAGGGCTGTTGTGAGAGCGGCGGAGGAGCCGAGGCCGGTTTTGTTGGCGGAGGAGAGGGGGGTGGGGAAGGATGTGAATGGGGAGGGGGAAGAGGTGGTGGTGGTGGTGGGTTGGGAGTAGTAGTCGTTGTCGGCGAGGATGGTGATGGAGAGGGAGGGGAGGGTGGTGAGGGATTGGGTGGTGGTTAGGTAGGAGAGGGTGTAGGTTAGGGTTGTTTCGACGAAGGGGTTGCGGGAGGTGGAGGGACTGGGGTGGGAGGGGGGTGGTTAGTATGCGAATATAGTTTGAGGGGAGATTGAGGAGAGTGAGGAGAGTGAGGAGAGTGAGGAGAGTGAGGAGAGTGAGGAGAGTGAGGAGAGTGAGGAGAGTGAGGAGAGTGAGGAGAGTGAGGAGAGTGAGGAGAGTGAGGAGAGTGGACAACTATAAGGAGAAAAGGGGTCCACGTAAGAGCCAAAAAGATAAGGCTAGACAAAATGAAATATAATCTCATATCGTACCTCTCCAACTGCTTAACAGCCACCCCCGCACCATCTGCCAGAATGGCGGTGGAGTATCTCCATTCCGCCTCGATGAACTGCGGGCTCTTGACAACAATAAGCGGTTCGGCGCCCTCGGGCGTCACTGCGTCGTTGACGATAACATGGATGCGCGCACTGAGACCGAAGACGAGTCCCGTGTACTCTCTGTCGAGAACGAGGTATCCGCCTGCCAGCAGGACCTTACCAGGCGCCGAGACGGCGGAGTAGGATTTGCTCGAGTCGGCCATTGAGTAGGTGTCAGATAAGGAGGAGGAGACGTTGTTGATACTGGCGGCGGACTGGACTGGTATGTAGAGATATCACGGGGTGAGGGGGAGTTGAAGATCCCGTGACGAATGGTCCGAATGGGCCGAATCCGAAACGGAGGCGACGGACGGGGTTACTCGAGTAAGTTACTCGAGTAAGTTGGGGTATGGGATTTCGAGGCCGCGCGGTAACATGGGTACACTGCGCCCTTTGGAGCGGATCCGCGGCTTTCGGAAGGCGAAACTAAACGAAACTAACAGGAAACCTCAGGCTTCCACGTGCTTCTGTTGTATTTTCATGGACGGGGATCAGCCAATTGCGAGACTCACAAAAGGACGGAAGATACAGATTCGCCGGATCTGATTGTTCCAATCCAAACACTCGGGGACAGCGGGGACAACGGGGACAGCGGGGACAGCGGGGACAGCGGCTGGACAGCGGGGATAGCGGCTGGACGGCGGGATGAGAGACCAATGGCGAGCAAGAGTCGCCGGTTTGAATTCGCCACGGACCCGGCTCTTTCTCTTCGGCATGGAAAAGCATGGAAAAGTGCAAATTAGGAATTTCCTTCTCGGCGTATCAGACACACCTGACTCGTCATCTTTCCAAAACTTTCTTTTTCCCACAACTACCACCACACACACTACCAAGACTACCACATCAGCAACAACTTCAATATCGACTCCTTCCTCCGTTTTTAATCAAATCATACACTGTTCGACTCGACACTTCCAGTCGACCTTCCCAATCCCCAACCTCAAACTTATACCAAATTCACATAGCGCGTTTGTTGACGGCCACTGCTGTCAATGAACCTGCAATCCATCTCTCTCCGAATCTAATATCCGCTCCTCCCAGTCAATGAGAGGACTTCCCATCTGCTAAATGCCCATTTACTCAAATCTCTACTCCAATCTCGCACGCCAGGGGTTCGCCAAAACATTTCACCACGGATACGCCCAGTCACTCGTTGCTGCGACACACCCGTCCTCCTACCCGAACCAGCACAACCGCAGCGCGTTCGCTCGTCGCCACAACAGTGTTGGGAAGCTCCACAGCTACCGCTTCAAGAATGCTTTCCACACCAGCGTAAACGCCTCGTCGGCGCTCACCCTCCAGCAGGATGCGCGGCCAGAGAGACACAACACCAGCGATGCGGGGCTAGACGCCTACTTCGATGCCTGGAAGAAGCAGCACCCCGTCGGGGAGCCGGAGAAGGAATGGACACAATTCCAGTTCGCCAAGCGGATTGAGTGGAAGCCTTCGGTTCCAGAGGTCGAGGAGGGAACTGCAGAGGCAGTAGTCGCGAGCTATGAGAATCAGCGCCCGGGCTTGGAGAGATCCCAAAGCACGGGCGACCTTGATGGCCTCCGGAAGGCTCGCAGCGACACATTCGTTTCAGTCGAGGGATCGGGCGCCGTTACCCCGAAGGTCGCGCAGCAGATTAGAGACCTACATATCAATGGATTGGAGCAGGTTGCTTCGGGGCTCCTTACACCTCCCATGAGCCTCGAGGACTTCCGCCGTTCCCCATTGTCAACCAGCTCGGTCACGACAACCTCGGACCTCCAGTCCCAGAGCTACGCTGAGCACCTCACGAAGCTCTCTCAATCCCAGCGTTATGCCGAGATTCCCGCCGTTTTCGAGTCCATGCTTGTTGCTGGCATCAAGCCAGTTGCGGACTCGTACAACGCGCTTCTCGACGCTGCTATCCACCTGCCTGCCGAAAGGATTCAGGTGGTGCCCAAGGCTCTCGATGTCTACTCGGACATGCTTCGCCGCAAGGTGGCACCCACCACTGCCACCTACAACACCCTCATCAACCTTCTTGCCTCCAGATCTCTCGAGGTCAACGATTCCAAGAAGATGTTGGAGGAGAAGCGTGCCCGCTTCGGCGGCATGGAACAACCCGACAAGTTCATGCTTGCATCCAGCGAGATGGAGTTCGACATCTTGTCCGAAGACGACAGGCTCGATTTTGCCGTCAAGATGTTCGATATGTCCATGAGGACCAACAAGGACCGCACTTACCCAGCAGAGACATACTTCAAGCTCATTTCAGCTTGCGCTGAGGCTGTGCGTGTCAACGACATGGCGCGCTTCTACGAGGACATGGAGTCAAAGAAGGTTATTCCTTTGGCTGCCACGTTCCCATCGATGATCAAGGGATACGCAGCTTCCCGGGATCTCACCAGCGCCGTTGAGTGCTACAACGAGTACAAGGACATTGCTGTTGCAGACAACTACGGACTGGTGGAACTTACTGACCGCCAAGACGCATTTGTCTACGCTGCTGTTGTGAAGGCGTACGTCGATTCCGACAAACTTCCCGGAGCGATCCGCTTTTACGAGAAGATTGTTGAGTCATCAAGCGCAAAGAACTCTGCGGTGAAGGACATAATCGTGTCGCATGGACTTGTTCAAGGGCTGCTTGACAGCGGCGTTCACGCCGAAGCTCTTAAGTGGGCCCAATGCTTGAGCTTGGCACCCAAGGCCTCCGCTATGGGCAAGATCGCTGCTTCTGCCGCCGATGCTGGTAACAGCTCGGTTGCTCTTTCAGCGTTCGAGAACGTTCCTCTCGACAGCCAGGATGTTGCGGCTCCAGCCATGGCCCTGCTCGCTCTTAGCGTCCGCTCTGGAAACGTCGCTGAGGCCTCCAAGTACTGGCAGATTCTGTCTGCCCCTGGAATGGCCATTTCGGCTTCATTCATTGAGCCAACGGCCATGTATGCCATCAGCATGATCGGATCTGGACAGGCTGCTCTGGGACTCTCCCAGGCAGAGCAGATGTTCCAGCGCATCAGGGGATCTGCCTCTTCTCAGCCATCGATTGCGGACGAGGTGGAGGAGGGCATGCTTCTGGTGGAGCAGTTCATGGGAAGGCGCGGCATTGTTGACCCCCGTACCATCGAGCCACCTGTTGTCTACCAACAGCCGTTCCCAACCCATTTCCAGGCGCCAGTTACCAGGCCATCATTCGAGGACTCGTTTGATCCTTACGCTGCTTCTACCGACTTCAAGGGCTCGTCTCTCATCGCCGATGAGCTTGAGAGGGGACTTACCTCACGCGCGAAGGTGTCTCGCCTCAATGAGGCATTGAATAGGTTCCGCAACATTAGACGCGCTGGTCGCCACCCCCGCTACATCACTTACGCCAAGCTGATTTCGGCTGCTGCGAGAGAGGAGCGCACCAACCTAGTCCACGATATTCTCGGCATGGCTAGGTCTGATGTCCCACTCCTGACCCAGTACCCTGTTGTCAGATACGGATGGGTGTCGATTCTGGATGCCATGGTCGGTGCCTGCCTCACGCTCGGTAACCGCACTTTGGCTGCCCAGTTCCACCAGGAGCTCCTCGATATGGGCGCTGCACCGACCGCGAACACTTTCGGTCTGTACATCACCACTCTCAAGGAGTCTACCAAGACCTTCGACGAGGCTTCCGAGGCCGTGAAGATCTTCCACCGCGCCAAGTCTGAGGGCGTCGAGCCTTCTTCATTCTTGTACAATGCTCTCATTGGCAAGCTTGGAAAGGCCCGCCGCATTGACGACTGCCTCTTCTTCTTCGCCGAGATGCGCTCATTGGGCATTCGTCCCACAAGCGTCACCTACGGGACCATCGTCAACGCCCTGTGCCGCGTCAGCGACGAGAAGTTCGCCGAAGAGCTGTTCGAGGAGATGGAGTCGATGCCTAACTACAAGGCCCGCCCCGCCCCCTACAACAGCCTGATGCAGTTCTTCCTCACCACCAAGCGCGACAAGAGCAAAGTGCTCATGTACTACGAGCGCATGAAGACCAAGGGCATCCAGCCTACGAACCACACCTACAAGCTCCTCGTCGACACCCACGCCACCCTCGAGCCAATCAATATGGCCGCCGCCGAGGCCGTCCTGGACGTCATCCGCAGCACCGGACAGAAGCCCGAGGCTGTCCACTACGCATCCCTCATCCACGCTAAGGGATGCGTCCAGAACGACATCGCTGGCGCCCTCTCGGTCTTCAACTCCGTCTCCGCTGACTGCTCCATCCGCCCTCAAGCTTGCGTCTATCAGGCCCTTTTCGAAGCTCTGGTCGCTAACCACCGCGTCGCGGAAACCGAGCCGTTCTTGCAAGCCATGACTGCGCAGCGAGTCGAGATGACGCCGTATATCGCCAACACGCTCATCCACGGCTGGGCGAACGAGGGGGACTTCGCGAAGGCTAAGGCGGTCTTTGATGTCGTCGGAAGGGAGAAGCGCGAGCCTAGCACATATGAGGCTATGGCCCGTGCGTTCCTGGCTGCGGAGGATAGGCCGGGGGCGATGGCTGTTGTGCAGGAGATGCTGAGTAGGGGGTACCCGAACGCGGTGTCGGGAAAGATCCTGGAGCTCGTTGGGGGGGGGCGTGGGGAGGTGGCCTGAGTTTGGCTGCCGTGCTTCCGTTGTGCTGCTTGTATTTCCTGAGGGTGGTGCGTCCATCTTCGGGGAACACGTATCAATATTTTACCGCTTTTCATTTGTTTATTTCTGATACCCAGTGCGAGACAGTAAATAAAATCGGGAGGAAGGGGGGGGGGTGCAAAAATGGGTGTTATCTTTGTTTTTTTGGTGGTTGGCTAGCCCTTTTGGTTGAATCGAGTTGTATTTTCCTTGCGTTTTGATATCATCGATGGTGTGGTGGTTGGCGGCTGTCTTTCTGGGCGGCTTTTGCTCTGTTGCGATGTGTACCAACATAGAGCTTTGGCGTTTTTTCACACGGAAGGGGGGGGGATAAGGGGACAAACCCAAATTATTCGTGTGATAGACATTTCTCCACTCTTCGATCTAGACGGCGGGCTTTTGCGTGCGTGTGCACGGGAGCGTGGGTCTGGACTGACCTGTAGTATAGTTAGAGATAGCATATAAAAATAATCTGCCAACTTGTTGTGTTCATTGTGATTTTTGCTGTGAAGTGCCAAATAGACATAACCTGTGGCTCAGAACCTTCTCTGATAGTGTCTTGCAGTCTTTATTGAGTATGAAATGCTTCAGCGTGTGCCGCCATTTATACATATATACATTTCTATATTCTCTTCCTCTATATACCCCCCTACCACCACCCCATCTACGCCTCCTCCACAGGCTCCAAAATAATATTATCAATCAACCTCACCGCCGGCCCCCCACTCAACCCCAGATCCTCCCCCTCCCCTGCCTCCTCAACAGGCAACATCTTAAACGCACCACTGAGCACCGCGCCCCTCCCCCCCTCCACCCTCTCCAGCTCCTCCAAACTCTCTGGGTCAGCTAGCGACAGGTATCCGGTCTCAAACTTCACTCTTTGCCCTGGCAGTTTCGCCTCCTCCGCTGATTGGATACTGCGGACGTATTCCTCTGCGGGTCCCATAATCTCGTCCCTGGTTCGACAGCCCGATTTCCACCGCGCTTCGGCAATTTTCAACGTCTCGCTCAACACCGTCGCCCTCGCCCTGCGCCGGGTTCCAAGGTAGACATTCCGACTACTCATCGCCAACCCATCGCTCTCCCTCATCGTGGCACCAACGCGGACCTCGGTATCCATACAGAAATCCCTCACCATCTTCCTAATCACCACCGTCTGCTGGACATCCTTCTGTCCGAAATATACCTTCTCTGGCGTGACGATGTTGAAGAGCTTCATGCACACCGTCGCTACGCCGCGGAAAAATGTTGGGCGTTGCACGCCTTCGAGTTTTTCGCCGGCGGGGGTGATGGTCACGAAACTGCCCTTTGCGTCGACTTCTTGCCCGGGGAAGCCGGAGGGATACATCGTTTTATCAGTTGGCGCGAATACCGCCGCCACACTCCCCAGATTGCCTCCATCCTCCGCCAGTTCCCTGTCAAGGTCGCGAAGCATAGCGCAATCAGCATCCCACGTCTGCGGATAACTCGCCAAGTCCTCATGCACGCCGAATTGCGCGGGGTTGACGTAGATAGAGACCACCACCGCCGAGGTCTCGGAAGCGGCTTGCCGGATCAAAGAGAGGTGCCCGGCGTGCAGGGCGCCCATGGTGGGGACGAGCCCGATTGTGCGGTGGGCGTCGCGCTGGGTGCGGCGCCAGTGGCGGAGGGAGGGGAGGGTGCGGAAGATTTTGATGGTGGTGTTTGGGATTGTCGATGAGGAAGGGGAGGTGGGGGAGGACGGCTTGCAGGCCTGGGAGGATGGGGTGGTTGTGAGGTTGCGGGACGACATTGTGGGGAGGAATGCGGTTGGTAGTGGGCGTAGGCGGGGGAGGAGTCGGGGGATTATTGACATTGCGCGGCTCTAGGGGCCGAGTGGTTGTTGAGTTTGTGGAATTGGTAGTGTAGAGGGTTGTGCATCTGGGGAGGCCATGGTTCTTTATGCTGTTGCCTGGGGGGAAGACATGGTTGCTGTGCTCCGTTGTGCGGCGTATAATGAAGCATCATCACCACCGTGTATCCGGCAGGACTTAAAAGGTTTGGGGCGGCCGCATATGGCTTGAAGGGGTTTAGCGCTCCCGCATCCCGCATTTTCATTCTGTGGTGGTCCGTGCGGGAAATTCCTCGATAACGAAACTTTTTGGAAAGATAGCTAAAAGCCAGGGCCCAGTTCTTGGGAAACAATTCTCTCTCCAATACGTTTTTCTCTAGAAACCAGACGAACCAGGAAATTATCCTGGGGAGAAGCAAAGATGGCCGACGATGGGATGCTCATGAATTTTGAGATTGGCGATGCGCCGCTGGTCGCGAAGCCCGTGTTCAAAGGCGGGCGGTGGAAGGATCGGTTGACGGCGAGGAAGGTTGCGCTTCACAAGGAGTCCCGCATGAACGGGGAAGGGGGAGGAGGAAACGAATCGAAACGCCCGGCGCCGGTGAATAGGGAGATTATACAGAATCCGCGCTTCAGCGAGGAGCATGAGGAATACATTGGGCCCAATAGCGAGGCGAGAGGACCGAAGAGACAGAGGGTGCAGGTCGACTATTATGGTGATGCTGGAAGGCACACGGCTCGGCTGACGACGGGGAAGCTGCCGCCGGGGAGTATTAATATTGGGGGGGGCAAGAAGACGACGTTTGGGGATGGGCGTGGGCCGAAGAAGACGTTTACGGATGGGAAACCGGCGCAGATTATATCGTCACTTTTCACATTCAATCCCTCGGCGAAAACCAAGTTCAAGGAGGAAGAGCCCAAGGAAGAGGTTGAGCCTGCGAAGCCGTCTAATGCTCCGCTTTCCGATGAAGCTTCCTCATTTGCGTCTCTGGGTATCTCGAGGCGACTTGCTGGACATCTCGCTACGAAGCTGGATATGAAGGCGCCGACAGCTATTCAGAAGGCTGCTGTTCCGCAACTCATTGCTGAGGATAGCGATGCGTTTATACAGGCCCAGACGGGTTCCGGAAAGACTTTGGCGTATCTGTTGCCGATTGTGGAGCGAATTATGGCTATCAGCGCTGCTGCTGAGTCGGAGGGTGTGCACGATAAGGAGAAGCAGATCCACCGCAATTCCGGACTCTTCGCAATTGTGCTTGCACCGACGAGGGAATTGTGCAAGCAGATTGCGGCTGTGCTAGATAAGCTACTACGCTGCGCGCCGTGGCTGGTTGGAACTACGGTTATTGGAGGAGAGAGCAAGCAGTCGGAGAAGGCACGGTTGAGGAAGGGTGTTAACATCCTTATTGCCACGCCTGGTCGGTTGGCGGATCATCTGGATAACACGGAGGTTCTCGATGTGAGCACAGTTAGGTGGCTTGTTCTTGATGAAGGTGATCGACTGATGGAACTCGGCTTCGAGGAGGAAATCAAAGGCATTGTCGATAAGATTGCTTCACGAGCACTCATCAACGACAGGACAGGACGAGTCGGCAAGGGACAACTTCCCAGCCGTCGCGTCACAGTCTTATGTTCGGCTACCATGAAAATGACAGTGCAGAAGCTGGGAGAAATCTCTCTCAAAGATGCTATGCACATCCAGGCCGACCCCTCCGACGAAGAATTGGAGAAGAGCAAGACGGATGGCACAGACCCCAAAGAGGACGGATTCTCCGCCCCTGCTCAACTTAAGCAGGAATACGGCATCGTACCTGCTAAGCTTCGCCTCGTCACACTCACTGCAGTTCTTAAGCGCGCCTTCGCTCGTCGCGGCTCAGTCATGAAAGCCATCGTCTTCATTTCCTGCGCCGACAGCGTCGACTTCCACTTCTCCCTCTTCTCGCGCCCCGAACTCACACCACCCCCCGTCTCCGGCGCCAACACCGACGAAGCCAAGCCCGCCGTCGCCGTCATCCCCAAGAACGAACTCACCAAAGACACCATCGCCACCGGCGCCGCATTCTCCAACGCCACCAACGCCGTGACGCTCCACAAACTCCACGGCTCCCTCGCACAAAACATCCGTACCGCGACCCTGAAGCACTTCTCCGAGTCCAAAGACCCCTGCGTCCTCGTCTGCACGGACGTCGCCTCTCGCGGTCTAGATCTCCCCAACGTCGACTTCGTGGTCGAATACGACCCCCCCTTCTCCTCCGACGACCACGTCCACAGAATTGGTCGTACCGCGCGTGCCGGTAAATCGGGCCGCTCGCTGATCTTCCTGCTCCCCGGCGCTGAAGAGGCATACGTCTCCATCTTATCCAAGTTGAGCCCCAACTTGACCGCTAATACGGGCGAGGAGCTCATCCGTAAGGGCTTTGGAGGAACTGGACACGAATGGGAGGAGCGCGCGACAGCGTGGCAGCTTGAGGTGGAGAAGTGGATTCAGGATTCGGCGAAGTACCTCGAGATGGCGAGGAGGGGATACCAGTCGCACATCCGTGCGTACGCAACGCATGTTGCTGCGGAGCGTGCGATTTTCGACATGAAGGAGCTGCATCTTGGACATTTAGCCAAGGCATTCGGACTACGTGATAAGCCGGGTAGTATTAAGGTGCCTGGACTGCGACCGAAGGCGATGACGCATGCGGATCGTAGTGTGGCGATGAGGAAGGCGAGGAGGGGGGATAATACGGATAGGGATGGGAATGAGAAGGCGCCGGAGGGGGAGCATGCGAGGAAGAAGAAGAAGGAGGAGAGGGAGAGGCCGAGAGATGTCAATGAGGATGATGCGGCGAAGAGGATGAAGAGGAAGATGATGGAGCATATGGGTGCTGCGTTAGAGTTCAATATCGGGTAGATTAGAGTAGATATGTTACATAGCACAGCGCAGCGTCGTTAGGAATCATAATCGTATATACACGGATCTAGTATATTTCCCATAAACTCACTTTCCCATCTTTGCTCCCAGCTGCCACCCAGTGCGTTTGAGTGGCCTGTTGTATCCTCTTCTCTTTTGCCGATACCGCCAAGCCAACGCGTCTTGAAGGTGCAGTCATCGCAGTCTCACCTCCTTCCAAAGATTCTGCATCTGGTTTACCCCCTTCCAACTTGCCCTCATCGGCCCCTTCTTTATCCTCTTGTACGTTTATCACTTCCGCGAATGCAACAGCAAAGCATCCATCCTTATGCCATTTCAGCACCGCCAGCTCCTTCATACTCGCTACGCTATAAACCCGCACCTTGGTATCCCACCCCGCAGTAGCGAATATCCGCCCATCGCTCCTGATTCGTAAGCTCTGCTGCCCAGAGTGCTTCGTCTGGACGACTTTCAGGGGTTTCGTAACGACTTCAGGTTTCACGGGTGGCTTGGGTGGCTTTGCCGAAGGAGTGGATGGGTACTGCGCGAACATCCCAGAGAGGAGCGAGGGGTTCTTAACTGGAACCTTCTGAGGGGTTGGCCCTGGTTGTGGCTGGACAGGTTGGGCTAGCGGAGGAGATAGAGAGGAAAGGGGGTGTTTGGCGATTATTCCATCGGCGCCGCTGGTGATATAGGATGCCATGTTCAAGGTGACACCGAGGGAGAGAATAGGCTGGGAATGAGGCTGCGCGAGGTAGAGCCTACACCAGCCAATGACGGGGTTGTCCTGCACGACCATTGTGTGGCCACTTTCATAGCCCACAACGAGAGTGAGCCGTGAGGATACGTAGAGGATGGCGACAGACATGACCATGCCCGTGTTGGTGGCCTTGTCCCCGGGGACTGTAATTAAGCGTTTCTGGGAGGGGAGATGGAAGATGTCGACCTGGAGAATGTTAGCTGTGATGGATGAAAGATTGCGGTGGATACTAACGGCTTCGGAGCTCATGGTGTTCGGGACGGCGATGAGAAGTTCATCTTGATTAGGTGAGGGGGTGGTCTCAGTTGATATAGGACCAGGAAGTTGTTTTGCAATGCAGTGGCCGAATGAGCAGAAGTTCAGCGAGTTGACGTCCAGTACGTAGAGGAGCCATGGCTGCTTCCTGGGGGTCATTGGGTCCTCGACGGGGAGGGTTGCGCTCAGGGAGGCCTCGTCTTCTTCCGAGAACTTCCAAACTATGAGCTTATTGTCCTTGCCATGACTTCAAAGCTATTAGTAACCTTGCATAACACGAGGAATAAGATATAATAGAAGAGTTAGTGATATTTAAAAAAACATCTCACGTGATTAGTCTGTCCGATCCCCATTCAGCAACACCGAGGATGGCGGCCTTGTGTGCCCTCCACACGGCCGTGGATCTTCGTGAGGCTAGACCCCAGACCACGATCCATCCCTCCGCATCGCCAGTGACGAGGCGAGTGTTTCCTCTTATGAACTGCGTCGAATGGATCTGCGCCGCATGGCCGCGGAAGATATATGTTGCTTCCGGAGGCGGCTGTGGGAGCGACATATGTTGAATTTGTAGAGTCTAACTTGAACTGTTTGAGGGTTGATGAGCCTGGGTGTACCATATCCTCAGTAGCTCATACACTAGATTACATGGTCCAGGCACCAATTGCGCATCTATCAACCCGTCTATCTTATCGAACATCTCCGCCGCGGCATTACTCGAACCCCCCCCTTCACCAAATATTCCTAAACAGAGTGCCACCGAGCGACCCCAGTATCGCATCCACCAGACCAACCTGTCCCCGACATCCATCCCCTGCTATCTCACATGCAAATGTTCGTGCGACGATAAGGCGCAACGCGACGTAGTTGCGGATAACAACAGTTTTTGGCCCCATATGACTTCGGGCATCGCAAACTCGCTGCCAATCGACCAGCACTTCCGGCTTGCGCGCCGCTGGGCACAACTACCCCGTTCCTTCAATTGGCTTCAACAACCTCTGCGATAAACCCGAAGAACCCGTACCGCCTCTTGAGGCGCGGCACTGTCGAGCCGGTTGCCACCCGGCAGCCCCCAATCCCTTATACTCGAGAAGCAGCGCCCATACTGCGCCTGCGCATATGCCCATGACGGCTCTCGACTCCCCCGGCTCTGCCGTGGTGGCTGGCGAAAGCTCTGTTGCCAGCGCAAGTAAACCGAGGAGAGTGAGAACTGGGTGCTTGACATGCAGAGAACGGCATCTGAAATGCGACGAAGGGTTGCCGCATTGCCTGAACTGCAAGAAGTCTGGGAAAACATGCAGGCGTGGGATAAAACTCAACTTCCACTGGATGGACGTTAGAGACCCAGCAATTCTTCCGCCGACAGCGGATTGGTCTGGTGCGTAACCTCCCAGGGAATTCGGGAGCCAATGCTGACATTGTCTAGTTCAATTTCAAGACGAATCTCGACTCATTGCTTCGGAATACAAGGGCGGCCTGGGCCAATACAGCGCAATAGAAACGGTCACAATCACGCCTTCTCACGAGCCTGTTTTTGAGTTCAATATTTCAATCGATCCGACTATCACCATGCATAGCAACCAAAACTCGATATTACAACCAGGGGTCCCAGGGTTATATACAGAGACCAGGGGGATTGGCAAACATGGCTACCAGCAGCAGGAAGATAACCGTCACCTTAACCCTCATCCCGGCAACGAGGTTTCATATATGCCTTCAATGGCCCCAGCTTCATATGGGAACCCGGAGGCAATACTCGCACCTCTGGATGTTGCTAGGGGATACCTCAGCGATCCGCAGGAGATTCTCCTCATGCAGGTATTTGTGGAAGAAGTTGGGTTATGGATGGACAGTATGGACAAGATGAAGCACTTTTCTCGACTCTTGCCTTTCCATGCTCTGCAAGAACCAATGCTTCTTAATGCCTTCCTTGCTTGCGGAGCGCGGCATCTCTCACTTGTCAATCCCCTATACAACGAGGATAAGGCCCTTTCCTATTACGATACAGCCACCACGCTACTATTACGAGCACTACAAAACCCAGATCGAGATACGGTCGTCTGTGCTACTTCGGCAGTTATTCTCAACGTCTATGAGATAATGTCTGAGCGTGCAGTTCAACGCATGAATCACATTGCGGGCGCTAGAGCTCTGATCAAGGAATGTGGCTGGAATGCTCGGTCAACTGGTATTGGTGCGGCTTGTTTTTGGGTCAATGTTGGCATGGAGCTGTTATCTTGTCTACACTTCAACTGGCAAGTGGCGTGGGAACCAGACCAATGGGGTGTGGATATGGACTTTTCGCAAGGGCGAGAAGGCGGGAGCGAAGAACTCTGGACACATCGCATGGTGTATATCACGGGGAAGGTTTCAAATTTCAGGGCCGCAACCCCAAAATTTCAAGAGGCAACCGCGCACGAAGAACAATTAGGGCAGCAACGCCGGTATGCGGAGTGGCAAGACTTGAAGAACCTCTGTGACAGCTGGAATCAAAGTGTTCCAAGAACTATGCACCCTGTGGGATTTCTTTTTCCCCATCAAACCTCATCCAAGTCACTGTTCCCGGAAGTCTGGTAAGCTATACTGACCTCCATTATCTCATGATGATTGTATGCTGATACCTCACAGGCTGCTTAAACGATCCGCAATCACCGGCCGACTGTTCTATCACACTGCAATGTGCGTCGTAGCACAGAACAATCCTATGTTTCCAATGCCGAATCCCGAAATGGCGAGTCTCCTTCACGACCATGCACACCAAATATGTGGTATTGTCGCCCACGTCAAGGATAGGGGCGTTGCCTCAATAGCATTGCGGTCATTGGCCCTGGCCGGTGAAACTCTCGTACAGCGCGACGAGCAGGAAGAGGTAATACGCATATTTGAGAAAGTGCAGAAGGAGACCGGATGGAATGTCACGTACGTGATGAAAGAACTCCGCGATAAATGGGGCTGGATTTCAGAAGAGCAGATGTTAAGAGACCAAATGGCTTTTAACCAATTTGCTCGTAATGCTGGGCTTGCGGCGAATGCAAACATGTCGACAGCGGGGCAAGGCCTACAGGGTGGACAGCAGCAGCAACAGCAACCTCAACAGCCACCGAAGATGATTGGAGGGATACTGAACCCATTGCTCGCCAGGGCAGACTTTTCACTGCCGAATCATCCGTACCAGGCGTATTATCAGCCGCCGAGAGTTCATGATTTACAGGGACAGGGTCAATATGGCCAGGATTACTTTTGAATGGGTAAGTAATGGTCGAAGAACTATATAAGGTCGCGAGAGGGGTGTTATGATTCAACGAAGGTGTATTTAGTATCGCATCCTGTGTAAATAGGTTGGCAGGCGTCTGGGATGGTTGGCAATGAGCGGGCGTCCACATTTGGGGGGAAATATTTGTTAACTCTGAAGGCTCAGAATTCTAGAGGGATGGTGGATAATAGTTCGGGATTTGGGGTATTATTATATTAGGGGGAACATAAATGTATGTGGGTGAGGTACACATAAGGGATTCACTTCACAACTAATATATTGGCGGGGGCACCTTCCACAAACAATCACAACGAAACCTACCCACCAGCCCATATTTCAGAATCTACGTGCCAAACGACTTCAAGATACCTCCTCAGGTGATAATTATCGCCGACATTCGTTCCATGTTGCTCTACTTATACTACACCTTCCTTTTTGCCTCCTTTTTCGCATCAACCATACTTTGGTGCCACATTTCCACCGTCCGCCCCAGGACAATATGCGACCTCCCGGAGGCCCACAGGAAGAACCGCAGGTACTGGCTCCAATGAAGGGACTCGATCTAGTGGCACCAGCCATGAATGAGGCTCCTGAACCATCCTCTCAGTCTTACGCATGTCTGGATGTCATTTCCTTTGATAACTTCGTGACCCCGCGCCTCAAGCACTTTGGCGGCATCGATGGCGAAGTACGCAATGAGCCAGAGGGTGCTGGAGAGGGCCTGACGATTTTCACCGACTTACCTATGCCAATACGGGAAGAGCCTATTGCGATTGGGACACCTTCAAAACCCCGTTCTAAGACCCTGAAAATAATTGACATTTGGGGCAAATCCCCTGAACCCCGGAACTCGAAACCTACTACAGAAGATAGCAAAAAAGGAAACACAAACAAATCTGATTTCAGGGATCTGCGACTGGCTACGAGCTACACGAAAAGAGAAATGGACCGTGTGCACGGAGTGTCTTCCTTTGAAAGTGGCAGCAGGCCTAATCTTACACGTTCTATGCTTTACAACTGGCATTTACTCAGGATGGACAATATACGAATACTGGATCCGCTCTGGGAAGGCTTTCGAGGCTCCGCTCATGACTACGAACTTCTCAAACTTCTGGCCCAGACTCATGAACATCAACGATGGTGGCTGATTGTTGTTGACGACTTCGCCTGCCCCCAGTGTGTTGACGAACTCCGTCTCCAACGAATGCATCCAAGAGTACGCAAATCTAACCCCACGAAACACAAGGGATTCCAAGCTGACGTTCATTAATAGTCCCTAGGAAAGGCTATAAATAGTTTGAAGTCTAGATGTACCAGACATTCCCATTGCGATGGTGGTCGTTGCAAAGTCATATGCACTCACACACACGGTGAGTGCAACAAGGTAACCAACAAAGCCATCCTGGACAAAAGCACTCTGACACGATGAAAGGTCACCCAGTTCTTCTCCAGGTTAGGCAGAGACAACTCAAATCGCATGCGAAACATTGTCTTCGAAACCCGAGATGACCTACTCCCCGATGCCGATGTCCTTGTTTCCGTTGCCCACAATGTCGGCCGCTACTTTCCTGATGTCCAGAATCTCGAGATCAACTTCCACTTTGGCGACAGGTACCTTGACAGAGACGTATGGACTCGGATCTTGTGCGCCTGTCGCCGCTTGGAACAATATCTGCCAAAAGGCCAGCACTTGCGCGTCAGAGGGATTGAGAAGCATACAGAGATGCAGAATGACTGGACCAGGCAGGGTAGGAAGTGGCACGAATAGGAAATCAGAACTAGAGCCTCAAATGGAAGTGACAAAGTTCAGAAATACATTACTTGATATCCTACAAATCGAGAATATTCAGCATTATCATCTTGGTAGAAATGCATGGTGATGATTAATAATAACCTTGTCTCGGCATAAGTTATAACTATAAGCATGACAGACGGTTTAGTCAATGTGCCTTGGCAGGACACGGGGTTTGTGATTGGTGGCGGACGGATGATCGAAAATCGATGACAGCCTCGCCTAGTCACGTCATACATTGTGCAAGGCTGTGGAAACTGCGGGACATGGGATTGTCTTTATTAACCCCCACCTTCCCTCCGCATTTACGTTCATAACAACGTTCTACAAGACATCAATTGGCCTTCCATGCTACTTTCTAGAGGAATGCTACTTGTAACTCCCAATCTTACATCTACATCCAGGTTGTTCAGCATTTCATCATCAAGCTTCACCATGGTACGTCATTTTGCACTTTCGAGTATTGTTTGGATGGTTGGAACTGACACATATGCGGGCTCAAAAAATCTCCAATTGGGTTGACTCAAAGGATAAATCGGGAGAGTTTAAGCGTGGAGCTTCTGTTTTCCGGAATTCTATCTCCAGAGAAGCGGGCGCCGAGTTTCCTGCCGAGAAGGGACGCTACCACCTCTACGTTTCCTATGCTTGCCCTTGGGGTATGTACTGGCTCTTTGTCTTATGAATAAATCCGTTACTAACAAATGCCAGCGCATCGCACGTTGATCGTAAGGAAGTTGAAGGGCCTAGAGGACATCGTCCCATTTACCGCCGTACACTGGCACATGGGCGAAAACGGTAAGTCCTCGGGAAGAATTTCATAGAACCCCGCACTGACATTACCAGGTTGGCGATTTGCAACCTCTGAGAATAAGGACGCTCCTGGCGAGAATGTGGGCTCAGACCCCGTAGCTAGCCATGAGAAATACACCCACCTCCGCCAGATCTACTTCCAGGTGGATCCCAACTATACCGGACGCTTCACGGTGCCCACACTCTACGACACTGTTCAGCACAAGATTGTGAGCAACGAGTCTGCAGATATAATTCGCATGTTCTACAGCGAGTTCGATGACATTCTTCCCCAGAAGTATAAGGATGTAGTTCTCTTCCCCGAGAACCTCCAGGCCAAGATTGAAGAGACTAATGCCTGGACATACGATCTCATCAATAACGGAGTTTACAAGTCTGGTTTTGCCACAACCCAGGAGGCGTATGAGAAGAATGTCGTCGCTCTGTTCGAGGCACTGGATCTAGTAGAGAAGCATCTCGAGAGCAGCCCAGGGCCGTTCTACTGGGGCGATAAGGTCACGGAAGGCGATGTGAGACTGTACACCACTATTGTGAGATTCGATGCAGTGTATGTTCAGCATTTCAAGACAAACCTTCGGGACATTAGAAGTGGGTATCCTGCCATCCACAAATGGCTGAGGAACTTGTACTGGAATGTGCCTGCGTTCGGGGAGACTACGCAGTTTGAGCATGTAAGTTGATGCTTTGCTCTATGGACGTATGGAATAATACTGATACAATACAGATCAAGAGGCATTACACGAAGAGCCACCCGCAAATCAACCCTTTCGGAATTACGCCTGTGGGGCCAATCCCGAATATTCTGAAGGTGGATGAGGAGGTTACTGCGGTAAAGTCTGGTTCTAAATAATGGAGCAGGTTGTAAATAGTCATAGAATAGTAGTTTATTATTCAACTTTATTATAAATATATTATGTGATGATGTGGGTAATTTTTTGCAGCGACAAATAAATTACGGTGTGAATTTAGTTATTCAATAAAAAATAAAAATAAATTCAAATCGAAGCAAGCAAGACGATCACCACAATCAGAATATCGAGGCATTAGAATTAGAGAGGCTTCATTCATTCATAATTCATACAATTCCTGCTTGCAGGCTCATAGCTTCCACTCTGTATCATATCATACAGCTTTGCCAGGACCAAACACCCCAAATCTACAATGTATGCTTGAACTTGATGTCCTGGAACCTCCTCAACCATGGCGTATCCGCATATTTCCTCTCAATCTGAAACCATCTCGCAATGTATTCAGGGTCATTCAGCCTCCACTGATCATCGTGTTCTTCGTCTCTGCTTGCTTCCCAGAAGCGAAGGAAGACTTGTTTCTCGTATTTTTCTGGCACGAGGTCTTCAAGTGCCATCACATTGCCCTCGTCGAATGGGAGAGTAAAGCTATAAATGTCAGATTTTGTTTTGTGTTTCGTTCCAGTGGCTCTGTTGCTATATTGTTTTGGAAGGAAATCTGGGCAGGAAATCGGTTACCCACAGCATCATACCCAGAACGCCATCGAAGTTCGGCCTGATGCATTGGTGTATGGGAAGTTCAGTGTCCTTGGGCAGCGGCTTCAACTGAATTCCGCGTGGTATTGGCAGCCATTGTTCACGGATGACACCTCCGATCTTGATAATTTTCGCCATGCAGTAGTTGAGGATTTCACTCTGCTGCTGAGCATCAAGGGTGAGATTGATGACCTTGAGCTGTAATTGTAAACAATAGTCAAACAAATGTTCGGAAGGTGTAAATGCTTACTTCATAATGGTCCTCTTGTGCGATATTGATTGATTTGTGCTGCTGTATCTTTAAAGGAGGCATGTTGACACCCAATATAAATACTGGGGCTTTGACCTTTGACCCCGATGCTCGTGTGCAGCTTGTGGATTGAGTAGATCTGGCGGTGGCGGAGCCGCCGCTTTCTTGCCCCTTGGCTTCTTAGCTGGGCTTCTTGCCCCTGACTTGGTGCCAGAGCCAGATCCGGTATCCTTGTGAGACAAATATTGAAGGAGTGGCGTCGGCTCCATATCATCATCGTTGCCTCTCGCATACGCCGCAGTAGGGGCCTTTGACCGTTCCTGACTGAGTCTTTGATGGTGACAGTATGTGGTGGTGAATGGGTCTTTGACAATGGCTGATTCGACCCTGGCTGGGTATTTAAGTATGAACAAGTTGTAAACGGCAATCACAACAAAATTAGGAGGTGAAACCACGTGAGCTTACCCCCAATTAAGTAACATAACTTCGTCTTATTATTTTCAAAGCATATACTCAAACTTTCTACTTACGTCTCTCCTGGCATCCCCGCCAACGAGAGTGTCCTCCTCCTCCTTGTCCACTTCTACATATTCCCCTCTATTCTGCATCTCATTGTTTCTATTCTTGCGGGAAAGATAGAATCGCAGTATAGTCGCCAAAATGGCAACTACAACCATTGCTCCTGCGCAACCGGCCATCCCACGTGTATAATACGGCGCATCGACATCAGGATACAATCGTGTCCCAACCAATGGCCCACATTGGCCCACAAGCTGCAACATAGCAAATCCAGCACCCTGCTTACTTTCAGACTCCTGATTATTGATCGTCCAAGTTATGACGATGGTAATCACGCTGAAAAATCCAATCGCGGCTGGATATATAGCAGCATAGCGCCACCAGAGTCCCAAGCCAAATCTCTCCGCAAGAGCGAGCACGAGATACCCTGAACAGGAGAAGAGCGCATGGAAGATAATGAAGGTCGAGCGTGACTGCATGCGATCCGAGAGATATGCTGTTAAAATCACAACGAAAAATGACATAAGATATGGAGGAGCCGAGAGAGCTTGCGACACAACAGAGGAGTGGCCCATAGATCGGATGATGATAGGTAAAAATACAGGCATCGATGAGAACGCCATGTTGGTGAAGAAGAACATGAAAGCGGTCAGGTAGGCCTTGGGATCCAATATTGTCTCAAGGACTTCTCGCCATTTAAGTCCGCCCTTGGTCGCAGCGCCTCCTTGGCGACGACGTAGGCGCAATCGGGCGACCTTTCTTTCTCTCGCAGTCAGGTATTTTGCTTTTGCTGGTCCGTCTGGGATAACGTGCCAGGCGACGACGGACACAATGACACTTGGAAATCCCTCAACGAGGAATAACAGGCGCCACGGCGCAATAGGACCGTTCTCTCCGAGCTTAAGAATCGCCCATGCGAGGGAGCTGGCGAAAGAGGTGGCTAGAGGGGCGGCACTTATGAACAGTCCGTTGCGCAAGGCCAGCTCTTCCTCCCTGTAAAAGAAGGACAAGAAGTATGGGATTCCAGTAAAGCCAGCTTCACCGATTCCAAGTAATAGCCGTAGTATTATAGATGTGACGAAAGAAGTTGACAGAGCTTGGAGAGATGCGATAATTCCCCAAGACATGACAATTACAGAGACATATATGTGTGCAGGTATAATCTTCCAAAGTAAGGACATCCACTCGAAAATGATATATGTGATGTAAAACGACGTGAGGATCCATTCGTATTGATCAGAATGAAGATTCAGATCAACATCCATTCCTGCGATTCGAGCATTGCCAATATCTTCGGGTGTGTCAGCAGCTGTCGATACAATTGGGCGCAGAATACGCACTTGACCTATCCAGAAAACTCAACATGTACAATAGTGCTACAAACAATACAAGCCTCTTGTCAAACTTCCTGACAACTGCGCGCTCCTCGTCTGGTGTATACAATTGAAACGACTGTGTTGTCGAGGCGCTGCCTCGGCGCGGAAGCGCATAGCTGCCATCGTCGCCAGTCCAAAGGGGTGCTTCAAAACCCGCCGCTTTATCTTGAGATTGAAGTTCTATGCTCTCGTGGCCATCGTAATCGACGTCGAAGTCTGAATCCCCAGAGTCGGGTTCGGGTGTCAATCGATTCGCACGCGAACTGGAGTCGGAATCTGAAGGCACAATGTCACTTCGAGCCCCTGATTTATCGCCAAGATGCGACGCCTGAGGGAAACTTGAAGCCATTCTGAGCCATGAAGATCTTTGGGCTTCAAGCAACAGAAAATATATATTCAATTCATAGTTTGTTGATTCCGTAGCCTCTCCACCATCGTGGCCCTGAACCGGAATGCGGTTGGTTCTAGCTATGACGGGTGCGGTGGAGACCCTTAAGGGTTGGCGCGAGGTACTTTTTGCAAGGGTGTCACGACCCACAAAGTAAGTGGCATGGGCTGGAGTCCGGATAGATTTCACATAAGTTTCACATCCATATCAAATGAACCTTCAACTTTCAACAGGAATACAGAACATTTTCAAAGATTAAATTTTTTATGGCAGAATGAATATATTTGATGAACTATTGGAATTATCTAAGCTACCTCTACTCATGTAGGTCACTTGGGCGTAAAGGGCTCTTGCGTTTTTGGCAATGTTAGACCCTGTACCTGCACCGTGCGACAGTATGTATTTTGGCGTGAATGACAACTCTGACTGGGGGAGAACAAAGTTGGCACCCGTTGCCGTGAAGGGCGAAGAAGGAAGAAGAAACGAGAAAGAAGAAGGAAGGAAGAAAAGATCTAGAAGGGGGGTTGTTGGAAGTGGCAGTTGAACTTTCAAAGCCACCTCCACTCATGTAGATCGCTTGGGCGTGAAGGGCTCTTGCGTTTTTGGCAATTTCAGGCCCTTCACCTGCACCATGCGAAAGTATTTATATTGGCGTGGATGCCAACTCAAACTGCAGATGGAAGCTGCAGGAGTTGGCACCCGTTGCCTGTACGGGTCGTCCGTGAAGAGGAAAGAAGGAAGAAGGAAGAAGGAAAAAGGAAAAAGGTCTCAAGGGGGGGAAGGGGGGGTATTTATATTCCTAGGTCGGCGACTCTAGATCACTCAAGCGCGCTATCACCAAATAAGCGCGACTCTCACGAGACGACGCCATTGGATAGATCAAGCCAGATCAAGGAGAAGCGAATCAAAGTGAACGGACGATTGTAGGCGATGCAAACACGGCAAACGTTGGTCTAGTGCTGTAATGGTCTTGAGGGGAGTGAAGACACTGCAAATATCTGTCTAGCGCCGTACAGTTTCTGAAATCAGATTTGGAAGGCACGATGTGTAGCCAAACAGGTTGTAAGAGTGATACTGCAACTGTGACTCTCTTTATTGATTACCATAGACGTCCGCTACTTGTACATTTATCTTTGTTACATCTATGTTCATTATAGTCTATATACTATATACCCCATATCTGATTCCACCGTCTACTATCACCATCTAACGGCCCATCTAATCTTCCAAACCTTGGCGGCGTCCCAGAGGTAGATTCTGGCAAGCAGACCCATTCTCGTACACAGCCAGGAATCTCCTCTCGAACATGGCTAATGCACAGGAGAGCTTGTTCAGGACCTAATCCTCGAATAGCAACGTTACCTGCGCATGATGCGTCGGATTCAACAACCTCACGCGAGCCATCCTTCCACTGGAACGTCTTGGTCTCTCCATGAGCAAGGAAAAGCATGCACTTATCTCTCACGACTTCATCCATAGCACCAAAGGATTCGTCCAAAATAACAAGATCTGGCTTCTTGATTATGGCTCGTAGAAATAATGCAACACGCTGAGACGAGAACGGTAGCTGGTTGAAGAGGCATTCACTGGCCCATGCGGTTGAATCATGAACTGGCTGTGAGGCATCACTAGCAGCAGCACCTGGCCGCAGCTCATGCTCGAACCATTTGAGGCAGGCTTCGACAGCCGCAACATCGCTCTTATCCAACTTCGGAATTCCCAGGAATGTCTCCGACCAAGCGTTCTCTAGCGTTTGCTTGAGTGTCAGAGTACGTGGGATATGGTGATGTATTTCGGGCGAAGAGTGGCCGATCCGTGCCTGAATGTCAAAGATGGATATTCCAGGTCTACCAGGCTCAGGGAGACGTGACCGCCCAAACAGCTTCACGGGCTGCGAGTATGTCTGAGGGTGATCGGAGCATATCAGAGAAAGGATAGTGGTTTTTCCACTCCCATTTGCACCGATGATACCCCATCGCTGGCCGCGCCTGACTTTCCAATGGAGACCTTTCTGGGGCTTGCCATCCACGTCTTGTGTCCAGTTACCGAGGACAACCTTCGGGCCGTATGCTACGCGAACACCGTCCATGTCAACCAGAATCTCTCCTGTTTCCGCTTCCTTCGATTCTTCCATGTCATCCCCTCGAGTAGATGAAGAGGTTCCCGTTGCCTCTGAGGTGTCTGGCTCCACAATCCCCCGATCGGTGAGTGTCCGACCAATTTCATGGAGGGACTGAACTGGGATATTGACGGCGCTACCGCTGTTTGCTCTCAGCTCGCTCAAGACCTCTTCTTTTGGTCCTTTGAAAGCTACTTCACATTCCGGGCGTAGATACATAAGATGCGTAATCCAGTCCGGAATTGGATCTTGAGGTCTCAACGAAAGAATCAACCTGGGGTCGTTGGCCTTCGCAAGTCCATGTAGCAATGGGCTCAAAGTCATCAGCGTTGGTGGATCCAACCCCATGAGCGGCTCATCCAGCAACAGAACTTCTGGTTTTCCAAGCAATGCCCTCGCAATCTTTGCTCTCCTGGTTTGCCCATTAGACAGATTCGACACTGGCATATCAATAAGGTCTCCGAGTCTCAAATCCTCAATGACCCTTTTCAAAGATGCCTCGTTAATGGACTTGCTTTTTTCTTCTTCTGAAGGATTCAGCTCTGTCCTGCCCTGGAGGTAATTCAGGACGGTCCAGTCCGTGGCCTCCCGGTGAGCCTCATATCTCGCGCTCAGGTATGCCCCTCTGGTTCCTTGCCCCGACAAAACTCCCTGCTCGCCACCAAAGCCGACATACTCTATTGCTCTACTGGGTATGCGTAATTCATGGTTCTTCTGATTTATCTCCTCGGAGTTAAGATACGGATATGACCGAGCGGTAGGTGGAAAGGACAAATATAGCCCTCTCAAAATCTGTAGAAATGCAGTTTTTCCAGAAGATGATGGCCCCAATATGGCCCAGTAGTGAGGATCTTCTGGGAATGACGGTAATTCAAAATTTAAATCCTTGAACAGTGCTGGATTGGCTTCTTTCGCAGCCAGGGAGGACGGATGATGACGGTAGAACGTGCCATTTTTAATTTGTATTATAGCCGGTTTAGAAGTTGCGGAGCTGTAGCTTCGTGAAGAGATCCTATGAAAAGGACCTTTTATCTGAATTAACCTCATGGCTCATAATTGTGAAAGTTCAATATCATCAGCATCTGACTCCGCATTGGGAAGCTCTATGATAGGGTCCATATATCGCTTAGCGCGTCTATTCGTTGCGTCGTGGGTCGTTCGCGCTTACACGTCCGCCTCGCAGCCTGGAGCTCCCATCAACCAACGCAACATCAAAACAGCTATCAATCCACAACACCATTTCTCGAACACTACAAAACTTATAAGAACACGCTACCTGACAGATTCTCATCACATCCGCAGCCATGGTAATACCCCCTCTCGACCCTCAATTCTACATCCCAAACTCTCTCACGTCACCAAGGGAGACCTCACCTAGACCTCACAACTAACTCTCATCAGTCTATGCGCATCGCCCCCGCCTCCGGCCACTCATCCCTCCACTCCCACCTCGCCGCCAAATCCGCCGGCGCCCCCTCCGCCCCAGGTCTCCACGACACCCTCCGCGCAGGCGTCGGCCCAACCACCCACGGCTCCTCCGAAACCCTCCAGCTCGACTCCACCCACCCTCTCGAATCGCGTCTCGCACAATGGACTGCAACGCAGGATAGCCTGAAGCTTGAGGGTCTGCGGAGGACATTCGGCATGGCGGAGCCGATTCGCCGGGGCATGGAGCTCAAGATCACGAGGGATGGAGAGTGGCGCCCGTTGGTGCTGGGAGGCGGACAGCCGAGCGTTCATGAGGATATTTTGGCGGGCAGGGATACGGGGTGCACGTGGGAGGATGTTTTCCAGGGGACGGAAATGAGGGGGGTGCAGGGCTTCCATGAGGAGTTGGAGACGAAGGTTAGGATGGGACAGCAGTAGATGGATGGTGAAGTGGAGGTTGTACGAATAGCCTGGCGGATAGATGGAGCTACATGGTATTTGCAGGAAGCATTGGCGATGGTTTACTAGGACGGGATAAGAATGCAAGGAGTCACAAATACATTTCCAGTCACAAGAAGAAAGAGCAGGTCAAGTTGAAGGACGAAGACCTGAGAAAATGACCCACTTGTATATTATGTGGTTAAATAATTCACTCACTGTGCCTTTGTAACACCCCACGGAGTTCCCCCGCCCTCCCATACCTGTACAATTTCGTAACCAAATGAAAAACAGTTTCCCTTTCCCGTGCTAAATGAAGAGACGGCGCCCCATGATGCTGAAGAAAACAATCCTGCGGTGTCATATGTGTCCGCTAATCGGGAACCTGAACGCCTGTACAGCCCATCCATGTATCATCCCCAGCCCCGTGGTATAAAGAATCCGCCGTTGCCGCCTCACATCCGCGTGGGGACCACAGCAGAACTAGGGAGAATGGAGAGGCAAAATCCTCCGTCGTATGGTGTCGTTATATCGCATTAAATCCTGGTTCGTCGTAACGTCTCATAGAATGACACAGCGTCCACATCCGGGCGTTGGTTCCGGCCGTTCGTGCTGTCTGGCTTCGGCCCTCTTCCGCTCTGTCTCCTCCTCGTCCACTATATCCTGAGGCCGCACCGTCATATGTACAACATTCGTCGCATGCTCGTTGAATCTGCACTCTATTGATGGGGTTAGTCTAAAATCCTGACGCCCGGTTGGGCTGGGATTGCTTCCATACCTTTCAGCGGCACATTGTCATTCAACAACCGACCAAAATAAATCAAACGGATACTGCTCGGGCTCGTAGGCTTAGCATCCCATTCTTCCCTCCACTCCTTTAGGATCAGCTCCTTCAGCATAATTACGCTGATGCTGTATGGGTCCTTCTTGCCGCTCTCCGTAACACCCGGGATGGTCATTTGCCGCTTCAGTAGATACCGCTCGTCCACTCTGTATCCATGTCGTGCTCCGGACGTGAGAAGAAGCATGATATTGCAAACCGGATTCGCCACATCCGTCGAAGGCGATACGGTGCTGGACAGCGGTTGTCCCTCATCCGCGGCCATCTCGCCCGTGTTTGAATCCAGAGACAAAGGCGCCGAGCTGCTGATGACCTCCTTGCTCTTCTCCTCGCTGTCAATGGCAGTAGAGTCCTCTGACGACTGCATCGCTTCCTGAGCCTCGCCCACAGTGGTTGTTGGTGCTTGTTCTTGTGGCGCTACAGCGACTGGCGGCTGCGCTGGGGTCTCCTCCATCTCCCTGTTAACCATGCTGGACATCGGAGGTAGTGGTCCAAATGGCGTGGGAATGTTCTTCATGATGTTTGTTGTGACACTGCTCGTGCTTCTGGTCAGGGTGCTTCTGGTCAGGTCGTCCACCTCCATAGTGGCATTTGGACGTTGCCCCAGTGCTTGGGGGTCGGACCCAGTGTCGGGGCCTGAGACTTGGCGAGGATGAAGCGACTCCATTGGTGGGTGGCCCACATAGAGTGCTCTACTCGGGCTATGAGTGTAGGGATTTGTACCAGAGCTACGATGAAGTATACACTTTAGTGCCCTGCCATATCGAATGAAGGCTTCGTATCGTGTAATATCTATAATATACGGTAAGGCGTGGACATGTACTTTACAGCAGCACAGCAATCTGCAGCGGGGATGAGGTAGATGTAAGTAGTGAAGAGTACAAGAGTTCCAGTACACTGCCACGCCTGAAACCTTGTACCTCTGCTGGCAATGACGGAGCGAGATAAACATGGCCAAACGTCACAAATAGATACATCCCTAATAATAAATACAGTTTGCGTCCTATCTTGCTCACCGTGATAAGCCTCTTCCTTGCTTTCACATGGGCTGCAAAATATTCTCTCGGATCACAGGAATATTGCGTGCCAACTTGTTTTCCAAGACAGTTTTTGATTGGCTTTCAGAGTTATCTTGGTAAAGTATATTATCTTGGTAAGTATAATGTGCTTTGGCTGGCTGGCGATTTCGGCATTTGGGTTCTTGCCACCGGCCAACTCGGAAGCGTATGGATTACTACACAAGCTTTCCGGCTTACGGGATATTTTCAGGGATATGCTAGACATGGTCGCGTGTTGAAAAAAAAACTGCAATCTTCTGATCTGAGTCTATCTACTTGACTAATAACGTAGCATTTTCATTTCCTCGTGTATGTTCACGTAAAACGTCGACCACCCACGGCAATCTTCACGTAAAACGTCGACCACCCACGGCAATCTTCTTAAGAGTCGATCCATGGGAGGCACACATGCCGCCCTAATTGCCCATCTTCATCATGATATAAGGAACCTCAACATCCTCTCCGCTCTCATCGTCAGCGCAGATCTCAAAGATAACATTCTTTTGATGCTCAGGAACCGCCTTCTTCGAAATCTGGGCCACAAGATCGCTGAGCTTCAGCTCATAGCGGTCCTTCAGTTTCGCAGGTGGGAAGAAGCTAGCATAAAGCAGGCTAACCCCAGAGCTCAGCATCGTAATATCGAGACCCTTCGCCTTAAACATATCAATGAGCTCCCTGAGAGTGATATTGTCAACCTCAAACCTGTCCCATAGCTTGTCAACCGTGACGTCTCCATTTGGCCCCTTGTAAGAACCCTTCGGGCTCGCAATTGGCTCGCTGAAACCGAAAAACGGCAATGCGAGGTTCACAAAGCCGTTCTTATACTGCTCAATGTCGTCCTTGCCGTCGAGGACCTTGTAGAGTTCAAGAATAACCAAGCCTGTTACGAGAGCTGTTGTTGTTGCAATGGCCGGAATAATCTTGCCAGCAATGAACTTTGTCTTGTGGCGGTCTGCAGGAGCGATCTTGTAGTTGTCGGCACGTAGGTTACTCGCAGCCGTGATGAAATCAATGTGGTAATTGGTGTCGTCGTCCTTCTCAAATTCAACAGGCTGCAACTTGAATCCTGCCAAGCTGCTTGGTGGTGGCAGGGTCTTCATGATCTCCTGCAATTCGCTACCATCATCAAATGATGAATTTGCGGCCGGCGCATTTGGGTCCTATAAGGGTCAGTCATGAGATTTAGAGTAGCTTCAGATTTCATGGATACTTACGGGTTCGCTGTCATCCGCCTGGATCTTGACAGATGGGTTTGGTGAGAAGTCTGGGATAATCATGTTATCCAAAACCTTCTGGATAACCTGACCATCCGCATCTTTAGTGTTGATTCCGTAATTGAACGCATGCAAATTAGCTCCAGCAATTACGAATCTGAGGTGCTCTTCGTTGTTTGGTTCGAATTTCAAAGGAGTTGGAGCACGCTTTGGTCCAGACCAAAATGGCACTCCGCTGGAAGAGTTTGAGTCCTTCGGGAAATTGTACAGAAGCTGCTGGATAGCGTTGTTGTACTGGTTTTCAAATTGAAGGCGCGCCCAGATGACGCAGTCCTCGAAGCTGAGGGGCTTATCAGTAACCAAGTAATCTCTGATAGTCTCTAACGTCGCTTTCTCGTTGCCGCCTTGCTTAAGAGTCGTATTGATATAGTTTGGCTGGCTGAGGTAGAGGTTGACCGTTTCGGCAGGCTTGACGAAGTACGATTCGAATAATTCGCGGCCCCATGCAATCGTGTGTTCGATTTTGTTTGGGAAGCTCTTGAGAGTGCACATCGGGAACGACTGCTCGGGCGGGTCTTGCGAGCTCGAATAAGATTCTGTCAAATGTGGCAGAATAACCTGTGTGTTTCCCTTAGTGCCCAGGGTACCGCTCTCAAGCAGAGGCTTTCGGAAGAAGACGCAACGTCTGTCGACATATGTACGACCGTCCACGTTGTCGAGAGCATTTGTGACACCGTCGAGAGATTCCCAGAACTCCTCGTTGAAGATGTGCTCAGTATCTTGGCCCACTCTGTCTCGCATGGTCACAATGTGGCCCTCTAGTGCTGGGTTCATAGCGACAACCGCTGCGGCAGCACTGTCGCTCTTCATCTTGCCAACATCCTTTGGTCGGAACAGGAACTGTCGGTTAAGATTGCTCTTCTCAATAGAATCCATGTCCGTCACGCTTATTTTGCCCTTTGGCCCAGTTGCCAAGCCAATCATTGCCCAGTTCTTGAGCATCTCGCATCCAATTGCGCCGGCACCAACCAGGAACTCATTGGTGTTTGCCAACTTGTCTTGGAAGTCCTTTCCGAACACAGCAATCTGGCCATCGTACCGGGAGTTTGTAGGTTTGCACAGTTCTTCCGAACGCTTGAAATTAGTGGGCAAAGACTCGAGAGAGTCGAAATAGAGCCACTGAACGATCGGGTGGAATTTCCCAGAGACGGCCTTTAGAACTTCCTGGGCCGCAAGGCCACCGAAGAAAGCAGCCATAGGGCTAAGGTCGCCTTGAGCCTGGTAAGATAATTCCCTGATAAGCTTTTCGTCGATTTCCACCGACAATTTCTCCCTTTCCACAAACAACTTTGCGGAGCCGATTACGACTGCTGCATCATCGTCATTATGTGGCCTTGGAAAGTGCCCATGACCCTCAGCAAATGCGTGAAGAGCCTGGAATCCGACGTGAAGCTGCTCAGGTCGGCCCATCTTTGCGTAGTCGGAAATGAGAAACTCTGGGGTTTTCAGGCATTCCGAAAATGGCTTGTAGTCGATAAACTTGGGCATTTTGACCTGGGTGTATATTCCTCCTGCCTTGTATTGACCAAGACCAGAAACGTCGCCGATCGAGAAAGTATAAGGTCCCTTAACCGTGATTTTACGGGGGTCTGAATTGTTGAGTGCTTCCATTCCTTGCAATTCCGTGAAGGTAACGTAATCGCCATCTTCTAGGCCATGCCTGGTCTCATCGAGGGCAGAAACGAGGCCCTCTTCGTTGATACTAGCGACAATTCCGGACACTGGGGTTTCGCCACTTGGGTCTAGAACTGTGAATTGCTTGCCGAAATCGCAAAAGATGGATCCGAATAGGCCGAAGGTATCGGCAACGACAAGGTAAATGCACTTTTGGTGGCAGTAGTCACTAATAACTATTTGGTCTTTGATTGAAGTGTTCGTGAGAACAATTACTTGGAATTGGTCAAGTGCGGCGAGATTTGCTGTCAAACTGGGCTCGTCAAGGACCGACACTGGGGTGTATGCGTTGAGCTCAGCCACGCGAGGGGCAGTAACGAGACCCCTCTCTTTGCCTACATCCTCGGCGTGAATGAAGAATTGCGACGACAGGTCGGATATGGCTGCTGGTGTTCGGTCGTAGAGTGTAAGGCTCTTGACTCCAGCAAGAGCAATGTTCTTGGCGATTTCGACTCCCAGACCCTTCAACCCCACGATGAGGACGTTCGACACAGACATACGCTTCATAGCTTCGTGTCCGAGGACATACAGCTGCCGGCTGTAGAGCGACTCGTCGATATCATTGTTGGTGGCGGAGGGGCCGTCGACCTGCATTTTGGTCGCCATATCTGCTCCTGATTTTAGGCTGCTCTACAACTAACGATTAGTGACTAAATCTCATTTCGAAGCAAGTCTTCATGGATAACGAAAGCTGTCCTTCGCCACCAGCATAGGGAAGAGCTCGGCCATTTGCTTACCGTCAAGGTTCGTTTGACAAGTCGGGGTTCAGCCTCAGAGGAAGCCTTGCGTTTGCCCTGCTGGGTCACACCTTCGGTGTCTGTGATGGATGGAATTTTGAAGGTCTAGCCAGTGGCCGAGACAGCTGGGGATATGGTTTCGATCCGGATGTAATGGACACTTTGCCCAAGGTAAGTTCCGTAATACCCCACCTCCGTCTCAGTTTGACGTCTCGGAATGTATGACGAGTACAATGCTCAAATCAGGCGACAGATATTATATGGGAAAAGGAATCAAAGGCGAGAGTTGTAGTTCGCAAGAAGAAAGAAGTTTGAATATCTCAGAAGTTGTACTCCAAAAGGTGTGTGGTGATGTAGGTTGGGGTGAGGGTACAGCTGGGAGGTACTGTTTGTCTTGACTCAGGTAACTGTGCAGGGAAGGTGCTGTGCTGACATAGAGGGATGGATGTCCCCGCCTTTGCTGCCTTACGGGACAGAGGGGTTGCCTTATGCGCGTCAACCTGGTGATTATCGATAAGCGACGATAAGTAATCCCGCACCGCGTTCGGATGACGCGACGAACATTATATGAGAGCACAACCTGTGAGCAACTAACTTTTCCTGGGATCAATGGCAATGTGTTTATGAGGATATCAACGTAGTTCAAACTCGGAGGTTCTGACCTTCTGTGGTCTTAATATTACGACAACTATCCCGGCGGAAGATGTGGTGTTAACCAATGTGTCGGTTCGAATTGCTGGGATCCATCATCTTGCTGTTTCACGCCATCTTTGGGAGGAAAGGACAGACTTATAGCTCTAAGTCGTAAGCCAATTCAAATCATTAACAGGTGCATTTTTAACGGCTTTTATAGACCATGTTACACGAGATCATCCTCTCCCTCAGCGGCCATCCCTCTCCCCTCCTTACAGCCGGCACTTCAAATGCATCCTCCGACCTCCTCTCGCCCCCCGAGAAGGCCCTCCTAGCCTCCATTGCACATCTTAGTAACTTTCATTGCAAGCTACTCTCACATACCGATAACATATCTTCCAGAAGCCAATCCAGCATCTGCCAAGCCGTCGCAACATCAATCCGATCCACACATCTCGTTATGTTCCAGCAGAAGGTTTTGGATGTGGAAAGTAGCATCCTTCAGAAGGATTCTGGCATTGTTGGCGCTTACAATGTAGTCCCACTCACTGCTATTACTGGGCAGTTCTTAGAATGGACCAGACGCATGGAATGGTTCTGGGAGATTACAGAATTTATGGAAGCAGGTGGCTGCACAGGGTCTAGCATAATTAACAGGCTATGTGCTGAGATGCAGACGGGGTACTCAGACATTGAGCAGGTTGCTTCAAGTCTTGTGCAAGTTGCTGAGAGCGCTTGGCTTAAGCAAGCATCTTGCTGGATTCTACATGGGCGCCTCCCTGTCTTCGGCGAACACGATTTTTTTGTCTTTGAAGGAGAAAACGGAGAGTACGAGATAAAGCAGGAATTACGTCCGGACTTCATAAGCAGGTCAACAGCAAGTTCGATTCTGTTCGTTGGGAAATCACTCACGCAAATTCGAACCAAAAACGCCAAATCTGCAACCAGCATCGCAGCTCTCCTTCCAAAGCACTTGCAACTACTATCATCAATCCCATATCCCATATCAACATCTAATCTCTCGACTTGCATTACGTCAATTCGAAAGAGCCTTTCGCAATCAGCTCTCCAGGAGCTGTTGCCTCTCTCAAAAATCATACAAATACTGGCGTTATTCCACGACTTCTTCTTACTGAGCCGCGGAGAGTTCGCGGTTGCGTTAATAAATGAAGCGGATGAGAAGATAAGGTCCCGATGGCGCCAATCAGATAATCTAGCCTTTGAAAAACGAAGTGGGTTGGGGGACGTTGTTGTCAAAGAAGGCGAGGTGGGCGCAGTGTTGGCACGTACCTGGGCAGCAATATCTGCTCTACATGGTCTGAATGATGAAGACGAGGACCAATTGGAACTTGCCAGGAGCTTGATGGATCTTCGAATTGTGAAGCCCAAAAAGGAAAATGCGAACTTGCCCAAAGCAAACTCGCCGACGCCATTCAGCACCTTACTTTTATCAGTCCCGACTAGTCTATCGTTGAAGATACCATCACCACTGGACTTATTTTTAACTTCGAAAGAAGTAGATATATACGCAGATATCCATACCTACCTGCTTTCCATTCGTCGAGCACACATACGACTCTCCGACTTGTGGAAAATCACATCTCTCAGGAGAGACCACCCTCCACCACCTCCACCGCCACTTGGCAGCACACCCCATGGCCGAGCAACAGCAATAAAGCTACGCCAACGTGTGAAATCACGGAGTAGGCAAATGCGTAGGGTTTGGGTAACAAGCAGCGCTGGCTTATATCTTCTTGGCGAATTGGAGGCATACTTTCACGGCGAAGTCGTGAAGGGCACTTGGGAGAGCTTACAAGAGTGGCTAAATGGCCCTACGCCTACTTCAGCATCGACATCAGGTGCGGCTCCAGGTGCAAATGAAGATTCTGATGAGGACATTTGGGCAGCTGCTGGAAAAGCGCTACCGGACACCACATTCGACGAGCATTCCCACGATCCTCAAACTATCTCGGTTGCCCATCAACGCTACCTTTTGTCTCTCAAACATCAACTCCTAATTACCTCGCCATCCTTCACCGACCCCTTATTGCAACTTCTACAACAGATAGATCACCTTGTTGCCCTGGTACATCGAATTAACTCGGTTTGGTCATCGCTCGACCTTGAAACAGATGAAGGCGTCATTGACGCCTTCTCGGACTTCCACAAGGAGGAGACAGATGTTCAGGGCCAACTTGTATTGGCGGCCCAGAACGTAAAAGAAGCAATCAATGCTTTGATCCTCAGCTTGAGAGATATAGACCTAGACGTTGAAGGGCGAGAAAAGAGGCTTGAACAGCTTGAAGCGGGAATTGTGGACGTTGATCTGAGTGGGGAGGAGATTTATAAACCTAGGAAGGTTGGGAGGGTCGACAGATTACTGGTGAAACTGGATTTTGGACGGTGGCTTGCTCCATTAGATACTGAAGAAGGAGGCTTCGAGTAAATGCTATGTCTGGAACTAGCGTGGAGATATATTGCTGTGGGGGGGTTACGAGGCTGTGTATGACTTTAATAAACCAAATAACGTACATGTATAGCGAAAGCGCCAAACAAGCGAAAGCGCCAAAATTATCTACCCTCACGACAAACATTGCGATAAATCTACCACAACATTAGAAATCAATTGAAACTACTCGGAGTCCTCTTCCTCAGAGGTGTCTATTACAATCTGACACGTGCGCGCATTGTGCCCAGTCTCACCACACTTGCCACAGCGACGGGCACGGGTTTCTTCCCTTGGCTTCCGACCACGGCTTGCCCTTATTTCCTGCTCTACCTGCTGCACAACATCCCTCTCATCCTGTAGCTCTTGCGCCCCTTGTTGACTAAGTGATCCTCCTTGCTGTAGTCGTGTTTTCCTAGCTCTCCGGCGCTTGCTTAGTACTTCATTTGCCTGTCGTAGGTTTTGGTTCTCTCCCTTTAGCAGTGCTAATTGATGCATTATTTGCGATGCACCCTTTGTAAACTGGTCAACAGCTGCATAGATTGAGGTTGGAGAGCTATTTTGATGGCGTGAAATCCGAGTTTTAATAAATGTAGACTGTGACATAGCTTCAATTGGGTTGTTTGGTGTCTGAGAAACCCAAGGTTGAGCAGTACCTGGGCGGGAGCTTGGAGGCGTTGGTGTCCTTAACTTAAGATCAAGTGTAGATATCACTCTCTCAGGGTCAAATGGAAGAAGCCCTGCCCCTCGGAACCTGCCTCAAATGTTACTTTCCGTCATTGTAGTGTTAAATGCAGCGTGGAAGGCAGGAAAGAAGTCATCCTTTGTAATATGAGAAATATGAGCCTGCATCATATCTTCAATTTGCCGACCATAGGCCTGCTTTAACGGGCTGAAACAGCCAACATCAAGTGGCTGGAGTAGATGAGAAGAGTGAGCAGGCATACAAAGCGTAATAATGTTGTGTTCCTTGCAGTACTCCTCAAACTCATCTGAGTGGTGGCTCTCATGACCATCAAGGACTAACAAGCGATAACCACCAACACTCCGGGCCTTTGTATGCTTCTCAAAGTGCTGAATCCAATCCATGCCTCTCTCGTTTGTAGTCCAGCCATTTTCAGTAACAGAAATCACCCAATCGCTTGAAAATCCACTATTCTCATACCAAGATGTAAGGTGGTTTTTGCCTGCAACAATGATAAATGGTGGTACTGCCCAACCTTGAGAACTAACGCCTTGGATTACTGTAACCCATTCCCGATTACCAGGCTGTACCTTCTTTGCTTTTGCCCGCCCGTCTGAGCTTGTTACAACCATAGCAGTTGAGATAACGCCCATCATAAACCCAGTCTCATCAAAGTTGTAGATATCTGCTTCATCGATACCATATTTCGCAATTGTGTTACGCACAAGCTCAAACCAGCCATTAATAACTTCTGGATCTTCGCACTTAGCCCTCTGGTAGTCGTATTTGCGCTGAAAGCGTGTCTGGAGCTCTACACGCCGCTTAACAAAGTTTGAAGCCCAACGCGATCCAACGCGTGACGCGTCGCGTGTTGCAAGTAGTCGACTTGCCATATCTTCAACAACAGACAGCCGAGGAGGAAACCCTTTGGCAGCTAGGTCGAGTATATACTGAACAAGGACGGACTCCTCTAGGTTAGTTAATTTCCGTGAGTTGGCTTGGATATCGCGTCGTGAAGGTACACCTTCTAGACGACGACCTAGCTTGCGGTGGTCCACAGAATAGATCCTAGCAGCAACTCGAAGGCGTAACTTTGGGTCGCTTTGCATAGCCTGGATAGCTAGCACTAATTGGCTTTCATCGTTTTTATGGGGCATGTTTTGTTGTTGAGGAATTTAACATTTAGTTGGGGGGTTTGGTCACCGCATCATTTTGGCGCTTTCGCTTGTTTGGCGCTTTCGCTATACATGTACGTTATACATATTTATATAGATATTGTGGGTTCCCCTGATGCGTAACATTTTATTTCGCTGCCAGATGCTTTGTATGTGATATGCCAATGACGCTTTAAATTATCGACTTCCTCAGAAGTGGCCCGACCTGCTTCCGGCTCATCCCTAAATTCTTTTGAGCCCAGCAACGCCTCCACTGGGTTTTGCTATCTGTACTATCCAACCTCCTAGATTCCCAGCCCTGTAATCCAAGTTCCTCACTTGCCCCCTCTTCAAACGTCTTTGCCGCCTTCACGCCAGCTTCATCTAGACCCAGTAACAGTAACTCGCGGCCAAATTGGCCATTATGCGTGAAAGTCGTCATCACAGCGCAAACGGATAGTTTCCGCGCTTCGGCAAAGGCTTGAACTTCTTTCCAGAAGGACTCCTCATTCCTGGCCTTGTCGAGAAGGAAGCGCACATCTTTCACAGCACTTGACATACCCAGGTTGACGCCTTGGCCTTCGGTCCACTGCTTGTAGTCCTTCCGGAGAATATCATTCAGACTTAGATCATCGATGGCTTGCTTTGCGTCGTTGATCTCGGTGTAGTAGCCATCTCTATCATATTTGTCTGACGACGAACTTCGAAGGAGTTTCTCCAAGGTTTCGGCCGCAGCTATGTCATGTTTGGTAACCTTGTCCTTATTCTTCAGATTTGCTGTGTCGATTAACACGGGGGCTAGAGCTATTCTCGCCCACGCACTGTCATAGGTACTGGCTTCGTCGTCATGTGTCAGCTTGTCCCAAGCTTCTTTGCAGTGGTTCACAATGAGACTTGCACAGCTGCCAGCCTTTTCGGCTATCCTTGGCTCAGAGCCACAGTCTTTAAGCACCTTGTTCTCCTCGTCATGGTGATCGATGCAGCCAACAACCCGATCACTATACACCCGTCCAAGCTCGCCTTGGAAGGAGTTGTGATCTACTAGAAGCCACCTAGTTTTCTCTGGGGAAAGCAATAATGTCCGTTTGGACGGGTGAGGTAGATCAGAGAGCGTGATCAACTCGCTAGCTTTGATTCCCGCATGTGAGAGTATCGGGCTCAGCTCTGTCCGCAGCGAAACATCAGCAGCAGGAATGTTGGCTATAGGGACATGTACATTCGGCGGTATTGATGTATATGTTCTAATGTAGGCGTAGGCAATAGCACTGCATATGGAATCAAGATCTGTCTCTCGTCAGAAACTCGTATAGCACGTGAAAGCACAGGGATGGCAAGGTAATGCGGGCGCCGGTCATATGCAGTGAAAAATTGGGAGCAATAAGGTCTTTACCAGCGGATTCGTTTCCAACAACAAACGTGATGGGCTGCGCATGTTGGGCAGCAGTATTCAGGGTAGCCTTGGCCGTAGCAAGGAACGAGTTCAAGGACGCCCTAGGTAACGCCATGCCTGGATTATTGCGTTGTAACGGGATCCATGGGGCGGACTTTCATGCCCTCCAACTAATATATAGGATTGTAGTTGATGCCGAGGTCCTAAATGGTACTGTGTGGTTTGAAATATAGTGAGTTCATTGGGGAGCAAATACGCGTCTGGGGTACAGATCCCTTCCCGTTTCGGCTAGCAACGAACTCTAATTCTACGCTGACATGCACATGAATCTAAGACTCCGATTATGCCCGAAAGTAGTCCTGCTATCATATGAGAATTTGAAAGAGGGGTTTGTGGGATATATTGGGCTGTAGTCGCTCGTAAACAAACTCTCATGGGTTACTCCGTCAACTGATTCAATAAAATCATTACTATTTTTGGGATACAATAATTACAGAAAATACACACGTCTGTTTGATATCCCAGGGCTGAGTCTGGTTTCTCATGACTCTCCTCCAACTTATAAGCCAGTATAAAGAAGGCACATAAGCCGTTCATCCCATACAAAGCAACTAGGAATCAAACCTGATAACTATTTATCAAATCTACGCATAATCCACCAACCCGCCATTCAACATGCCCTCTCAAGCCTCCACCGACACGGACGACACGTGCTGCCACATCTGCGAGAGAATGAATTTCAGAGACCCGGCCTGGAAGCAATATGTCCCATCAAGCCACTGTGTGCTCTGCGATCGCCCCTTCTGCAGTGTGCACCAGGAACAAACTGAGGCCGACGGCGACGTTTGTGAAGCAAACCATGGAACGTACTATAAAGTCCACCACCACATGCTCCTTGGAAAGGTGTTCACGAGCAAGCAGGAACGACAGGAACTACTGGAAGAGGAGGTCATTGCACACCAAGCAAGACAGAGAAAGGAAAGCATTGGCTGGACACCCCAGGACAACGAGGATGATAGCAGGCGTGTTTCTCCCTGATTCTGCGACGCGAAGGGACGATGGCGAAGCTGGTCAATTAGGTAGCGAACCGTGTGCCTGACTTTATAGCTCTATGCATTATTTTTGACATGAATCTATATGTCCGTGCAACATTGTGTCATCCTCAAAGCCTACATCATGCAATTCGTTACAACCCCGCAGCCAAAGACGCGGAGTCTAGTAAGCCCATATCGATCTAGCAACGCTCAAATACCCTGTAAAGCCCCTTCAGATTTGCGACTTCCAGCACCGCCCCCTTCATCAGCGCTTTGGTAGCAATCAATCTTCCAGAGAACGCTGGGAACAGTTTCTCCTCCACCGCTTTTCTGACCACATTCCTCCGTTGCTTGATTTCTTTATCGATGTCCTCCTCGCTCCCTTTTCCTTGGCTTGGGGGGAGCTGTTCGGGGACATAAAAATCTGCTAGCTCGCGTAGAAACGTGTCAAAGCACATTTTCTCGTCAGTCCAGTTGACGTGCGGCCCCAAGCGCATCAAGAAGCGTGGCAGTTTTGCGAGACTGGGGGTATATCCTTTCATCAGCAACGGTATGCTGATCAGATCTCCTTCTGGAGAAATCTCGATCGTGAAGTACTCAAGCAGCATTTCTCTCCTCTTAATGAGCTGTGCGCTGACAACATCTACTACCTCTTCAATGTCAAACTCATCTTCCTTGCAGGCAGGTTGCATCATCTCTTTCTCATGAGCCGCCGCAATCCTGACAAGGTCTTGAATTTTCGGGGGAACTTCAAACCGAATGGCGCCGAAATTCCCGAAATCTGTCAACCCAAGTTGATAGAAGTATTCAGAAGACACCATGCCATAGTCAACAAGGAATAATTTAACTCCAGACTGCATAGCCGCCAAGCGCCGCCTCTCATCGACAATGCCGACGAAAGTATGGCTGGCAAACATCTCCGTTAAATTATTATGCATTTCATCCCGAACAGCTGCGCGTAGTTCCTTGATAGTGACCAGGCGACAGGTTACCGGTTCACGGTCAGAGTGTTCATATTCCATCTCGTTGCTAGATAATTGCGTCCCCTGGGGAGGGTTTGCTGTCTCTCCCCCCCCAGAACCTGGCGGGAGCATGGTTGTGATCTTTCTGAGCTTTGCATCGGTCCGTACAAGGTTATTCTCATAGAGTTTCTGTGTTGATTTTGGAACTGGCGTGCTTGGGCTCTCTCCACCTGCAGTCCCACTGGGTGCTCGCGCTCCTGGAAGAAGACTCTGTGTCATGAATGTCCGGCTTGTATCGATATTCGCCAACTTGACGCGGATATCGATGCATATCTGCTCAATAATCTCATCCTCGTTGAGAAAATTAACTTCCCTTTTGGTTGGATGCACATTGACATCCACACGTTGAGGGTCGATTTCCAGGTTCAGGTATGTAAATGGGTGCCCACCTTTGGGTAAAAATGTTGAGTATGTTTGCTCGATAGCCTTCCGGATATTTGAAGACTCGACGCAACGGTGGTTAATGAAAAGAAGAAGGGTAGTCTTCTTGACGTGATAATTGGCGTTTGTAGTCCATCCATTTGCCACAAATCCAAACCGACTCTCCGCAGAGCTAAACTGGACCAACTCGTTCGCGACAGCACTGCCGTGTATTTGGCGTATGCGCTCTGTCGTGGAGGCGTTTTGTGAAACGGATAAGGAGGTACTTGATTCACTATGTTTCTTGCAGCTGAATGCAACACCAGAACAATGGACGGCATACCTACCTACCATGTCCAGGATCTTATTGTACTCCTCAGAAGCGGACCGGAAGGCTCTTCGCCGTGTCGGGATATTATAAAACAGGTCTTCCACAGTAATCTGCGTACCTTGCCGACCAGCCACAGGCTTTGGTTCCGCCGACTGCCCAGGCTTGGGAGGAGATAGCTTGCAGCTTGCATAGCTTGCTCGATAAGCACAGTTTGAATCCTTCGTCCTCGTGGTGACGGTTAGATGGGCAATGTAACTAATACTGGCAAGAGCCTCGCCTCTGAAGCCATAGGTGCCAATTGAAGTCAGGTCCTCGAAGGATTTCAGTTTCGAGGTTGTGAACCTTTCGCACAGGATAGACAGATCTTCTTTCTGATACAAATTAGTTTTCTTGTCATAACAGGCTTTCTGCAGCTGCATACATCTATGCCATGGCCATTGTCTGTGATCTGCAGGAGCTTCAGACCGCCATCTTTGACGACGACATCGAGCGCCGTTGACCCAGCATCGACCGAGTTCTCTATCAACTCCTTCAAAGCATGGACCGGAGCCACGATAATTTCACCCGCTGCGATTTTATTCACCACATCGGGATTGAGTGCCTTCAGGGAAGTTAGATTTGGACGTTACAGTGGGATAGGCGGGGCTACCTTGATTCTTCGAGGAGGCGAAGCATCTAAAGGAACATCATCCGCTTTCCTCTTGGAACCTGTGGGTGGAGTCTCCACAGAGTCGATTTCCATCTTTATCGTGATATATCAACCCTCTAAGCTAGGATCTGGCCCTGAAATCATGCGCAGAAAGAAAATGGGGTCTCCCAGAGACCTCAAGCCTTTCCTTCTATACAATAATGTGACGCGTTGGCCTCGATTGGGAGCCTCTTTTAATATACTCATGCGCATCCCACTGCCTTTTTATCAGAAACTCAAGTATACCTATTTTATATTTCGCTTTTTTTTTTCTCACGCGTCTCGAATGTACCGCGTGGAAGTGCTGGGAACGGGTGTCATCGTCATACCCTCCGGACGCTAGCGCTGCAAGCGGGGACGGCGATCTGTGGCATATCGCAGCCTCGCGTTATCGGGGGATTTCCTTTGGAGCTATCCATACTACTATTGTATAGTTATATGTATGAGTAGCCGTGACTGAGACATCTCCATTACGGTCTCTTCCTGTCGGATACTATTAGTGTCGGAGGTTCTGCTTACAGGGTTAGGTTGGGACAAGAGGGAGCTCCGCACGCCCTTGGACGGTGTCGCATTCATATGGGCAGCAACAACTTACTCAGCAGCCCTCGAGACGACATGGGATAATGGGCCCCTCAACACGATTATTCCCAGGCGATGAAGAGCTAGGCAAACGAGACGATGACCACAAAGTATGGACGAAGCCTATCGCGGCGTGGCATTACCGACGATGGCTGCTCCGGAGGAATATGAAGCGAATTGGCCTCACTCTGTTGGGTCTTATTGCATTATACTATTTCGTCAAAAACATACCGACAGATCTGAAGCAACCTTCAGTGAGGCCGTCCTACGACCACTCCCCGTCGCGGGGTGGTGGGATGTCCAGACCGCGACCACCTTCACCCGAAAAGACACAAGCAGCACCGACGAGCGATGAACTTGAGGGAGAGAAGCATTGGTATAATGGACCCATTAAATTCTACGAACTGGCGACCTCGTTGTATTTGATAAATGGTAAAGGGATAACCGACTTCAACAAGAACGTTGTTTTTGCCGCTGCCAACCTAAAGAGCGCCGCGACGTTGCTGCCTCTTGCATGTGAGATGGCAAGATGGAAAAGGAATGATGTTCACTTTGCCTTGATGGGCCGAGATGAGATCCCGATGAAGACTCTGGGAGAAATCAATAGAATTACCGCAGATTGCAACGTTCAGATGCATGGTATGAACTTAAATCTCCGCTTTATGGCTGGTTACTAATACCCGTTCTCTGTTCCAGATGCGCGACCTGATTATGTCGCAGAAAGCACCGATTTCAGAATGGAAGTTAGCAGTGGGGCTGCATTGGGGCACATCAACAACTATATGCACCCTCAAGCCGTCATCGTAGACAACTCTGGCACTGAAGAGGGGTATTTTCTCAGAGGGATAAGAGATCGATCTATAGAACTCGGGAGAACCCTCATTGAGCTTCCATACAATGCCGAACAAAGCTTAATATGGGTTACCAGGCTAGATAGCTCGTCTTTGAATGGCAAGTCACCCAATAATAACTTATATTAGTAGTGTGTTAACAACATTTAGCATACAACAAAATCAGTATTGATATACTGGTTCACGCCCAGCCTTCAGCATCCGGATCATTAATAAGGCTATTAACGTCATTGAAGGGGGCGGATTATTTTGGGTCTACCCCTCCTTGCCTGACGATCGAGTTGCCTAATGATGCTGACGAATTTGCAACCCGATTCCTGGCGAACTCGTTCAGCTGGCCACCCGGAGAGTTTCCCGTGCAAGAGAGCGCCCAACAGCTTACACTACGTCGACGGATACCACACCAGAGACTGACCGCCGAAGAAAGCTCCATCCGCTTTTTCGAGTCTTTCTGGCCGGCGAATCGATTCACATCTCACGTCCTGGTTCTTTCTCCCCAGGTTGAATTGTCGCCACTCTATTATCACTACCTCAAGTATGCGCTATTGGAATATAAATACTCCTCAGCAGCCGCCTCCTCACTAATGTCCCACGAGGACCTCTTGGGTATCTCCCTGGATCTCCCCTCGACCTACCTCAATGATACTACTCCCTTCACAGCGCCACCGAACCCCGCGTCAGCGAAAGCTCCAGAAGCTAATGGCCCATCCTTTCTCTGGGGCTCTCCAAACAGCAATGCAGCCCTCTACTTTGGCGACAAATGGACTGAGCTCCACACCCTCGTCTCACACTCGCTGAGCTCTGCCTCTTCCGCTCCCAAGAAACGCATCAGCACTTCCTACCCATCCTGGCTCGAGTACATTCTCACCCTGTCCAACTCCCGCGGCTACTCGATGCTCTACCCCCAGCTGACAGCTGGCGACGCCCTTGCAACTGTGCACAATGAGCTCTACCAGCCACCTGAAGAATTCGACAAGCCAAAGTCGGAAACTGACACGACGACAGACGATGGCAATTTCACAGCCGACCCTGCACAGCATCTAAGCTTGCAGCACAAAGAGTTTCCGCTGGCGCACTCGAGCCTAGTGAATATGCTTCCTGACAACCAGCTGCTAGCGCCGCTGCACAGCATACCGTTGTTGACTTGGGATGGGAGGGTAGTGCATAGGATAGATCTCGGCGACGAGGCAGAGGAGTTCAGTGCGAAGTTCCGGCGCGACGTAGGTGGCTGCAAAAAGCCTGTCCCATCTAAGACAAGGCTCGTGAATGTGGGCGTGGAGAACCTATTCTGTGATGGAGGCGAGGAAGATAAGGTTCCTAAGAAGGCAACTGATGAAGCGACTGATGAAGCCGATGATGAGAGTGTAGAGCCTACTGAGACGGAAGAGAGCCATAGCACAACACCTGCTCACTCCCACTCCACGGAAACGGCTACCGAGGGGCATATGGATGCAACCCTGGAAGGGGGGATAATCGTCGGGACATGATGAATATAACGAACTGTATTGTATGTATTATCTGGGTCTGTACCTTTTGGTTGGCATGCACTGGAGACACCCTCTCTCCTTGGCAGGAAGGCACAGCATGTAATTTTTTTTTTCGACAAGACTATGAGCACAGAGCTCATAGACATGACTATGAGCTCTGTGCTCATGTCTAGGCTAGTAATGCCAAAGCACTGTTTTTCCAAAAGCAATACCACATAGAGGCATCAAGTAGTGAAATATTAGTCATCTATTTTTTTATAAAGCAGATGACACGGCTCTCCCCATTCGACGGTCAACCAATGTCTAGGGCTAGCTTATAGTACAGTGTATCATATTGTGTTCCAGCGCCCTCCCAAACCCTTGTCAACGCCCCGTTCAGCTGCTCGTATCATCCCACTCTGGGTTCTATGCGCATATTAGTTAAAGTCCTTTCTAAATAGCTAGAGATTGCTTACCTTTCTTAAAATAACCAGGCCCTCCAGCGTGCTCGACAAGCTAATATACTGCTCGTCTTCCAACTCAGCCCTCTCACCATACGCCAATAGCACTGGCGTGCTCTGTGTTTGCCAGCCAGTGATGGTCTTCGGGCGTCCGGCCTGGCCGACAACATCGACAGCCTGGCCGACGCGTACATTGACGGTCAAAGGCTTCAGGTTCTCGTCGAGAGTAACGAGGAAGCGCGGGTGCATCGATGTGACCAGGAAGTAGAGGAGGTAATGCGAATCCTTGGTAATGAATAACTTGGAATCGATCATAGCGACCAGAACCGCCAGCAAGCCAGCAGTGGAGACGCTCGACAGAACTTGCCTGTCCGTGTGGAAGGGGTTAACAGACAGGGTGCCCTTGCCCATGTGCACCAGGCCCTGAGCAATGCGCACCATGAAGAGAGACTCCGCGTCACGGTGGTAGTAGCTGGCGAGTTGGCGTAGGAGCTGAGCCAATCTTGCGTTGTTGGTTCCGGCGCCCACGAGACCCATGGAGAAGATGGCATTAATCGCGACATCATTATCATTGTCGTGACTGTATCTGGAAAGAGTGTCGTAGATCTTCATCTGTGGGTTGCTGGGGCTGATCAGGCCCATGGCCAGAGGAACAGCCTTGCGGATATTGGGCTCTCCGTAATGCATCAAGTGTCCGAACTGGCGGAGGACCATCTCCTGGCCGACTTCCTCTCCCATCGCAACTAATGCAAGACCGATGACGGCATATGCTTGCAATAGCTCGTCACCCTTCTTGTCATCGCTATCCTCGATGTGGTCGTTACAGATGTGGAGCAGCTCCTGGAGCTTCAGCACAGTGCCTGTTCCTGCCCAGGCACAGATCTCTGCCAGAACCGATGTCGGCTTGGACATTGGGTGGTCAATGGCCTTCAGTGTCTCCAGAATAACATCAACCTCCTCTTGGCGATTGAAGAAAAGGAGACCAAGGCCAAGAGCCATGAACCTGGTCCACTTATCCTTCAACTGGTGCTTGCGGTCATCATCCAGAAAAGTTTGAACAATAGCCTCGCTGACATCGCTATTCGAAGAGCCAACGAAGATAAGACCAAGCGACAACGCAGCCATGGCTGAAGTCTGCATGTCCAAAGAAGTATCTCCGACAAGCGGTAAAAGCAGCGCCAGCAGCTCATCCTTGTTTGACCCAGCATATGCCAAGCCCAATCCCATAATAGCAGAGACTCTGATTAGAGGCTCCTTGTGGTTAAGCTTATCCGAGTCGCCAAGCAGAGCCAATGCGGGATCGGAATCCAGACGGACGCCACTGTTTACGATACCAGTGGCCAACAATGCACCTGCTTGAATCTCGGCCTCCTCGGCGTATGTGTAGCGATCAATCTTGTCCAAACCAGCCTCAACATCCCACAAGAGGAGGGTGCCCAGGGAGGCAACCGTTGAAAGCTGGCCCTCCTTCTTAGTCTTCCATACCCAGCTGGACTGCTGTTCTTCTACCAACATCATCTTATCGTTTCCGAATCCCGCATTGACAAACGCATTGACAAAGCTGGCTGCCAAGTTGTGTACCGCGGAGGTGGTGTTTGTAGTACCAGCAACCCTAGTGCTCTCGAGATGGCTCTTGTAGATATCCTCAGTGGACTTCGGGTCCAGAATGTTTAACTCCTTACCCAAAGCCTTGAAGTGCTCTGGCAACTTGATGTTGTTGAGACAGTCAGCGATCTCTTGCTCCTCCTCAGTGTCCGTTGGCACATCCAGCCAAATTTGTTGTCTCGCGATCAGGAACGCCATCTGCTTCTTGAGCGCCACATCATCCGTCGAGTCGAAATCCGAGCTAATCAACTCGATGTCGTTTAACCTAATGGCCAAGACAATCGCCTTTGTGAGTTGGTTGTATTTCTTGTAGATATCGTGTGCAGTGCGGAGGAATTGCTGGTCTTCCGGGTAGGTCAATAGGTTGACCATGCTGACCATATACAAACAGACGCGTGGGTAGGTGTTCTCATCCAGGTACTTCGGAAGGTCCTCTATTATCTCAAGTTCGCTCATCAAATCCACGGCGTCGGCTTCGGCGTTGCTCTTGAGGAATAATGGAACCAGAACCAGGGCCAAGTCGATCAGGTCCTGGCTGGGCTCATCGTTTGTTAATCTCTTTGGGTAGACCTCACCGATCTCCAAGGCAAGATGCCTTGTGTATTCGTGGCCCCAAGACTCGATATCTGCCGTCGGTGCTAGCAATCTGTACTTGAGTGTGTCTTGTCTATCCTCGTCCGAAAACGTCATTCCAATAACAGAGATCACGTCCGCCAGAGAGGTCTTGTTGTCGCCTTCATCCCACTGTTCGTACAGCTTAATCATCGGCTCGTAGTGCGGCCTGAGGAATTTGAGGGGTTTCGGCACTGCGGTCATCGAAGATGTCGAGGTTTTGATGGAGTCTTTGATCGCTTCCAGTGACGGCTTATACAGATCTGTGTCTGGCTCCTACAATGCCATCAGTACGAGAACCATTATCATTGAGGCCCAGGGATATGATTTACCGTCAGGCGCTCCACGAGCATGTCTAGTTCGCTTTTAAGCTGCTGATCCTCCTCACTGAGATCCTCTGTTATGGCAAACAGTTAGTACGTTGTAAACACTGGACTGGTGGCAGCCTCGTCATACCTCCAACAACAGCCTCCTCCTTCCCATTAGCAAGCGGCTTGCCATCCTTATCCTTCTTCACCTCCTTCGGCTTGCCAGCATCGCCGTCGACAGCCTTTCCCTTTCCCTTGTCGACCGAGTTGGGCGCCTCTGCGTCTTTCGCCATCGTGGAAGCTCACGGAATGGTAACCGTGCGATGTAGCGGACAGCGACGCAACTGAGGCGGATATGAATCGAGGGGTTGTAATAAATAGACTTCGTCCTCTATATTTTGCAGAGCGCTTCTGGGGCGGGTAGATGTCTGAACGCGGACGACTTGAGGTGCGGATGGAGTTTATATGGGTTTGGGGTTTCTAAGCTTCCGCGTGTAAATACACGCCTAGAGCTTCGCTCGCATCGTTCGTGAGAGGACCACATCCATTAAGTAAGCGGGCCCGTGCGCTAAACTGGCAGGGGTGGCCTATCATGACCGCCCATGGCAGAAAAAGTCCGATAATTGATCGTGTGCGAGAAGCCTCGAACCTTGCTCCGAATACTTTCAAATAACAACCGCAAATATGAAGTTAGACACGAAATATATGCGCTATATCACCCAGGATGACTGGAAAGTCCTCACTGCCGTAAGCCATACACCCACCTCCTCACCTTGGCCTGCCCCGCCACTGAACCCCTCCAACTAACCATACTTCAGGTGGAAATGCTCTCGAAAAACCACGAAGTCGTCCCCACGAAACTAATCGGACAGCAATCCCACCTCGGCGGTAGTACCGCGCGCTCCATCTCCGCCCTTGCAAAAATCGGCCTGATCGCGCGCCTGCGCAACGCAAAATACGACGGCTACCGTCTCACCTACGGCGGTCTCGACTACCTTGCGCTTCACACGCATAACAACAAGAGCGCCGTCTACAGCGTTGGCAACCAGATCGGTATAGGCAAAGAGTCCGACATCTTTGTCGTCGCCTCGCCGACAGGCCGCCAACTAGTCCTCAAGATCCACCGCCTCGGCCGGATCTCCTTCCGCACCGTCAAGGCGAACCGCGACTACCTACGCAACCGGCAGGGCGGGTCATGGATGTACATGTCCCGCCTCGCCGCCTTGAAAGAATACGCCTTCCTCACCGCCCTACGTGAGCATAACTTCCCCGTCCCCGAGCCGATCGCGCAGTCCCGGCACACCCTTGTCATGTCCCTCATCGACGCCTTCCCCATGCGCCAGATCGCCTCTGTGCCTGACCCCGCGTCCCTGTACGCCGAGCTGATCGCCATGATCCTGCGTCTGGCGCAGTACGGGCTCATCCACGGTGATTTCAACGAGTTCAACATCCTCGTGGAGGAGAAACCTGACCCAGCTGCCAAGGGCGGCGTCGCGCTCACTCCCATCCTTATCGATTTCCCGCAGATGGTATCAGTGGATCACGCGAACGCGGAGTACTACTTTGACCGCGACGTGAACTGCATCAAGCGCTTCTTCAAGAGGAGGTTTCAGTTTACGCCTACGGAGGCCGGGCCGCACTTTGCGGATGCGAGGAAGCTGATTGGAAAGGATGGCGCAGTGAGGTTGGATGTGAACGTCGAGGCGAGTGGCTTTTCGAGGAAGCAGGCGAAGGAGTTGGAGGCATATATGAAGTCGGTTGGAGTGGATGGGGATGGGGACCCAAACGCTCCCAGGGCCGATCTTGAGGAGGACGCTAATGATGATGGCGATGATGACGAGGAGGGGTCCGATTTTGTTGAGGAGGAAGAACCGGAAGCTAAGCCCGTGACTAAAAGGGAATGGAGAGACGATGTCGAGTATACGACAGACCGTCTGGGAAATACGGTGGAAGTTGTAAAAGAGCCGGAAGCTGAGCCCGCGGAGAAAAAGGAATCGAGAGACGATGTCGAGTATACGGCAGACCCCTTGGGAAATACGGTGGAGGTTTTAAAGACTCTGAGCGTCGACGATAAAACATGAGGGGTTTACTATTATTACGGTTGGAATACTTTTTAAAGGGCCGCGAGCACTTCACATGGTTCATCCACATTTAGACTCCAGGACGTTATCAATGTAACAGCTCTCCGTGTCAAGAAGGGTTGTAAGGAACTTGGTCACAATTGCAAGTCAAAAGGCAGCTGATAAGCAGGTTTTTAGCTAATTAGCTAGAGGATCAGCGAGTACATCATCGTGGGTGGGAAGACCACAACCACGGGAAATAATTAAGCGCCGAAGGAAACTACAAGCAAGCATGCACCTTTGATACTTCGTGACGACCTGCAATCGCCTGTTCGATCCATCTCCCACTAATGAATGATTTCGTGCAAATCGCTTTTGATGAAATGCCATACCCTTCTTGAAGTATGTCCTCCTCCAGTAGACCCGATGCCACATGGCCTCCTATGATACACAGCTGAACTCCCAAGCTTTCGATGGACATTACGTATGTATTGAGGTAGGTATGATCCGTAAGGATATGAGCCTAGATGAATATTCGAGGGGTATAATGCCGTGAGTATGAGTATGAAGGTCCTTGGACGCGTAAAACTGAACGTGGGCTGTTTAGCACCACGAAAAATATGCTGTTCTTGATAACATAAGACTGTTCCTTCTCTTTAGTTTGTAGCCGCAAGTGGTAGTTATCATGCCAAAGTCGCATCAAACCCGAACTGGAGATAAACAATTAATAGTAGCGCCCTCATCAGCCGAGTCGTCGTCAGAGACCGTTGGGGTGGAACGTTCATCGTGTCTAATTCAAATACTTAGTCATGTAACGTGGCAATATGATGAGTTGAAGCTATACATACTGCTTGGAGCCCTCTTGTTTGCGTGGTGTAAGGGTAGCCTGTGTAACGCGGCTGTCAAGGTCCTTGAATGCAGAACCAGGAGCGGAAGTTCCATCAGACGACCTGTACGTTCGTTAATACCAGTGTTATTTTGAGGGAGAGCGGCACCGACCCATTATTGTCCGAAGACCCATGTCTCTTCCATGACCCGGCACTCTTCAATTGGGGAAGGTGGCCAGATATTTGAGCCATGCACGTAACCCCGGCGGATGCCATTGGAGGGGAGAGGTTGGCAATATCCACGGGGCTGCCATAAGCACTCACGTTGTACTCAGTGGTGCGGAACTGGCGTCTCTCAGTCGTGATTTTCTTGAGGTCTTTCTGCGCTGGCGTATCGGCATAGCGGACCTGCATAAGAAGACCCTCCTGGCCTACAGCAGTTCCGTGGTACACTCTGATAATCTCCTCGCAGATTTCACGGCTCTCGAAACTAAATAATTATGAGCAGCTGGTCCCCAATTTAGGTATATGGAGGATCATTACCGTGCAAATCCAACACCGCGGCTGTTGCCCTGAGAATCGTGCAAAATTCTGCTCGAGACCACATTGTAATCCATGAAGGTAGCAGCAAGCTCCATCTCATTCATGGTCTTTGGCAAGTTTGAAACGTACAAGTTCGTAGAGCTGTGATCGCCCTTTGCCTTCAAACGTGAATTGAACGACTCCTATAAAGTATTAGCCAAAAGAATCTATCTTGGAAATGAGTTTATAATACCCTGGCAAATCCAACTTCATATCCCTTTACAAAGAATCCACGAATGCAATTCTCAGAATCACGGACATCGAAGTATTTGGCAAAGCCGAAGCTGTGGAACTTAGTAAATATGAATGTTATCCCCATGGGAACGCCGACTTACCCTTTGCAAGTCCCAGTACCGGTATCAATGATGGCCTTGGAAGTCTCCACACGACCGAAAATATTAGCATATGCTGCCAAGGTCTCATCATTGGTATCTGGGTGAAGCCCACGAATGTAAACATTGCGGTTGCCGTAGATGGGGTTGGACAAGCTCTGTTCCAGAGATCTCTTGCTCTCATTCGGAGTGAACACGGCTGCGATGGCTTCTGGAATTATCTCGTCATGTGTGGCGACGTTATAGTTGACTGGAATAGCCTTGTATGGAAGAGGTTTTCCAGCCTGTGGCACGTTGACGTTATGTGGGATCTGCGGTGATGGGGTTGAGTAGATCGGAGATCTATCCACAGTGGCAATAACAGTGCCATGGTCACCATGACCCAGAGAGCCGTAGAATGGAGTTCCGGGGGCAGATTCATTGGTTGAGTAGGATCCTCGACGATTATCAAGGCCAGGAACGTCCTTGTGCATGGCTCCCTGACGATCTGACAGATGGCCTTGACGCGCCTGTGCATAGGGCATCATGGCATAGCCGGGCATGTAGCCAGAATAACCGGTTTGGGTGGCATAAGTAAGGCCTGGGGCATATGCAGCATAACTGCCGTCTTGCAGATGAGCAGTTGCAACTGGCTGGGTGGAGAAGATATTGGCAGAAGGCATGCAAAAGATCTGGCCATCCTGCGAGAAGAAGTACTGTGGAGTATTGACTCCCGGGATGGTATTTGAGGCAGCTGGGATAGTTCCATTTGGAGCACTGATGTGAGCTTGGGCAAATGAACCAATCATGGACTGGAGGCCAATATCGTTCTGAGAAGCTCCAGCAGCCAGGTAGGTCCCAGGTTGGGTTTGAGAAGCACGAGAGGCTTGGGCCTGCGAAGCTTGCTGGGCGTACATGAGTGGACCATGATTGTTGTAAGAACTGTCGGTCGCTGGTTGAAGCTGTTGGACCGACATGATTGTCTGGAGTAGAAAATATTAGTTTGTCGACACGTACGAAGTGAAAGATAAAAGTGATTGATCAAGTTTACTCCTTGGCCAGTTGAGGTGTATCATGGGAGAAAAGAAGTCCTCAAGAGTCATGGGCAATGTGGGTGTTGGACCCAGGGTTGGTGGTTGAGGGTTGTTTACTTACAAGTAGAATACTACTTAGAACAAACTTAAGACTTTGTTCGCACGTTCCAAAGATGATCTGTTCACGGGGATTGATTAATCTGTGCAATATTTGTATTGATTGGAGTGATTGCATACCTTACAATAATGCTGGCCAACAATGGAGCTGTATCTACAGCCACAAGGTGATAGAGTTGGGAGCAGCAATTCAGAATCTGATGATTACAAGAACTGTGGGAAGATTGTCGGTGAGTAGCGAACGAAAAAGAGAAGAGGTGAAGGATAGTGAGCTATCAGCCAGAAAAGGTGTCGAATAACTTGTTGATGGATCTTTGTGTGATTATGGAGGATGGAGAGTGAATTCGGGGGGAAGAAGGGCTTATATGTTGGCGTCCGACTGGAGTTGTTGAATGGAAGGAAGGAACGTTCGAGAGAAGGTTCCGCGCAATAACACGATCTGCGGATGGAAGGTGAAACCCAGTCACAGGCGAAGAGAAAAAGGCAGGTGCGGTCTCGGCAGGCTGAAGCAGACGGAAATGTGAGATATATATATATCAATAGAAGCAGGCTCAGAGAAGAAAGAACTCTTGTTTTTTAGGATACGGTTGGGAGCGAAGCTTCTCAGACACGGCAACACAACGTATATGTGGTAATATAGTCAGTGTGGTCTGGCTTTGTGAGACGTAGTTGAGATAGTGTCGTCTGATTTTGGTAGGACGGCAGCGGGTTTGTAAAGATACTGAGACTGCTGAATGATAAGGGGTATGGGCGGCAGACGATACAGAATAAACGGTGGAGAGGAGGAAGGAGCGAGGGAAGTGAAATTAAGGGCATGACAGCCTCTTTAAGTCTAATGAAGCAGATGAGTAGCGCAGAAGTATAGATTACGTTTCCGCGTACCTTCCATAGCTAGAACGCAATACTGTTCGTATGGAACGATGCCGGAAGTGCATGTCGATACGTCCAGGCACCCCAAGTGGCATTCAAGAGTGGCAAATGGGCACCCAAAGACCCAAGTGGCAGGACGACGAGAGCAAGGGGAGGAAGGCACGGCACGACGGCATGGTGGCTGCGATGGGGAGCTATGTTGGTTCTTGATCTTGGTTCGGTTGGATTGGATGCAATCCTCACCAAGTGAACAGCCAGACAAGCCATACGCACTAAGTCGACCAGGAATGCTATCCAGGGTTGAGTGCATACTCGAGTACTTTTTGCATCTTTGCGTGCGCATACAGCACGGAACGCGGGCAGTATTCTCCCCGCGACGGCCCGCCAGATTTCACGATCGACCGGGGCGTTGCACATCTTCTGCCTTCTCCCTCTCCATGCATCCCGGAACCCTGAGGGAAATGTGTCAAACGGACCGAACGAAGCAGTGGCCCCCATAGCTCCGACTACGAACAGGAGAATAATGCAAGCTCAAGACATACCTGTATATGGATGCAGCGCTCACAGTGTTCACATCTCGCCCCCAGCCACTTGGTCATATGAGATGGATGATCTGCGAGTAGCCGTGGACGATCAAAGACTGCCGCCCGAACCGCTAACAAACGCGAACGCGCCGAACGCGCCGAACGCGGCACTACGAGGCCAGTTTGATAGCCCGGTTACATTGAGATAGCGTGTGAATCGGCGTCGTCCTGAACTCCACTGTCACAGCGCCTACTATCTCGCATCGCTTTATCGTATCTCCTACGCGCCGGATCATGACACAGGATTGTGATGTGATCGCACAGGTTCCGGGGTCATCTTGAGAATTACCGACAGCCTGGAAATGACCAACAAACTGTCACATCTGCTGATTAGTGTTGTTGGTTCTCGGAGTAACATTACTAGAGTATTCTCCGTCCTGAGGACGACAGCCAATTGCCAGGATGATCGGCCCTTTTGTGGCTGCCAATGCCGTTGAAGGGTGGTCTGCAAGGCCTCATGTCAAAGCAGGAATCGACTCAACTCTCGGCTCCGAACTCATGGCTGCTGTGTCACCCCAAGGACCAATTCCCATGTTGGACAATCCAGGCCTCCAAACCTCTTACTTCGTGACTTCGCTTCAGCACTGAGCCACTAAGCCGTACGGTCAAGGCCACGAATCTCGTGTTGGAATTGGAAATCCCAGTACCGTGGGTCATATTGATGAGAGTCCGTTAAAGGCCGTCAAAAACGCCCTGAGCTGCGGCCATCCTCTCCTTTTGGCAAAGCGTATTGGTGGTTGGTGGTTGGAGACCGAAATACGGTACGGCCTGGTCGGTTACCGAGCGCTTAATGCGCCAATGGGATTTTGACGCGACGTGCCAGGGGCGACTGGGGATGTGATTTGGTAATTGGTATCCCTATCGATCGTCGATTGACATACGCTCCCCTTTTTACTCATCTTCGACTGAAAATCGACAATTCGGCTATAAATGCAAAGAAATAAATGCCGTCGAAGAGGCGCTTCCAATCGAGGATCGCGAGTTATCAAAACCAACATTCGGACCACTACCCATGCCACAACGAAAACTATTGATTCATCATGGACACCACAGACCGCCGGTCCTCACCTTTCAGCCCCCAATTGAGCAAAACACGGATTCCCTTCCCATCTCCGCGCGAGCCGTCCCTAGCATCTCTCTGTTGGACCTGCCCCACCCGCTCCTGTACTCCCATCTCATCCCCTCTCGATCAAACTCCCTCGCTTTAGATCATCCCCAGATACCCTCCAGATCCCGTCTCAATCCCATCCTGTCTCCATATCCCCCCGCCTCAAGCAAACCGTAAACCTCTCACTTCTCGCCCGCGGCAAGACCGACCCCTCAACCCCTCCACCCTCCCACTACCGTCACACAAGTCCCCTTCTCGAAGGACCCCGAAAACACCCCGGGCTCCACCGACACACTCTAGGCAACGCCTTCTCCCCCCAACCCCAGTCCCGACACACTCTACGCAACGCCTTCTCCCCCCAACCCCAGTCTAGCGCCACAGATCTCCACAAGATGAGATGTGACAGAGCACGCGCTGCAGCGACGTCGAAGACTTCGGTCCGCATACATCGCCAAGAAGGTGCTGAGTGAGAAACAGCCCTGTGGCGATCTCGCTTCAGAGCACTCATTTCGCCTACGGAGGACCCTGCATGCATTGTGCAGTCACCGTGTGGCGAATGCCCGAAATGGGAAACAACACGAGACAGGGGAGGGAGGGGGGAGGTGTGATCTGGTGGTGGCTTGATACACGTTGACTCGACTATCTACCTAGAGTTGTGCAACAACACCCCTACCCAAAACGATGCACGCCTGCCTTTCTGCTTTCTCGCCCCCAATCCTCCTCACGAAGTCTTAGAGATCACAAGCAGTCCCCTCCCCGTCCCCAACCCGGAATATCTCCCACCCCCTCGCCTCGCCCTCCCACCCACCCCCAGCGCAAAACTAGACTCGATTTTCGATCTTTTAAAAAACACAACAGCAACTCGCCCCCAAAGCGAAAGTAGTCCACCCACCCCACCGCAGACTAAAAGGAATAGTGAAAGATAGATGCAAATTCATAGATCTACAACAACCAACAACCAACAACCAACAAGCGAACAAAAACAGAAGAAAATATCCCTATATCCCGCGCTGCGCAAGCCCAGCTAGCACCGCCCGCTGCTCCGAAAAAGGGAAGAGAGAGAAGAGAGAAGGAATTTGCATGCGACACGTCTCTGTGAAGTTGTGTGTGCGTGCATGTGGGTCCCATGTTCGCGTCCGTCGTTGCCCGTCATCGTATTTGCTCATACGTTTATTGGGGGCGGTTTCTTGTACTGGGGTGATGATGGGTGATGGGTGATGGGTGATTGGATTTTTTTTTGTGTGCGTATGCCTCCGTGTCATCCGTTCCGTTCCGTTCGGTAAAGTCTAAGGTCTAAATGTGCGCCTAGTTTTGAATCACTGGTATCTGTCTGGCTGGCTGGCTGGCTGGCTGGCTGGCTAGGCTGGGCCCCGCCGCGGGCCGCGGACTCTCTTGTCGCGAAATGAGGCGAGTCCAGGTGCTTGTAGCGAGGATTCTATGACCAGACGTCCTCCTGTGTTGATATTAGCCTTCTGTTCGCTTGCATTACGGTAGTGTAGAAATGGCCCCGTTCGATCGGACCGGGCAGGCCGCAAGAACGCGACCCTCCCTCCCGCCTTGCATGGTCCACCCACCCACCACCTCGACCTATAAAATAAAATAAAGTAAAATAGAAGCATAAACACACCTGGTACTGATTCGCGCTCCTCATTGACTTCACGACATCCTCACCCTTCTGCTCGGTGATGCCGCGCTGCTCGGCGATAATCGTTGTCAAGACGGCATTGACCTCGCGCGCCATGTGCGACGCGTCGCCGCAGACGTAGAAGTAGGCCTTCTTCTCGAGGAGCTCGCTGACGAGCTTGGCGTTCTCCTTGAGACGGTGCTGGACGTAGACCTTTTTGGGGCCATCGCGGGAGAAGGCGGTGAAGAGCTCAAAGTTGTCGCCGAGAGCTTTCTTGTACTCCTGCGGTGTGTAAGTTAGGGCCCAAAGGGATGCGGGGTATGGGTGTTAGTTAGGAAGGGGGTAAGACTTACTGCCCACTCTTGCTCGTATAGGTAATCCTGCTCCTTGGACCTGCATCCGAAGAACAGAATTGTCTTCCCGACTAGAGTTCCGGCAGCAGCTTGCGCAGCACGCTCCTGGACGAAGGCGCGGAAGGGAGCGACTCCGGTTCCGGGGCCGATCATGATGATGGGCTTTGTCGGGTCAGATGGGAGCTTGAAGTTCGAGTGGCGCACGTGCACGGGGACGTGGATGCCATCGTATTTGTTCCTTGGGCCAGTGATTTCGTAGGTAAGGCCATGGGGATCCGGGTTAGGGTCACCGTGTTGCTTCTGCTTGAGTGCCAGGAGGTAGTTGGTCGTTACACCCTTGAGAGAGTCTGGGCGCGAAGGCAGTTGGATGGACTCAACCACAGCGGTGATGGAGATCTTGGTCTTCTGGACGAGCGAAGAGGACGAAATCGAGTAGTAGCGGGGCTGGATCTTGTGGATACCTTCCATGAGGGCAGAGAACGGGATGTTCGACCAGATGGCACCCGGGGCGACGGAATCAAGGACTTGGGCGATGTTGAGGAATTGCGACGAGACCTTGCTGGAGAAGTATTCCTTATCCGAACCGAGCTTGCTCATCTCAGCCTTAGCCTTCTCATCTGGTGCGAATGCAGCCAGTGTTGCGAGGTATTGACGGGAGACAGGGGCGCAGATTTCCATGTGATAGCGGGCAACAGCTTCGTAGGTGGTCGGGGTCGGGAAGGGAACCTTAGCGGTTGGGTCGAGGGGCTTGACAGCAATAATGGTATCGCGCTTTTCGTAGAGACCAGTAACCTTGAGGAACCTGTCGACTTCCCTGCCGGCGTTGGTGGGCCAGACGGCAATGTGGTCACCAGTCTGGTAAGAGAGGTTGGAGCCGCTGATATCAATTTCCATGTGCAAGCAGTTTCTGTCCTTAACAGTGAAGATTTCCTTTGATTCGATGATTGGCGCAATGTATGGGTTGTGTGCGTTGTATGGGCCCTTGGAAGCTCCCTCCAGGTGCATCTTGTTCGGCTCGCCCAGGTAAACTTCAGGGGCATCTTTGGCAAGGCCTTCGCGCTCAGTTGTGCTGAAGACTGGCTCGTAGACAGCCTCACGCTCCTCAAGACCAAGCTTCTCAACGAGAGCAGTCCACATTGGGTCTTTCCATGCCAAGAAATCTTCCTCCATAGTGCCAGCTCCATCGTCGCCCTCGCCAGCGGTACCAATGCGTTCCGCTCCGAATTTTGTGAGGGCCTTGTCGACATTACGGACCATAGAGTTGTAGTGTTCGTAGGTGTTGTTTCCGAGACCAAATGCAACGTATTTGAGGTTTCCAAGTGCTGGTTCCGCTCCCTCGGAGAAAGCGGTGTCTTCGCCCGTGACGAACTCGTAGAAGTCGACAGCGTTATCTGTGGGCTCGCCCTCGCCGTAAGTGGCAAGGACGAACATCACGATCTTGTCGCTAGGGATGGTATCAATGTTCACGTAGTCGTAGTCCTCGGTATCGGCAATCATGGTCTCGAGACCGAACCTGCTCTTGCCCTCCTTGGCGAGTCTGGCGGCATAGTCCTCGGCGGTGCCGGTTTGGGATCCGTAGAAGACGACGCAGTTCTTGTTGCTCTCGTCCATCTTCTTGACAATGTCGCGCGTCTTGCCGAAATTTGCGCCGCCAGTGGCGTTGGCGACCATATTGTCATAGGGATCCTTTGCCACGGCCCAGTAGGTGCCTTTGGTGAAGTAGGCTATGGTGGCCGCAAGCAGCGACAGGAGGACAACTAAGTCAAGAGTGTCGAGGTTCGCCATGATAGCAGCGTGCACGAGGATTGATGGATGTGAACAGACGTCCGTGACAGAAACCTTTAACGTGCTGCGGGCGTGGAGGGGAAGTGGGCAAAGAATGGAAACTCCGAGATATATTTGGGGGTTCAGTTCGGTTGGTCGTTGATTCTCGTCTCCGTGGCTGTTAGTGGCCGGGGTGCAGAGTACATATAGTACGGCGGAAGCTCGACTGAGCACGAGTCAGTGGGGAATACTCCGTATAGCGAGCGCGGAAGCACGGCGGGGCTAGTAAGAAATATAATATGTAGAAAATAGTAGACTAGAGTACGGGCTTCATAAAGTGATTAATAATGAGACAGTTGACGGGTCAGTCAGCTGCGACTGTTCAGCTTTCCCTTTCTCATCTCATCATCTCATCCCATCTCACAACACCCCAAAAATTAATAGAATCCTAGCCGCACTTTCTCACACATCCGACGACTATTTCTGGTTATGCTGTGCTGGAGACCGGTTTCAATTGTATGTACTGACTGTTACTGGTACAGCAGAGAAGAGGACAGATTACTCACCCCGCCCAGATGGACGCGGAGACGGCACATGCATTATTTATGGGTGGTTATCGTCGAGCTTCCATGGGGATCTTATAGGGGGCTGCCTGGGCATTTTCGGTAGAAAATATTATAAATTCATGCATGGCATGGCTGGGCATGACATGGCATGTGAAATTATTAGCATGTACATACTATGTAACAACAACAACTCGAGCGCAACCGGTCTTTCGAACCCGAGTACGAGTACGAGAATAACAAAACAAAAACAAGATACTCTAGTCAGCACAGAATCGAGTCCACGGTACTTCTGGAACGGACTCCGTAGAGTACCAGTGCCATCCCATCGATCACGTGCACTGTCACGCATACTGTCACGTGCATCATCACGTGCAGAGTCTAATCACGTGCAGACTCTACTCACGTGCGCTTCGATGCCAAGGCGGAGGGTCAAAACAATTTAGTTAACCAAGTTAACTTGGAGAAGTTCCTCCACGTAATCTATCTACTATCCCCATCTACAACGTGAAACGTGACTTCTCCGCGGGCCGAAGAGACATGAGACCCCATACTAAACCCTAATTTCAATGTGGCATGTACTGTACTCCGTACGTACTAGAGCGATTCAGCAGGTGTTAGACACCTCATTCGACAGTCCTGTATGTAGTTAGTGTAGAAAATTTGACCAGGAACCCTGTATAAACCCTGTACAAACCCTGCTCGCCGTGAATCCCACTATTTCCTAAATAGGAAGTAAGACTTGTCATACTGACATTCATTGCACTCAGTTTGCTATCAAACTCAAGAGCAAACTTAGAAATCTCCTCCTCAAATCTACAAGTCACTATACATATTTTGGCTTGTCACACCAACAACAAGAGCAATACTACTCAACGATTGCTACAACCCTCTATGATTCATTACACGTCATTGCTCCTTAGTTACTGGGCCGATATGACCACATAGCATATCTCTACAACCCTCTATGATTCATTACATGACATCACTCCTTAGTTACTGGGGTAATACTACACATGACATATCTCTATCAACTAGAGGCCTAGGAACATGAACGATAGCTCCAAAAGCTTCTACAACTGTCTATGATTCATTACACGTCATCGCTCCTTAGTTACCTACAAGATTGGTTAAGTTATGACATAATTTGTCTATAGGGGTACTTGTCATACTGACATTCGTTGCACTCAGTTTGCTATCAAACTCAAGAGCAAACTTGGAAATCTCCTCCTCAAACCTACAAGTCACTATACATATTTTGGCTTATCACACCAACAACAAGAGCAATACTACTCAACGATTGCTACAACCATCTATGATTCATTACACGTCATCGCTCCTTAGTTACTGGGCCGATATTACCACATAGTGTACAGTATTTGCTTAGTCACCAGAAACACGATTAGGCGAGGCAGGATCATTATGGCCTGAGCTCCAACAGTAGATAGAAGAATAACATCATCATCGCCTCATATTGATACGGCCCATACCTGGATGCGTGACAAACTGGGGGTCTTGCCCGAGATTCACCTTTGAGTGAATGGTATGGGCCGTAGGCAATTGAAGCTGAAGACATCCAGAAAACCAGCAGCACACCGGCCTCAGTGAACGCAACAGCAAACCTATTGAAGAAGCCCACAGATCACCAGCAGCACTCAGAACACCGGCTATAGCGTCACAGAACACCAAATTGGAAGTAGGCAGTTGTTGGGAGTCCCAACGAGAAATCCGGCAGAATTTGGAAGCTTTTCCGCGAGAAAATCGGGGGCATGAAATCTATTTGTGTGTCCTCGCCATACATTATTGTTTTCGAAGCATTTGGGAATGGAAGGAGCGACTTCAAATGGGTCGCCAAATCGGGAGGCGGTCAGAGGTACGCCCTCTTGAGAGGGCCAATCAGAGGCTACGGATGGTCACCAGACCCCAAGTCGGAAGGTGCAGGGGTGCGAAGCGAGGTCCTCAAGCTCAGTGTTTCGCCCATCTTTCTTCTTTAACTTCTTCATCTTCTTCATCATCGGTCTCAGAATACAGCTCAAGGTCTTACGGGCGGTGTTCAGGTCAGTGTGAGCTTCAAAGTGTCAGAAAAGTTCTTCTTGTTCGAAAATCGTGTGTTAGAAGGTGTTTGAAGCCTCAGGGGAGGTGTGAGCACTTGAAGGCTGTGAGAACACTGTTGTCTGTACTCAAAACAGTGAGGGAGTGTTTGAAGTGTGTGAGAGAAAGTGAGTGTTTGAAGTCTGTGAGAGAAAGTGAGTCTTCGGAGTGTGTGAGGAGAGGTACGGCAAGGTTTCCAGTTCCTCTACAGGCTTGTACGAGCGAAGGAAGGTTGTCAGGAAGGTGTGAGTGTGCGGAGTACATGGAAGGGAGTCTCCCGGATCAAGAACCGGTCTGGGATTTCTCAGGGTACAGGGAAAGTAAAGAGTTGAGCGTGTCAGAATCCCATGGAGACGCTAGTCTTGAAGAACTGAGTCGCGTCTTGATTGATCCATTCACAATGTCAGGATTTGGAGCTGGAACACTGGCCACAGCTCAGGTGGATGAGCAGAGAGCCTTCATCGCTGAAGCAAAACGTATAAATCGGTTGGACATCAAGGTCCCAAAGTTCAGCAACGGGCCGACCCAGGATGTCAAGGCCTTCGTGGATACTATCTCATGGAAGCATACCATCTCTCGGTCGGATTATGAGAAGATGTCCCCAGACCTCAATGGGGAGCTAGATGAATGCCTTGTGCTTTATCTGTTCTCCAAATTGGAGGGTGAGCCTGCACGTTGGTGGACAAATCTTGCGGAAGATCAGAAGGCGAATTATAAGAGAGTCACGACGCTCCTCATTGCGCGATACGGAAGGGATGAGGTCCGTCAGCGCCGTTCCCTGCGCCAACGCGTTGCAGCTGAGCTGAACAATTTGCACCAACGTGGGAGGAGTATTGCTGAGTATGTCGCGGAGGCGAAGGACATACACACGAGAATTGGGGCCGATCAAGAGCAGACCTTGTCAGATAACTTTGTTAACAATATGACCGATCCCGGCTTCGCCAACATCCTCAGAGCTCTCACGTCGAGGGAAGATTTGTCGTTTCTGCAGATTCTTGACACTGTCATCGAGATGCAAGGACCGACATACGTTGAAAAAAAGCCGGCTCACGAAGAAACTCTCGAAGAGTCAAAGAATGCAAACCGCCTCATGAGAACAATGGCGAACGTGATGGAGAGATCCCAAGGCCAACGTTCCCGAGGAAATCAAGCACCCTACAGTGCTCAGAGGCAGATTGTGGAATACAGGCCGCAACAAGTGCCCCTTGAATACCAAGGCCCTCTGCCGCAATTTCAAGTGCAGCATTTTGAACAGCAGCAGCAGCAGAGGATCACCAGTCAACCGAATATCCGCCAAACTGAGTCATATGCTGCCCCTCCTCCACAGTATCAGCAATTACACCAACTTCAGCAACAGCAACAAAGTGGAGCCCGGAAGCAATGGGGAGGATCTGCGAACCAAGGTCAGAGTCGCTCTGCTGAACCTAATGGGGGAGGGTATCGACCCGGAGGTGGGAAAATCCACGCGCAATGCTTCAAATGCGCAGAATTCGGTCATTACGCTCCGAATTGTACAAACATGCCAGCGTCAGAAGAAGTGCAGCAAGCTGCAAGGGATTTCGCGAATCAGAAGAGAACTGCAGCCATCCAGAGGGCCTCAAGCAATTCCATGAATGCTGGACCGCAAGGCCGCATGGATGCACCGAACAAATTTGGCCAAGGGCAAGGGAGGATCACGGAAGTTTCAGCAGTTCAAGGTGCAAAGACGTGGGCAATCCATGATGCCCAAATGGCCGCAGCAACCAATGGAATGCTGGGCCAGGGGCAAAGACATCAGGATACTGTGGGAATGTATGATCAGGAGTCTGACTTCTCACGGGTCAGTAATACTACGTTCAGTGGAAGTGTCTCTGTTTTCCAGGAACCCTACGTCTCAAATGCTACGGCTGATGTTCGGCCGCCCATGGAGACCTACGCTGCGGAGAAGAGAAAAGCACCCCTTGCTCCCCAAGATGCTCGGCACGGGCATGGGACGGTACGGCCGGGAGATGCTTCTGTCCCAGTACCTGGAGTTCAACGCAAGCCGCCGCGCGCAAAAAAGAGCACGGGTATCGAGGCACTCGTAAGCGGTCGCCCAATTCGCGCTATCGGTGATGCTGTCCCGTATAATATATGGGATGACCTGCACGCGAGGAAATCTCAGCCCGATATATCCTTTCCCCAACTGATCAACGTGTCCCCGACTGTCCGCGCGCAGATTGCGTTCGGTACCACTATGCAGCCGCGTGAAATTAGTGAACGCCAGGAAGAGGCGGAATCCCAGACTATGAGACACCCTCCTCCACCTGCTGTCGAGGAAGAAGTGGATGAATTGGTCAGGCCTGTCGCGAAGGCTAGGAGACGAATTCAAGGAGGCATCCTCCAGAGTCAAGCAGTGGAAACCCAATGCAAGTTGAGACTCGTCTCGCAATTCCAGGGAGCGACCCCACCACCCTGCTTCTACACCATCTGTTCAATCAGGTCTGTCCTCAACCAGGACGAGTTTGAGGTGAATCAGGTCCTCGTCGATGGCGGATCTTCAATCGAGCTCATTAGTGCAAAGGTTTCCAAGCAACTCGATTGCGTCTGGCACTCTGATTCATCAGGGTGGAAAATGCGCACTGCCGACGGTTCAATTCACCCACTTGATGAGTATGTCCTCCTACCCATTCGAGTTGCCGGAGTAGAGTGGGTGATGAAATGTTTTGTCATTTACGGAACTACATCTTATAATATTCTCTTGGGTCGTGGGTGGTTGAATCAAGTGAAGGCAGTTGGAGATTATGGAAGCAACGACTATTTCATTTTCAGTTCAGACGGCAAACCGCGAAAGGTTCCAAAATCTGGGGATGCTCAACCGCAAGTCTCCTTGAAGGCTCACTTTGATCGAGATCCAGAATGTCAAAAGCGTCCTTTGAATTCACCTGGGTTAGGATTTCCCCAGCCACTGAACACCTTGCCAGTAAAACTCCCAGAGTGGGACGAAGAGTCGGATGAAATGGTTGATGAGAGACTTTCGGAACTTGCTGAGCAACTGGCCACTTCAGCTCTCCTCCAAGCCACTGACCCAGATTACGAGTCCGAGGATCCTCACATGGAACTGCTACTCCAGCAATATCATGAAGCGGGAAAAGAGCAGGGCCGCAGGATGCCAGAATAACTGCTGCCCAGCCCACAAATTTCCGGAAAGACCTGACAATCTCAGGCAATGGGGAGCATGGGGAGGAATCACGGAGAGAACAAGTTATTCGGAGGAGGTGAGAGCGATATGGGAATCAGGGAAACGGCAAGGAAGATTGGAGTGATAGGTTCAGGGATCTGTGGCCAGAGGACAGGAAAAGCTTTCGAAATCTAGATCGACGGATACAGGAGTTTGAGGAAGCGCGGAATGCGCTACGATGGGCTGCAAAGCGCGCGGTCGACAAATGTGCTGTTCTTGAAATGAGAACTCTACCCTGTCCATCTGCACCAGACAGTCAGTATGCAGATGAGTCGGAGATTCTTCAACGAGCCCAAGGGAAGACTGGGGAGGCTGCTCGAGAGGCACGCCGAATGATTGATGAAGGCATACCTGCTCATAGGTCGAATGCACGAGACGGGAAAGACAAGGGGAGTGGTCGGAGATTGAAGCCTCTGGATCGGGAGAGAACTGGTCGCCCACGTGCAGCACACACAGCAGGCATCGCGTTGCCTGCCCATGGGATCTCAATTGTAGAGAGAGCTCATGGGGTTGCAGGGAGTCACCGGGAATTGAGCCGCCATCCCCTCTATCACATATTCGCGGGAAATGTTTCTGCTGTCGCTCCTTGGGCCCCTAATGAGGGAGAGGATGACACTCCAGATTCTTCACCTAGGAGGCAGCCGTGGAATGAGGGCAACTCCCTAGATTCTGCTCAGTGCTACGAATGTGGAATTTTGATGGAGCCAGTCGATGCAACTGGGAGCATGAGAGAAGCAAAGGCATCAAGGGCTTCTGACAATGAATTGCATGAATCCCCTCAGGCTTCCCAAGCTGCTCTCCCAGTCGTCAACCTGTGCGGAGAGTGCTACCACATTTGCACCATGCATGCTTCAAGTGAGGAAGAACAGAGAGCATTCGCGACAGAGGATCGATACAACTTTCCTACCAAGGAACGACCAGCCCAATACCGGAGAGAGATGTCGCAAGCATCAGTAGAAGACATCCGGGAGTGGACTCAGGCAAATGAGAGACTCATCGCTGAGCTTGTCACCTCTGAGGAGGACATTGATTTTGTTGGACGATGCCTGTATACGTGGCGAGATATGTTCGCCACAGATGTTCGCGATTTGCCTGCCACAAATCTGGTTACTCATTACATCCCCACGCACGATCACATTCCTCCCCGAAAGGCGACACTGAAAATTTATACGGACCGTGAGGTTCGTTGGCAGCGCGAAGAATTTCCGAAACTTCTCGCTGCACAAATTATACAATACTGTGAGTCACCATGGGCGGCGCGCTGCAGATTCGTGGAGAAGACTTCGGGGCAGTTGAGACTTGTACATAATTTTATACCATTAAACAATGCAACTATCAAGTCACAATACCCTGCTCGAAGAATCGAGCCTATCTTGCGTACGCTCGGGCAAGAACATTTGCGGTTTATGTTTTGTGCTGACGGTCTCCACGGCTACTGGGCCGTGAAGATCGCCAGGGAGCATCAATTCAAGACTGCATTTATTTCGAGTCTCGGCCAGTTCTGTTATGCCCGAATGGGGCAGGGCTTAACAGGGTCACCAGGAACTTACGCACGGTTGAAGGATTTGGTCACTGGTCCCATCCCTGCGCCAGATGCAGAGCCCGCATTGGCAGATGTCATGCCGGGAGTGAGCGCTTTCGCTCACTTTGTTGACGACGACGCTGGCGGAGCGGACACTCTGGAGAATCTTGTTCACTTTTTGCATCACTTCTATTTCAGACACCATCCAAGCTGTTTCTGAGCGACAACCATGACTTAGTTATTAGCCAACAAGCTCCGCCAGCTCCGCCAATAGACTTCGTCCGACCTATACTGCCGTCGCGCCCGCTGTTGCCCGTTAGTCCGTCGTCCATTACCTTCTCACCAGAAGTTTACCCTTCAGCGTTTGCGCAGATTGGCAACCTCACTACCTCTCCCAAACCGGCGCAATCACCCTTCAGGACCAAGGTGAACACGGGATCCACGATCACAACCAAGGCATTTAGGACACAATATATACGTCTATTCCCTCTTCTCGACAGGGTCTGCAGTTGCCAGCTGCGTTCACCCGATCGACTGTCCACTATTCTTCTTCATTTCTCGGTTGTCGATCGCGGCGCCACGCGCTATCTGGCAACATATCACCAGTTGTCCATTATGTCCGAGGAAACTGAAGACGATTACATACAAGTGAAAGGCGTCAAACTTTTTCCGGCAGTGGATGATGAGAGGAAAATAACATGCAAAGGCAAATCGATCATAGTATATGATCCTAATGCGCCCATGGATACAGAGCCATCTTGGCAACACCATAGCGCTACTGAATATGGGACGGGTATCGTCCCTAAGGGGTACGTAGTCCGCGTGATAGGGGCATTCGTGAAGTTCACGTAGTCGCCAGCTGGAATGTCTCGATTACCTCTAGTCCTTCGATATAGCCAACCCAACTTGTCGGAAATTTGACAACCTCTTGTTCTCGAGGATACTTTCCTCTGTCCTGAACCTTCCAACTACAACATCAAACAATTTGGTCAAGAAGCTTGTTTCTCTCTCGCAGTCAACTCTATCAGCACAAGAAATTCAACAGTCAACTCGAGCGGTACAAGGAACCCATTGGAGAAGTGAATTCAGTCCAGCAAACACCCAACCTCACTTCTGCAGTCAAAACGCGTGCGCTGCAGTCAGGAACTTCTTCTCTCGCCAGACGAATTCAATTTCATCAGTTCAGACAGACCGGAAGTCTCGGAACAAGAAACCAACAACTTCACCAAGAACTCAGTTATGGCAACCTCTCCAAATAAATCAAGAAATGAGGAATTGGAAGTCAGCGAAATGGGCAAGCCTGAGAATCACCAAGGCAAATTGAAGATGTCGGACTTTGAGGACTTGCGGGCGTTGTGGACACGAGTCTTCCGAATGTCTCGAGAGCAACGGGAGGATCTCTTTCAACCCATCAAATGGGAGTTCATGACACTTGTGATGCATGAGAACGGTGAAGGCGAACGGATTGAAAACCAAGAGAATGGAAGAAAACTGGCTGAAAACCGCAGCACTGGGATTCGGAAGTGCACCATCCAGTGGCTTGAGATTCTGGAGTTACTATGGGAAGTTGAGGTGTGGAAACGAGGGAAATTTGAAGAAAAGATGGGGAAGGGTGATCGGGAAGAGTATGCAGATCTAATGAGCTGGAGGGATGCTCGGGACAGATTGCTGCGTAGGGGGCAATGGGAGGCAGAGGATGAGCATAGCTCAGAGACACAAGGAATGTCAGCGATGGAGAACCTCGAGAAGTGGGCGTACGTGAGCATGGCCATGACACAGGGTCCATGTCAGGAAAAGGATGAGGCAGGAGGAGAGTCGGGGAGAGAGGGTGAGGAGTCACAAGGAGATGAGGAGTCACAAGGAGATCATGAGGAAGACATACCCGATGCATCTGAAATTGATTTGGATGAGTTTGAAAGGTGGGATTTCCAAACCACCCGCGCGACAGACGAGGGAGCGATGTCAATCCGCGCAGTTCCGTCGAAGAAAAGAAAATGGCCGGAATTTCGGGAAGTTCTCAAAGAGGCACGCACAGTCTCTGAGTTGAAGGTGGATATGTCAGTCTCGATACTTCCGCAGAGAGACCGACCCATTCCCCAGGCAACTGATCTAAAGCCCGAAATGGGAAATTTTATCACTACTCGGCCACAGAAGTTGACGCATGGGGCAAAGAACCCTCACAAGAAACCTCCTACTCAGGCGCAAAGGGAGCTCATGTTTCCTCCAATCGATCCCAGCTCCATCCCAGAAGAGAAGAGGCTTGATGTGCTTGAAGTATTGAAGATCGGTCGAGACATCGTGGTCGCTCCGCGAAAGAAGAAAGGAGAGGCATTCGGCAAAACCGCTGGGTACCTACGACACTGCGCTGCGCCATATGCATACACATACCGGGGGCATTTGAGGCAGCCGTATTGGCAGTACCGGAAATCGCTAGACAAGAATGGGGATGAAATATTATCAGAGGAGAGGGCGAGAATTCTGTGTTTGGGTATGGAGGACACACACGAAGATCTCCCATACACAATCAACAGCAAGGGCAAAGTGTACCAAAGGGCCCCGAAGGATTTCCTCCCAAGCAGAGATATGAATGGCAAATTTGTTCCGCGGCCAGCTGGCGTCTCACCGGTGATGCACACATTCTCTCAAGTGCAAGGACTGGCTGCTGCAATCGAAGGTGTGAGTGGAGAGTTTGATCTGAGAAAGATAACGGGGAAAGAATTAGGAATGAAGCGGATTCAGGCTGTCCGAAAGGAGGTACTCAACCTTGCGGCACAAACTGTTGTGGATCAAGGAAGAGCATTGCGAGCTCAACAACAAGTTCCGGCGTTGGTTCAGAGAGAGGCACGACGGCTGGTGAAAAAGGCGATGGAGGAAAGGGATTCAGAGATTAAGAAGTTGAAGGATCGGATCCGTGACAATGTTCATCAAAGTCAGAAGGAAATGGAGGAGTTGGTCTCGTCTTTTGAGGAGATCATCGAACAAGAAGCAGTCGAGAATATACGGTTAGGAAACGAGAATCAGATGCTAAGGGCGCAGACTGGTATGGCTGACAGGGTGAACGAATTGGCTTGAGTTTGGAATGAGATTGCTTGAATTGGTCTGCCGAATGAGGACTTTTGTGGGATCTTCGCGAGCTGGTTTCTTGCGGAGGCTGGTCCCACTCAGGATGAAGCTGTGGGATGGACAATCGGCATATGGAGCTGATATTGCTTTGCGCGATTGAGTCACAGTTTGCTATGGTTAGGGCATGGTTATAGGGCTACGAAGCTCAGAAGATGGAACCCCAGGAGGGGGTGGGTGTACAGTATTTGCTTAGTCACCAGAAACACGATTAGGCGAGGCAGGATCATTATGGCCTGAGCTCCAACAGTAGATAGAAGAATAACATCATCATCGCCTCATATTGATACGGCCCATA